CGTCCTCCAGCAAACGCCAGGAAGGAGCCGGAGTTATCCAGGTGGGCGGGAGGGAAGGCGTGCTCCAAACGACCGTGGTGGCATAGTGATGACAGGAAGGGACACGCTGAAGAAGTTATTCGGGACACTGGGTGGTTACCGTGTGGGAAGGGCGAACCCGAGATTTCAAAGGCAAGCTGCGGCCAGATGGCTCAGGGGCTGGTCAACCACGTGAGTCTGCGGACGGTGCTGAGCCTGGGGACAGGTTTCAGTGAAGGGAAGGGGTGGCCTCTCCTCGGGTCTGGTTACGTGACTGGGGCGAGTTCGAATGGCAGGTGACACTGGCCACATCCAAGTAAACAGCAGTGAGACGGAGACACCAAGGGGCTGGCGGCACTGGAGGGTCCTCCTCAGACTCGGGGGTGGGGGGTGATTGACCTCAGAGGACCCAGGACACGGAACCGTCGGGCCAGCTCTCAAGATCCAAAGCCCAGAAGAGAGGCCGGAGTTGCAGGTGCTTCGAGGAGGTTCCTTTGAGCCATTTTCAACACCCAACCACGAGCCAGCCTACGAGGATCCGTTCTCCGCGCACAGGGGTGGGGGCCGCCAAGCACGTGAGTGAATAAGACTCGGCTCCAGGAGGCTGTTCAGGCCTCGCCGCTGCCTTCTTCCACCTCAGGAGACGCTCTGCAGCGGCAAACATCCGCCCAGACACCCCAGACTCAGCGAAAACCGTGAAGGTGGACGCTCTCCCTCTGGGGAGACACGCGAGATGTCCCCCGTCTCTGTGGCTGCCCCTGGCACCCTCAGCCTCGCCACGTTCCCTCCCCGTTTGTGAGAGACCCACGTGATCCCGGCTGTGCCCTGAAAGTGTCCCCGGTGCCCCGGGAGTGGAATGTGCTTCTCTAGCCAGTGCCTCTGTCTGTTGCCTTGGCGCGCACAGGGGCACGGCCCAGAGGACACACACAGGGGACAGCGTTCGGCCCCCTGTGAATTTCACACTACCGCACTAGCCAGCTGGGCGTCTCTCGAACTGCCCTGGCCGGCGGCCTCCATCCCTGGTGCCTGGGGGTCCTGGCCCTACAAGAAACCAGTCCGTGTCTCTGTCTCTCTGGCTCCCCTCCCCCTTCCTTTCTCTCTAAAAGCAACACAGAAATGTCCTCGGTGAGTATAAAAATAAAAAATCCCCCTGGCTCGGCTCACACACCATTTAGACAGCACTTATCTCTCTGCGGAGGGAATGAGCAGCTGCTCCGGAATGTCCCGGGGAGGGGGCGGGAGGTGCAGGGGAGAACGGGGGGTTGGGGGGCGCTGGCGTGCGGTGTTATGGGGTGTGGGCTGCGGCAAATGGGGGGGGTTCCATCGTTCTCTCATCCCGGATGGTCACATTCAGCCACTGTGCCCCCCATCAGACTGAGAACTGACAAAGCCCAGTGTGTCTGTGACCTCACTAGAGAACCGGCCGGGCTTTCTCTGATTCACTTTACGTGGTAACGTGGGTGTTTCCGAAACTAGCAGACAAAGGTCTACCCCTCACTTAGGTGTACACCAAGCTCCTAGGCAAAAACAAGCAAATCCAAGTATTCTCCTCCAAGAGAGGCCCGTGAAGACCCACTCAGGAATTCCAGTAATTGTCCAGCAGGGGCAGTTGGTCGGGATTTGGCACGAGGGCCCCTCTGCGGCTGGCGGTCCTCACGGGTTTACCCCGTCCTGCCTTTCCCCTGCTCGGAGCCAATTAAAAGTTTCCGGGAGCACGTCCACTGTTTATCTGCAAAGGCGTCTCTAATGCGGTTCCCGGCCGGAAGGGCTTTTAACTCACGTCACGTAAGGTTCTGCTCAAATGGTAACGATGACAAGCAATACTTAAATTCTAGAGATTTCTGATAAGGCACCGAGAAATTTAAAGACAGTAATGATCACGCTTTTCAGTTCTCATTCAGCTACAACTGAGAAGAGACCAAGGTGCTGTACACGATCCAGCCACTTCTCCTTATTCACGGCATACGAAACTAGGCACTTGGCAAGATTGTCTTCCTTATAAAAGATTGTATTTTCATTTCATCGTGGTTAATCACTTTATACTTTCATTGCGGTGATCGAAATGGATTAATAGGCCAACTTTCTGCTCATGGTGCGTGTAGCACAGATGGGAAGAGAAATCACATAAATAACTTAAATCGACTGATAAGTTCAAAATTCCCTTTAGCCCCGGCCAGGTGTCTCGGTGGGTTGGAGCGTCGTCCCGTAAACCGACAGGTCGCGGGTTCAGTTCCTGGTCAGGGCAGAGACCAGGGTGCGGCTCAGTCCCAGGCGGGGCCCACGCAGGAGGCAGCCGGTCGATGTCTCTCTCTCTTTACAATCAATAAGCATTGGCTCAGGTGAGGATAAAAACAATTTTCAACAATTCATTTTAAAGAAATCTCTCTTCCGATGCCTTCTCTTAACTGCTGTAGTGAAATCGAGAGGTTGAGGACTAAAACCCTCTTCCCATCCGCCCCTTCTTTCTGCCGGAGGTGACGATGCCCCATCATGTGACTCCCGGTGTCTGTCGCCTCGTTAGGGGTGCTCTTCCCCGTCACCCTCTCCTGCTGTCCCCGCCCCCTCTGAGACAGACAGGCAGGCAGGCACACGTGTGTGCGGTGCATACATGTTAGATCGTGCATGTTCTGTATTTGGTGACTTGTTTGTCATTACCCTTCATTCTGAAGGACAGCGTAGTTTTCACAGTATCACACGGGACTCTCTTTCTTTTCCTTTTTCCTTTTTCTCTTTTCCTCACAGAAATACACAGGAAGCCATAACATAAAAATACCTGGTTTGGTTTCTGGTGCTGACAGGCTCGCTCACATGGCTCCAGCTAGTTCCGTGTGTAGTGTGTGCCAGCGAGGAGCAGAGAGAGTGGGGGTGTCCTCAGGACCCAGCAGGTGTCCCCCCCACACACGTCCCAGCGCTGTCCCTGAACTCAGACATGGAGTGTGTCGCTCACCAGAACTGGGAAGAGACCGAGAATCAGGCCTCTGTGGTGAAATTGTAAGAACCCTTCAGGAGTCACGCAGACGGGCCTGGCTTTGCCCTCTGGCCACACAAGACTCTGCAGAGCCCGCCTTGCCCTCTGCCCTTCCGCCCGAGGGGGAATGTCAGGAATGTGCCGGCTTGTGTTTCAGGGCCGCCTGGACGGGTCAGCAAGACGCTCGGGGGTCCCGGCGGCGGCCACACCGAAAGGGTGAGGGGGCCAGGAATGCGACAGGCAGACCAAACATGCAAACACACTTTCCAGGGTTGGCATGTGCCATGCGGGAGTTTAGGGGGCGTTGTATGCTTTTTGTCGTGCCCCTCATGTGAAGAAGAAAACCGCCTTCTCCAGTGTTACCAGAGGCGATGTGTTTGGGGCAGGAAAGTGAAGAATCCCTACTCAGCTGGAACAGTGCGCACAGTGGGTTTCCTCCGACCGGGGCTGCGGGGGGCAGATTGTGTTTGGTGTCGTGGGTTTGGTGACTCAGGAAGGTCACCCAAAATGTGGTGGCCGTCCCTTGGGTGGCCTTGGGTTCTGAGGACCACAGATGTGACCACTGCGTGACATGTCCCAGCTCCAAGGGCTGCTCACCGAATGGTGCAGGCACTAACGTAGCTTGTCTTGGTCAGTGGTTACTTGCAAGAGGCCTCTGTGTGAAGCTGATACCATTTGTTTTTTCTGTAACTTCCTGTGAGACCGAAAAGCGCCCAAACTATTTTTTTTTCAAGTGAGCATACAAATTCTCTCTCTGTTTCCTGTACGAGTCAGCTGACGCTCTGCCTCCTGTCTCACGAGGTGGCCTGTTGGTCAGCAGTGGCGTCAGGCAGAAAGTGATGGCCAGGCCCACCCATCGCCAAAACTGGGGGGAACGCCCTCTCCGAGGGGGGTTTTGGACAGACGCAAAGCCCTGGGTGTGCGGTTCTCTCTCTTCTAGGACCTCAGTTGGTGTAGGACACCCCCAAATTGAGCAGGGGACCTGCAGGCGCGTCCTGCCTGCCCCGGGTCTCCTGGCCCGGCCATCACCGGGAGCGTTCAGTCCGTTCCCCCAGCAGGTGCTGGCCCCACAGTGCTTCTAAGAGCCCCCGAGGCCCTGGAGGGAGGCCCGGTCTACGGGACAGGGAGACGCCGGAACGCGGAGAGTGTCCAGAGGAAGGACTCGGGGGCCACGCTTATCATCGGGTTTCAGCCTCCTGTGTTTTGTTTCACTTCGGTGCCGTTTCACCAGCAAAACTTCCAAGAAACCACGTGTGTGGGGCACAGCGCAGCCCCTTCCTGGAGAAGAGAAGGTCCCGTTTGGCCCGTCCCCGTGGGTGGTGGCCCCCCGACGGGCCCTCCGACCCGCCGAGCGGCCGGTCAGGCAGAGGGCACAGTTCTCATTTTCACCAGTCGGTTATTGACTTGGATGTTTCGAATATGTTGGCTGCCTCCTCGTGGTGTAAGGTCCATTATTCTCCATTACTGTCTTAACTGGATCGCCGTCAACTTCAGCCGGTCTGCCGGACCGCGGAGCATCACCCGGCGAGAAATCTCTAGTGCGAAATTTTACAAACCTCTTCTGACACGTTCGGTCCGTCACAGCCCCTTCTTTTTATGTATTTCAGTTTCATTTTTCCCTTTATTGAAATAGTAAAGCATAATAAGCCCAAAATGATGCTTATTTTCTTCCATCTCCAATATTAAAATGACCACACAAAAATTAGGCAATGTTGGTAAGTTTTTTAAATGCACGTGGATATGCACACCTGTCACTATAAAATCTAACATTGTTTTGAATGTAGTCAAAGAAAACTAAGGGCCACAGGAGCCCCCTTACAGGAAAAACCGGACCGGCTTCTTGGCCAACCGGATAACGACAGGTGAGAGACATTGTCCTGCCCGCAGGCACACAGGTGGCGGCGGCGTGTGGACGTCGATGTAACGACGTTAACTCTTCTTCGGAATATTCCGTCGGCGGAGTCGGAGGCAGAGAAGGGAACTAACGGCAGGTTTTCCGGTCTGTCCCTCGCAGAGCCCACCTTCCACTTCGGGGAGGCCGCGTACTCCGTGGACGAGAGCGCGGGCTGCGTGGAGGTGCGGGTGTGGAGGCGAGGCCCCGACCTGTCCGGGGCCTCCAGCGTCACCCTGAGCTCCCAGAAGACCGACCCTCCGTCTGCCAGCGGTGAGCGCTCCCCTCTCCGCTCTGTTCGACCTGCCCAGACGCGACTTTAAAACCAGAATCCCTCCCCTGGTAAAGTAGTCGGACGGGATGGATTTTCCCCTGAAGTTACCACGGTGTGGGAGAGAGCCAAGCAAACACGCTTTGGGGCCCTGAGTCAGAGGTTCGGTCAGACACACGTTGGTCAGAGACTCAATCCAAGGCCTGGTTTGCACGGATTTGTCCTCCGCACCAGGCAAAGCCGACGTCGTTCCGTGTTACGACATCGCACACGCAGGATTCGCCGGCTGGCCGGCTTCCCAAAAACCTGACGGCCTTGAAGGGTCAGGCGGGCGTGCCCCTCCAGCCCGGCTCCTGCCTCGGTTGTACTGCACGTCCAGAGGCTTTCCCCACCTCGTTATTCAAGCCACCCCGGCTGACACGTGTCTGCCTTTGACGCTGGAATCGACTTCTCCAAAAAGTTGATGGTAGCCTTCAGGGCAAGCCCAGGATTCGAAGTTTCTTTTTTTCCTTCTCAGTCCCCGACAACACAGACTCCGTCCTGTGGCAGCCGCACACTCACACGCACATCGGGCGTGCCTTACACACTCGTCGCGCACAGCAAGCAGGGGCCCTCCCGTTGCACAAGTCGCCCCTGAGTTTTAACTTTTTCACTGCAGTGGAACCAGCTTTGCATGGAGTCAGCGTCCAACAAGCATTTGTTCCAGTTAGTTGTTTTATTAGAGAAAATTCAAATCAAAGAAAGACAGGGATGAGAATGAAGGTGAAGAAGCAGAGGGGGGAAAATATAAGAGGGACCACAAGGGAGTCAGATACAGAGATTCTAAAAATGAGTGGCACGTACAACATTCAAATACAGTGCACACTCGGAGGTAAAGCTAATACCAAGTGGGTGTTAGAAGTCATGAAAACAGAAAAGCAATGACATTGAAGGACATCCCTCCCCCTAAGTCTCTGTGGATGTAGCACCTGAAGATTAGAAGAAAGTCTGGTTTTTAACTACGTTAGACGTAAATGGGCATGTTAACACTGGGTAGGTAGCCTGCGGTCTGAAGACTGCTGAGCCAAAGACCAGAGCCCAAATATGTCCTTGAGAATGAGGGACTGGTCCCCGAACGGGGGCGCCAGTGGCTGGGGAGCTGGGACAGATGGTCCTTGTGCCGCTCGAACCGGCCGCCCTGAGTAAGACGTTCTCCGGGGGCTCCCACAGAGAGACGCAGGGGTTCAACTAACGCGCACAAAGTTTGAAGGAATGTGTTTCTTTCATATATAATTTATAATCATCACACTTGGTGGATATACTGACGCTTAGACCTGATTTTGTCAGCTCCATTTCAGAACCCCCAAATAAAGGTGGAGAAACTGTAGGACACAAGGCAGAAATCACCAAAACTAAAGTGACGCGGCGGACACGGAGAAAGCGGGCTCAGACGCTGATCCCGGGCGGACCAGCTCGGTGCCCACCGCAGACGCGAGTCTTCCGCGCTGCACTCGATGAGCGTTCTGTAGTGTTATGTTGTGCTTCCTTTTTTGGAAGAATTCCAAATGTGCCCTTGTGAACTGCTGACCCTGTGTGAGTCCCTCAGCCCCAATGACTCTCCTGTCACTGTCGTAGCCGGAACGGACTACGTGGGAATCAGCCGTCACTTGGACTTCGCGCCCGGCGTCAGCGTGCAGACGGTCCGCGTCGTCATTCTGGACGACCTGGGGCAGCCGGTGCTGGAGGGAGTCGAGACCTTCGAGCTGGTGCTTCGCATGCCCCTGCACGGCGCCGTCGGCGAGCCCGGCAAGGCCACCGTCGCCATCAACGACTCCGTCTCGGACCGTGAGTGTCTGCTCGTCGGCGATAAGTGGCACAATAAGCTCGGGTTTAAGTAAATGTCGAGTAAAGAAATGAACGCAGGCGTCCGTGCCTGTGTTAGTCCCCCAGAGCTGCCAGGTCTGTGGACTCAGAAATAGCTGCGTTGTCATTCTGTGTCACCAAAGAGTCGGGGGAGGGAGGGCACAGAGTAAGAATCAATAATATTGGAGGTCACAGCAAGTGAGCACTTTTTTTTTAAGATTTATTTATTTACTTATTTATTTTTAGAGAGGGTAGGAGGAGAGGGAGAGAAACATCAAGGTGTAGTTGCCTCTCGTACGCCCCCTACTGGGAACCTGGCCTGCAACCCAGGCCTGTGCCCGGACTGGGGATCGAACCATGGACCCTTCAGTTCAAAGGCCCACCCTCAATCCACTGAGCCACACCAGCCAGGACGAACACTTTGTGATTAAAAAAGAACCCCCTCGTCACGGACGAGTGGAAGCACTCGGGGCCACGCACACCCCCGATGGTTCCCTGCGGCAGCCGGTGTGGCGTTCCGAGACGGCCAGCTGCGGGCCTGCGGCCTGCCCTCTAGCACGTCCCCCGAGGGGGTCCGCCTGGCCTTCTGTGCACTTATCTTGACGTGTCTGAGCAGCCTCACACCGGCCGGTCTCCGGGAGACCCGGGGTTCACTGACGTGGCATAGCTGTCCCCGGAGCGTCTCGGGTGTGTGTGTAACGTTACGCTCGTTGTCAGCCTCCGAAACTCGGTCTGGGGAAACTGTGCCTGTGGTGCTGGGCACAGTCCCGAGTGGTGTTCACGTCAAGAACTTCGAGTCCGGGCTGGTATTGGCTGCTTGTTGGAGTGCCCTCCCACTGACTGAGAGGCCATGGGTTCAATTCCCGTTCTGGGCACGAACCCAAGTTGTGGATTCGGCCCCCACTCGGGGCACGTTTGGGAAGTAGCCAGTCGACGTTTCTCTCTCACATCGATGTCTGCCTGTCTCTCCTCCCTCCTCTCACGCAAAGCCATGAAAAATGTGCTCAGGTGAGATTAAAAATAAAAAATTCTGAGCAGCTCATGATGAAGTGACACATACGGGGGAAAAAACCCTCAAACATCGGCTTTTTCCTTCTGAGCCTCGCACGGCCTCCCCTCCTCCGACCGGCAGAGCCAAGTTTCCAGGACCAGGAGCTCACAGCCCTTCCAGGGCAGCTGGCGGCTCACGGCCAGAGCCCGGGCGACGGGGGGACGCGGGCTCCCGGGGCTCTCGCGCCTGTTGCATTGCTCTTCCCACGGAACCGTGTCTCTGGACACACGTGTCATGGGGGCCCCCACGGTGCGACATTCCCTTGTTTCCGCAGTGCCTCGGATGCAGTTCCAGGAACGAGAACTCACCGTGGACGAGAGCGCGGGGCAGGTGGTGGCGACCGTGCGCCGGACGGGGGACCTGCGACGCCGCTCCTCCGTGCGCTGCTACTCGCGCCAGGGCTCCGCGCAGGTGATGGCGGACTTCGAGGAGCGCCCCAACACAGACAGCTCCCTCGTCACCTTCCTGCCCGGTGCGTGCGAGCCTGAAATGTTTACTGGAATCGGAGTAAGCCAAGATTTGGTGGTTAGAGACATCAGAGACATATCAGAGGGGTTTTTAAAAGATTTTATTTCTTTATTTTAGAGAGAGGGGAAGAAGGGAGAAAAGAAAACACCCATGTGTGGTTGCCTCTCGAGCGCCCCCTACTGGGGACCTGGGCCTGTGCCCTGACTGGGAATTGAACCGGCGACCCTTTGGTTCTCAGGCTGGTGCTCAATCCACTGAGCCACAGCAACCAGGGCGGGACATGTCAATTCTTTGCTTCCATAAGCCTATGATGTAATTCTGTGTGCACCGAATGATAACAAGAGGAGGTGGGTGGTGGCAGGTCGAATGAGCCTCGTTTCTGGTTTCTGTATCGACGTGCTGCTTGGTTTACAGTGCTGTGTCGTGTGTTTATTCAAAAGGTATCGGGGGGGGGGTGTAGGTAGACCCCCAACGCCAGGAGATGCTCAAGGTTCAGAAATGGAAAGGAACAAGTGTCAGGTCTTTCATGTGTATCACAGCCCTAACACAGAGGATCGTTTGATCCAGTAAAATTGTCCTAGAAACTAGCACTGCAGCCGAACTAACAGTGACCGGCCTGCAGAGGTGGCTGAACGAGACAAGTCGGCATTGGCTCTGTGTTCCTCGTTTTCTGAGACCCGTGGCCGACGTTAGAGAAAGCCCCGTACAGGGCGCAGCCTGTCGTGGCAGGGAATCCACATTAGTTGTTCATTCATCGAATACTCACCGAAGGCTCATTGCCCGATGCTGCTGCCCGGCTGTGGGTGCAACAAGGGGAAGGCCACACCCTCCCCGCTTGGTGCTTCGATTCCAGTCACAGGCGCATCTTTGGGCCTCTGGGCTGTGACTGACCTGCTGTCCCCACGGTTCCAGGCGAGACCAAAAAGCCCTGCGTCCTCACGCTGGTGGATGACCAACTGCACGAGGACACGGAGGAGCTCCGGCTGGTCCTCGGCAGCCCGCGCGGCGACTCGCCCTTCGGGGCTGCGGTGGGCGAGCAGAACGAGACCCTGATAAGGATCGTCGACGACGCCGACCGTAAGGACTCGTCTCTCGTGCTCGGCTCTGAGCTGGGGGCTGAAACCCTTCCAGGTCACGGTTTCGGGTGGCCTAGAAAACTGCCCCCTCTCTTCGACTAGGCTTTAAAGGGGTTGAGAAATAAGAAAGAGACCAAGTGAAATAGGGAATGAAGGAAACCATTAAAACGAAGTGGACGTTGAAGGATGCAGTTCCCCGGTCGCTCATAACCTCCTCCAGGCCCTGACACCCCCGGGAGCAGGTGGTCCCGGGCCAGCGGCGTCCTCCCTCCCCTCCGAGTCCCCAAACTGCCTGGCACGTGGGGGGGCCCGGAGAGCACACCCCCTGGGGGCCGGTCGTGAGGGGCTGGGGGGCCGCGCCGAGGAGTCCCTAACACGCGTGCGCTCCGGCCGCTCCGGGCGAGGAGGCTAGAGGAGGCCGGGGCGTGAGGGAAGCTCAGCTCCCGCAGGAGAGAAAATGGGGGCGGAGAAGCGGCACCGTCCCCTGACAATTTCATTCGTCCCCATTTCCCTCGACTGTAGAGACTGTCATCAAATTCGGAGAAACCAAGTTCAGCGTCCGTGAACCTAAAGAGCCCGGGCAGTCGGCGGTGGTGAGGGTCCCAGTGGTTCGCCAGGGAGACGCCTCAAGGGTCTCCGTCGTGAGGGTCCACACCAAGGACGGCTCGGCCACCTCCGGGGAGGACTACCTGCCCGTGTCCGAAGGTACGGCAGCTCGGGCCGGGCTCCCGGGGGCTCGTCCCACGGGGCCCTGGGAGACCAGTGAGAAACATCCAGTTGGAACTGAAATTCAAATACGCACGCTCCTGTACATTATCTCCTTCAGGAAAGCAGAAACGGTGGCGTCTGCCAGGACGGTCCCCTTTTGACTCGGAAGGGGCGTGGGTTTGGGCGCAGGGGGTTGGAGCAGATGTGGTAGGTGGCTTCCGGTTCCCGCCTTCACCTGGAAACTGGATACTAAGTAACGACTCCCCTGACACTGTTACACTGAGAACGCAGCGGGGCACAGATGCTCGCCTGGCTTAGTTTAAGGGACACCCACAGTGTAAGCTGCGAGCTGGAAAACTCTGTGCTAACGGCGAGCAGAGGAGGCGAGGTAGAATACGAACCACAGAGACCATGGAGTCCGGGGCCTCAGGGACCCGCTGCGGACACCTCCCTCCGTCTCTCTTCTTCCAGTGCCTGCACCAGTTCACCCCTGACCTGAGCCAGTAATGACGATAAGTCAGTCAGGGCCTTTCTCTCTCTCCCACCCCTCCCCCGGTCGTTTGCCAACAGAACAGATATAAACTGACGTCCCAAACGTGGTTCGTGAAGTGCTGGGAGTTCTCCTCACCCACTCGGCGTCCAGTTCCTGCCTCACGACCCACAGCCACAGTCCCTGATGTGTGGGGAGTGGAACCATGAAAATGGTCCTGAACCAGAAAGTCTGTTCTCTGCTGGGCGGAGAAAACCAAAGGAAAACCCAAGCAGTTACAGCTCAGCTGCCTGTTGCAGGCAGAAAAGTTCAAAAGGAGTAAAAAATGGGTACTTTCCTGTGAAAGCTGCTGATTTTTAAGTGTCAGGAACTGTTTTTAATGCAGTATTGCAGAGACGAAAACAAACACATTGGGGACCAGACATGGGCAGCTGCAGCTGCTTTCGTCCAGGGGACCAGACTCGGGGGCCCCGTTGAGACCTGAGGAGTCGCAGATGCAAAGAACTTGCTGCTGCTGGTGCGGGAAAGGGCTGTGTCCAGAACAATCTTGTTTATCTTTCTAAGATTTTATTTATTTATTTTTAGAGAAGGGGGAAGGGAAGGAGAAAGAGAGGGAGAGGAATATCTATGTGTGGTTGCCTCTTGCCCGCCCCCTACTGGGGACCTGGCCTGCAACCCAGGCCTGTGCCCTGACTGGGAATCGAACCGGCAACCCTTTTGATTTGCAGGTTTGCACTCAATCCACTGAGCCACACCAGCCAGGGCAGAAACAGAACCAATTTTAAAGATGAGTCTGGCTTACTAGCTCAATTTTTTAAGAACTTTTTGATAACTGGCAATTAGAAAGTAGAAGTAGGGAAATAAAAACACGTTAGAGACACATTCTCTCCCGCCCCGTTTGGAAGGACTCACAATTTAGAACCGCGACAGTTGAATTGCAACGAGAGCGGAAGCGGCGACCGCTGTCCCCTCTGACCGGAACGACTGTGGGTTATCGTCTTTATTTTCTCCTCGGAGCCCATTTCTCAAAACAGGTAGTAAGGCCACAAAGTGGTTTACCCACGTTTCGTAGTACAGTCAGCCGCTCCTTCATGTGTTTGATAAACATCCATGGAATTTTAGAATTTTCAGAATTTTAAAATGAATACTTAAAAAGGATTCGCAGAATTGGGTTTAATTTTCCAAGACAGTGGAGCAGGTCTTTCTAGTGAGATGAGGAGGGACCGGGACGAGAGAAAATGCCACTGACATTCATCTTAAAAATGTTTTAAGTTTCCAAGATTAACACACAGAAGCCCATATAATTTGGTATGTGGGTAAAATCTCGATTTTGTAGCCAGCCTTCCAGATACGCACACTGGGAGCACTGCTCACATTCGCTGATACCGGCGTGCACGCTCACCAGCTCACGTCCTGTCAGTTCAGAAATTCCAGGGCACGCGCCAGGTTCTCTGGTTACACCCCCGTCCGAGGGAGGGGGGCTGTCCATCCCGTAACTCGGCACTTTTCGAACTGAGGTCCAACAAGCACATTGAGCAGTTCGTGAGTACATTTTCCTCCTGGATAAACCAGACTGGAATAGAAAATATTAGAGCGTAATGCATGTAGTAAGAATAAGCAGCTTTTTAAAGTTCTGTGTTGCCTTTTATTCAAACGCACACTCGTAGGCTGGTCCACATTGCAGCCTGTGCTTCTCGCTGTCGAAGGAGCCCAACAAAAACTTCTCGTGTTCGTACGTAACAGATTGACTGGTTGTGCACTTGCAGAGGTGGAGTTTAAGGAGGGGGAGACCCAGCATGTTGTGGAAATCGAAGTCATCTTCGACGGGGTGCGAGAGATGCGGGAGGCCTTCACCGTCCACCTGCAACCGGATGAGAATATGGTGGCAGAGACGCAGGTGAGCAATCCAAATTCATGGAGACTCAGGTGAGCAATCCAAGGCAGGCACAAATTCATGGAGACGCAGGTGAGCAGTCCAGTGCAGGCACAAATTCATGGAGACGCAGGTGAGCAATCCAGTGCAGGCACAAATTCATGGAGATGCAGGTGAGCGATCGGTGCAGGCACAAATTCATGGAGACGCAGGTGAGCGATCAGTGCAGGCACAAATTCATGGAGATGCGGGTGAGCGATCGGTGCAGGTGTGAGCTCACAGCCAGCAGCCCACCAGGGCAGCCGCCTCCGAGCCTCCCACGAGGCCTCTACACAGCATCCGAAGATGCCCGTTACCCCTTCTGACTCCTAAATAAATTTTGCTCCTATTGGGTTATAATCAAGAAAGTCCTGTCTTTCTTTGAAAACTCCTGTTTGCAGAAACTCAAGGACTGGAGTCGCCGAGCCCTGCATCTGTCCCCGTCCCTTCCCTGGGTCAGTCGGGAACAACAGGGTTTAGGATTCGTCTCTGGAAGCCCTGGCTGGTGTGGCTCAGTGGAGTGAGCACTGGCCTGCAAACCAAAAGGGCACCGGTTTGATCCCCACTCAGGGCACATGTGTGGGTTGTGAGCCAGGTCCCTAGTTGGGGTGGGCAAGGATTCATCTCTGGAGAGAAAGCAGCCCCTCGGCCACAGCTGAGAAAACACATCTTCACCCGAGAGGGAGCTGGCTAATCGCGAACCCCACCTCGTCGACCTCATTTTGTTAAATCTGTGTCCAGAGCCGCAGTGGCCAGCACGGTCTCCGTGTATTTAATTCATATGGTGTCAGCAACCAGAGCTTCTTCCAGATGAACATAGTTTCCACAGATTTTCAACCTTTACACCTAAAATAGTTTTTAAAGCTAAACAGTTTTAGGAACAGGCCAATGTGTTAGTGTCTGCACTTAAATTTACTCTATTTCTTCTATTACTTGTTTCACTGTTAGTAGGAGCTCAAACCAGGGAGATTTTTCCCCCAAACTATTGATTATCGTTTCCCGATTTTCACTGTTTGGTGGTATTTCTGCTGCAGTGCCTTGCTGTTCCTTAAAGTCGTATTTGAGACTCAAGGATGGGCAGAACGTCTTTTTCTGAGCCTTGATCACATGAAAATGAGTCTTACTGACTCCATAAAAGTAACAAATGAGTTGTTATTTCTACGGAGCATAAAGTAAAGGAACAGAGACTCCCCTGAATCACGTCAAGTACTAAGAGCTCCGTCTAAGGATCCGCCTGTAAACACGGGTGTGGAGACGACGCCCGTCGGGCTCTGGGAGGTCACTCGGGAGCTAAGGCACGTTGATCGGCCAGGTGCTCCGGTCCCCTGACCAGTGGCACGTGGCCCGAGGTTCCTGTCCTGTCAGGGCCCGGCGCCTCCAGCAGCCGCTGCCCACCCACAGCCATGCAGCCCCCACGACCTCCGGGGCCCACCTTCTCTGTGGGGTCTGCGCACCTCCCTCCCGCCATCCACTCCGCCTCGTCTGTGGGTCGTCAGCTCACAGCAGAGTGAGCTGCTGTCCTCCCAGTCAAGGGAGACAACCAGAGCCCCGGTTCCTCGTGGGCCACTGGCCAACCCAGGCCGCCCTGGGCTCGGGGACAGTCCCCTGGTGCCAGCAGACAGGGCCACGGGGCGGGACCCGGGGGCACAGACTGCAGGGGGCCCGTCACCCCACAGGGGCCCTGTGGGCGACAATCCTGTCCCCCAAAGATGTGGCCTTGCCGGGCGTCAGGGCATCTCCCTGTGCGGCCGACGCGTCCAGAGCCCCGCGTCCCCGTGGTCACAGGCCATCCCCCTCCGGCAGGTGACCAAAGCCATCGTGTACATAGAGGAGGCGAACAGCATGGCAGACGTCACCTTCCCTTCGGTCCCTCGAGTGGTGTCCCTGCTGACCTACGACGACGCCTCCAGAGCCAGGGACGGCGCCGGCCCCGCGTCGGGCTACCCCGTGGTCTGCGTCACGGTGAGCAGGGCGGGGCCCGGGCCAGAGTCTCCAGGGTTTCGGTGGCTGCGGCCCCAGCGGCCCAGCCTGGCGTCGGCGTGAAGAAGTGAAGTGGGGGGAACGGCCCGGCTCCGACTCCGGGGGTGGGGGCTCCTCGTCCCTCCTCGCTGCGGCGAAGGCGCCCCGGCTGGGGTGTGCACAGCGTGCCGTCGCGTGTTGTCTCCGGTCACGGCATGTCATCACATGTCACGGCGTGTCATCACGTGTCATGCTGTCACTGTGTGTCATGCATTGTCACAGGGTCATGGCATGGCATTGTGTGTTGTCTCAGTGTGCCATCATGCGCTGCCTCCGGATCCCACCGTGTGTTGTCATGTGTCCTCTCAGTGTCATCGCATGTCACCACATGTCATAGTGCCACCACATGCCACAGGGCCTCAGAGTGTGTCCTCACGCGCTGTCCCTGAGGGAACCGAGGGTGGAACTCCTCACTCCAGGGAGTAAAAGACACAGAGGAGGAAAGTGTGCGAGAACCGCCCACGCGGCCCCGGGCGGGAACGTCCCGTGTGCGAGGGCGGCCACCGCGGGCAGGAGCGGCCGCACCGCCAGCCGCGTCTGGAAGAACAGCCCCAAACGGCGTGTGTGTGTCGTCGTCACGCGCCTGTTCGCCTGCTCTAAACGTGGGCCGCTGTGAGCGGACCCCGGGGCCCCTTCCCTCTCCTGTCACCACAGCCCTGGGTCAGGACCCGCGTGGAACAGGCTCGCGGTAAATGTGCGTTGGGTTAACGGGCCAGAAATCGGAGCGTGGAGCCGAGTTGCGGAGAGAGGTGGCTGCAGGCTCCTTCGGGGCGTCGGGGGCCGGGCCGGAGGAGCAGGGCGGGGTGGGCACGGGAGCGGGGTGGGCACGGGAGCGGGGTGGGCACGGGAGTGGGGCGGGCAGCAGCGTGCACTCCGAGAGAGCGGCCCCAGTCGGGGAGGCGGGAGGGAGCAGCTGAAGGAACTCGGGGAAGAAGAATCGACCGGGTTCACTGACCCTCCCGTGGGGGGGGGGGCAAGACGAGGGACCAGGGGAGGGAAGGGCAGGAAAGGGGCAGAGACTCCCCCTCCCTCCGTCACACGGTCCACTCCGAGGGTCCCAGGTGAGGAAGCGAAGAACACCACTTTCCTCGAGTTACAGCAGAAACAAGCCTCCAGCAGCTTCAAGTTCAGGGTCAGGGCCCACGAAGGCCACCCCGGCCCTCTGTCCCCCCAGGCCTGCAACCCGAAATACCCCGACTACGACCGCACGGCCTCCATCTGCGCGAGTGAGAACATCAACGACACGCTGACCCTCTACCGGTGGCTGAGCAGCGCGCCCGTGGGTGCCGACGGCGTGGCCAGCCCCCTGCGAGAAGTGGACTTCGACACATACTTCACGTCCACGAAGACCATCACCTTGGACTCCATCTACTTCCAGCCCGGCTCCAGGCTGCAGTGCGCGGCCCGCGCGGTGAGCGCTGACGGCAGCGAGGGCCTGGAGCTGCTGAGCCCGACCGTGACCGTCAGCAGAGAGGACGGTGAGGCCCCCGGTGCCGGGCGGTGGCGTAAATGTCTGATCTCTGGTTACGAGTCTTTCAAATACCCCCTGTGTTCCATATTACGCTCTCTAAGTACTTAAAAATGTCATCATTTAAAAAAAAATATTCATTAGAAAGCAAAAATGTATTCACTCCACACTTTTAAATTGCCTGTCATGCACCAGAGTTGTGGCTGGTGTATAAGTGCTTTATGCTGCAACTAAAAAAATAAATGGCCCTGGCTGCTGCGGCTCGGGGTGTTGGAGCGTCATCCCATAACCCAGATGGTCGTGGGTTCGATCCCCACTCCAGACAGGGACAAGAAGCAGCCGATCGGTGTCTGTCTCCCTGTCGTTGTCCCTGCCATGCCCGCTCTCTAAAATCAGTGGGCATGTGCTCGGGTGAGGTTTTAAAACAATTAAACAATGCTTTAAAAGGGGCCCTCCCGATAATAAAACAGCCCAGGTGCTGAGGCCTGCCTCTGATTTCATTCCTATCCAATGAGCACCTGTTTCCTGGGTTTTCTGTGCAGCTAGAAAGGAAATCATGTATTCCTAGATGTCTTGACATTGTGATTTAATATCTTGGTCTCTTCCATGACATGAAAATGAAAACCTCAAAATTCTTTCAAAGCAGCCCTGGCTGGTGTAGCTCAGTGGATTTGGGCCTGCGAACCAGATGATCGCGGTTCGATTCCCAGTCAGTTGGGTTGCAGGCCAGTTGCCAGAAGGGGACACAGGAGAGGCAACCACACACTGATATTTGTCTCCCTCTCTCCTTCCCCTCTAAAAATAAATGAATAAAATCTGTAAAAAAAAATTTTTTTAAAGCAAACACATCCAAATTCTTGAGGGTCACAGGGTATGGGGGAGAGAGAATGGTAAAGAGTCACAGTTTATAATACACTGTAAGAAATTACATGTATACAGAATACTCTACTGATTCTACAGAGACTTGAGTTTTAAAAATGAGCACATGTCTGGTTTTATCAGCTCATAACTAAGTATATGTTATGACTAGTGATAAGTGTATTATTCTAGAGCAAACATCAAATTCACTGAGATTACACTTCTTTTCTGTTGACTTTCCATCATCCTCACTGTGTCTGTTCGTACTTCATGTTAAAATGATTTGGGGACACGCTCCGACCTACACTGTTTGGCACCTATTAAGTCCTGTTTTCCTCAAACTTCCTACACGCCGTGGTCTCCTGCTCCCTAACACTGTCTCCTCTCAGCAACACCTCAGTCCGGAGAGAATAGTAAAGTTACAGAGAAATAATAGTGCCCATCTTAAAACTGTCCTTTATGTTTTCCACTGTCTACTTTTAACACAAATATGTCCCTTTCTAGGCCTTTGTCAGCCCCGGGTGCCAGGGACAGTGGGGGCGGAGCCGTTCTCCGCGAAGCTGCGCTACGTGGGCGCCGAAGACCCCGAGCACGCGAACCTCGTGCAGCTCACGGTGACGCTGCCGCACACGGACGGTGGGTGCCTGGGGCGCACAAATCCCGGACGGGGTCCGGCTCCGCGTCGGCCGGTCCGTTTCACGGACGCCCCTGAACAGCCGAGCAGGCAGCGGGCCTGGGGCTTCAGGTCTTTCTGCTTCGTCCAAACGTTCCTGCTTTCCGGCTGCCCGTGTGTTAAAATCGGACAGTGTAGCTGTCCGATTCATTCCCTAAAATGAGGTCGATGTGACTCGTGCCCAAGCGCAGTGGAGGGAAGCCTTGGCCATGTGCTGGCTTTCACGGACGAGCACAAACGGGCCTTCAAAACTCTTGAACTTGCACTTGCCGCAAAGTGTTTTGGGCCGGCCCTGGTCTTCAGTGCATCTTCGCTGTTTCGCAGCTGGGGTTCGAGAAGCTCCCCCAGCAAAGTAAAATTAAAAATGCAACTACCGAGATTGCACTGGGTGCCCCTTTCCTCCGGGTGGGGAGGTGCGGCCGGAATTGGGGAGTCGATACCTTTGCCCCGAACACCGAAGACATTTTCGAGTTGTGTTCTACTCGGTTCACTTTTACACCAGAAGAAAATCGTTCAGTTACTTGGCTGTGGGTTACGTTGTAAGTCGCTGAGGGAGAGGAGATGGGCGTTACGAGGTGGAGCTGTGTCCGTTCTTTACGAACCCGAGTCTGTGTGTGTTGGGGCGGGGCCTCGGCTGACCGGAACCTACCCCTCTTCACAGCACCACGCTGGGGCCACGACTGACCACTTGTCTGGGTTGACCTTGGACATGGACCCTGGGGTGAAAAGAGCCGAGGACAAACCCACCGCGCAAAACCAGGCCTACAGAAGCCAAGCGCGAGGGTGGAGGGGTCGAGGGATAGCTCGGTGTCCTCACGACAGTGGCTGTACGTCACTGCTGCCCCGAGCACTCCCGGGAGCCCCGGGTCCCAGGGCCGCCCTCTGAGGGCCGCTGCTCTGCGGGCCCCTCTAAGACTTGTGGAGAGGCGCAGGGACCAGGACGCATCCCCCGCCCGGGGCGGGAGTGGTGACGCGGACTGCACCTCCCGCAGGCCTGCTCCCGGTGATCTCCACGAAAGAGCTGTCCGGCTTCGAGCTCACCCTCAGCCCGGACGGCACGAGGGCGGCAAACCACAGGTGCTCCACCCTCCTGGATTACACCGAGGTCAAGACCCACCACGGGTTTCTGACCGAGGCCACGAAAAACCCAGAGGTGGTCGGAGAGACGTACCCCTACCAGTACAGCACGTCCCTGCGGGGGGCCAGCACCTTGCGCTTCTACCGCAGCCTGAACCTGGAGGCCTGCCTCTGGGAGTTCGAGAGCTACTACGACCTGTCGGAGCTGCTGGCCGACTGCGGGGGCACCGTCGGGACCGACGGGCAGGTACGGGCGCCGCGTCTGGGCCGCGGCCGGTCGCTGAGCGGGTGCCTCGGCAGCCCCGTCTGGAAGGGGCGCTGGACGGGCCAGGGAGCGGAAGGGACCTGGGAGGTGTGTGGCGGGAGGCGGCCGTGGCTGCCCTGAGCCTGCAGACCAATTTCTCTCCGGCTCTTTTTCTGCTGCCCTCCACCCACCCGTTCACTTGGTCGTCCGCATGCACAGATCTGCGGGGGGGGGGGGGGGGGAAGTACCATGTAACTTATGTGACCCTGACGCAGCCCCCGAAATGTGGTGGCCGCCCAGCAAACAACTGCTAGTTTAGTCTCACCCGCACCCCCAGTCCGCCAGCAGAACAGCTACAAGAGGGAAGTGTAACACTCCCGCGGCAGACGACCACGTGGTGTGGGGTTCCCTCTGCAAGGAACGTGCGAACAGGCGAACCCACAGAGGCCGAGGGTCGGCTGCTGGTCCCCGCGCCTGCGGGCAGTGGTGGGCGGGGCACGACGTTCGTCACGGGACTGGCTGCTAACGAGTAAGCAGTTCCTCTCCCTTTCTGGGGGGGTTAGAATGTCCCCAGTTGTTAGTAGCGACAGTCACACGGCTCCCTGAATGCCTTGAGTGCCAGCCATTTGTCTGCTGGAAGGGCGTTGTGGGGCGCGTGACCTGTGTCACAAAGCTGACGCAGAACTAAAGGGCGGGTAGCAGCTCTACCGTCGGGGCGGCCACTGCGCGTTCTGTGTTGCGCAGGAAGCTGGTACAGCAACAGTGCCTTCCTGCCTTCAAAATTAATGCTCTCTCTCTTTTTTTTTGACACTGTCTCTTCCCCAGCGGTGCCCGGCACCTGGTGTGCAGCCCGGCCCACGGGGTGAGCAGTGCGGACCCCGCTGACGGCTGCGATTCCCCATTTCAGGTCCTAAACCTGGTGCAGTCCTACGTGACGCTGCGGGTCCCGCTGTTCGTGTCCTACCTGTTCCACTCACCCGCGGGGGCCGGGGGCTGGCAGCACTTCGACCTGAAGGCCGAGCTGCGGCTGACTTTCGTGTACGACACGGCCATCCTGTGGAACGACGGCGTGGGCAGCCCCCCGGGGGCCGAGCTCCAAGGTGGGGCCCGCACCTGGGAGGCACCTGGCGTCTCTGACAGCAGCTAAAGCAGCAGCAACACCTCTGGGGGCAGACAACTGTTTTTGTCATGCGAAAGCATCCTGTCGGGGCTCAGGCTTTGTGTGCCGCGTGGCCGTTCGGTGCAATGCCCGCCTCTCGTGCGCCCCGAACTCTCCCATCCCCCCAAGGAGACCGGGTAAAGGGAACCCCACGGCCCAGTCTGCACAGTTCCCTGGGTTCTGGAAAAATGGGCAGCGGAAGTTCTGATTGACACAAAGAATGGGCCCAAGAGAAAAAGTTCTGCGCCTTTGATTCCGGAAACGGGAGGCACGTTTTTAAGTCCTGGGCCCGCGATAACCAGCGGTGGGGCCCTGACCGTGGTGCCGACGTGGAGAGGTGGGCTAGGCTTCCAGGGTCCTTTCTGCTGTCGAGCCCCTTGGGTCTGTGATGCTTTATCTGTGCGTTTTGGAACAACGGTGGGAACAGCCCGGCTGTGGACCCATCGGCCACTGCAGGACTGCGGTTCCGTCTCCGCGTCAGAACCGTGTGACGCGCAGTCCTGGTTGTGAAGCTGGCGGGTCCGCTGGAGAAGGAGGGCTTCCCTCTCCCGGCCGGCACCTCGAGGGGGTCTGAGCACCCTGCCCCCGTGACTTTTTATGAGCTGGAGGGAAAATACTGTCCACACTTCAGTCTCAGATCTGCCACCTCACCAATTAAAAGTACCCAAAAGCCATGCGTTGGGTACTGTGTTCAACCTGAGTGATTATTCCAGATTATTCGACATAATTCAAGGCCGTATTTCACCTTCTGACTCTCCCATCACGCGGACGCTTCTGAGAGTGCCCTGTGGCCGGAACGCTCAAAGACCGGGGGGCACGAACTCGGTCTTGGAAGGACCCCTGTAACGCGCAGTCCCTGGTCACCGACCTCTCCCCTCTTGCAGGTTCTCTGCATCCAACCAGCATGCGCATCGGTGAGGACGGCTGCTTGGTCGTGAACTTCAAGACGGAGGCTCAGTTCCACGGCTTGTTCGTGCTCTCACACCCAGGTAAGGCCCCCGCCTCAGTCACAGCCACCCCCAGGGCCCAGGGCAGGTCTCGTCGCATCCACACACACTCCAGGGGGCTTCCTCTCGAGTGGCAGCCCCGCCTTGCAGAGGAAGCATCTGGATCTGCCTGAAGGCCCGTCACGGACCAGCTGCGTCTCACATCTGCAGCGTCACCGTCGTCTGTGTAGACTTTCAGAGAAAATACAAAACTATTGAATAAATTGAAAAGAACACCACCAGGCTTATTTTAGATGACATTTTCCTTAGATAAAGCGCACACTCCGATTCCATTGTACAAAAATAATCGAATTTCAATTTGTTCAGCGAGAACTTCTGTGCTCACAGGGGCTGTCCAGGGACCACAGGACAGCTTCGATAGGGCCCGAAGCAGCAGGTCTCTGTCCTCCTTAACAGGTCTGTCCTCAGACCTGTTACCTAATGCCCGTAATTATTGGCTGTGTAATGTAACTGATGGACGGGCTGTGATTTGAATTTCAATCAGGTCGCAGGCGCTACGGTCCCAGCTCAGAGCCTTACTTAACAGAAAGGACATTTCACACAAAACAACTTGTTGACTCTGTTACCGAGACGGTTCGCATATTTGATGGGCACGATTCTGCAGATTGGCGGGAAAATCATTCTCTGGCAGCCTTTTCTGTCCTTGTTTTTTGGGGATGGAGGGAAGCACTCAGCCCTGGAGAGAACAGGGCTGAACATTTAGGAATAGAAAACGTGTCCGTGGTACTTTTATGAGACGGAACTACGAGAAGTACAGAATCAAAAAACACATTTTTTATTGCACATCTCAGTTCTGGAAAATGAGGTTGCATAGCCTTCACAGTTCCCGTCCACACGTCCACCTTCCTAATAAATGCAATCTCTGGACGTGAACTTGGGCAGTCTGCGTAAAAACGGATTCCGCGTCTGACTGGGTTCGCCCGGCTGGGTGGGCGCCGTGGACGGGGAACTCAGCTAACCAACCGCCCTGCTGCACAGGCAGTGCCTCCCCCTGGGCCTTGCCCCCCGGGCGGCAGCCTTGGACTCTGAGCCTTTTCTGCGCAGTTGCTGGGCGGGTTGCAGTGGGAAACTCGCTGAGTTAGGGACCCAAAGGCGCAGGATCTCGCCGTGGGGTCTTGGGAGAGTCACGCAGTTTCTCTCTCTCCGAAAAATGCGGCCGTGGCCCTGCTACTGTGCAGGTTCACAATGTGAATAAAAGGAAACAGTGTATCAGAAAGCACTTGTGAGAGTCCCGGCCGTCACGCGCTGTCTCTAACCTCCACGCCGTGGCTGTCCCCGGCACCTGTCCAGCCTCCCTCACCAGCTCCGTGGTCACGTCGGCCGCTCACCCGGGCCTGACCTTCTCTCTGCGCCTCCTGCGGAGTGAGCCGACCTTCAGCCAGCCAGCCCAGGAGTGGAGCTTCGTGTCCGACCTCGCGGTGAGTGGCCGCGCCTGTCCCCCGGCCCTCCTCTCCGGGGGCCTCTGACCCCACCACCGATTCCTCCGTGCCCCCCCCCCACAGGTGCGGGACTACTCAGGCAGCTACTCGGTGACGCTGCTGCCCTGCACGGCGCCGTTGCATCAGGGGTACCACCTGCCCGTCACCTGCAGCCCCGGAGAGCCTGTCACCTTTGACCTTGACATCCGATTCCAGCAGGTGTGTCCCCGAATTGTTTCCCCACGACTGGCAGGCTCCCACTTTGTTACTGGTTTGGTTTACTTGCATCTGTTAAAAGAAATTCACACAAGGATTTGGATTCCTGCATCCTGGGAGGAAAGAAGGAAGTCAGGGAGGGAGGGCGGAGGAATGAATTGTCCTTCGTCGACGGAGGTCCAGCCTGTACACCGTAACGCAAGCGCAGGAAGAGCTACTTTTCCCTCACCTCTCCCTGGAGTTTGCCGCCCCGCAGACTGGGGAGTCGTCCCGAGTTCTGTTCGTCTCCATCTTGTTTTCGGTCTTCACGAAGAACCTCAAAGTACCTAACTGCCGTGTATTCCAAGAGACATGACGGCCCTTGGTGTCCAAGGCCCCCACCAAACGTCGGCCTGCCCCCGACCGGACGTTTGCGAGGCCCTGCTGGGCCCCGATAAGACAGCGGGAGTGGCTCAAGCAGTGCTCTTTGGTGTCTGTCCCTCGGGAGAAAATGTCACCTGGCCGGTCCCGCCTCCTCGGGGAGGACAAAGCTCCCCAAGTTGGTTCGGGTGTTTAGTGTTTTACACGTCCACCTGCAGCCAGTGTGCGTGTCTGTGCGGGATGTGTGTGCACGCCCTGAACCACCACAGCACGTAACCGGCCCTGACCCTCGGTTTCAGGTCAGTGACCCCGTGGCGGCGGAGTTCGGCCTGAACACCCACATGCGCCTGTTCTCCGAGAAGAGCCTCTGGTTGTCCGATGGGTCCGTGGGCTTCGGGCAGGAGGGCGACGTGGCGTTTGCAGAAGGTACGGCTTTGCAGACGGGAGGCCCGCGCCGTGTCCCACACGCCGCGTCTGCGCCTCACGTTGCTGGGGTTGTGTTTGAGGGGGAACATCGTACCCTCTGTACGGTTTGGAGAATACACCGGGGTGTCCGTCACCGTGGCAGAGCGGGGTACGGGTCGCTGGGTGACTGTGTCTGGAGAAGGGAATCTCTCTTTTCCTTACCTGAGTGGTTTTGGGAACAAGTTCGTTTATTTTTTCTTGAATGTATTTTCCAGTTTTACAGACTCAAATGTTGCAGCCACACGGGGTTGTCAGTGCCGTGGGGGCCGGCACTGTGGCTTTCCCACGCGGCCCCGGCCGAGTATCCGGCACCTCGGGTCGGAGGTCAGCAGGGAGCGTCCTTAAAGCCTCCTTCACAGTCAGATGAAGTTCATTCAGCTTTTTACTGATGTTTTTTTACTGTTAGCCTATAATGTATTAGTCTGCATCTTGCCGACTAATTTATTTGTGTAAACTACACTTTAACCACATGAGCTAACACAGAGGTTAAGGTGTAGCCGAGACGTGAGGTCATTGCCATGGTCGGCTGGTCACTCGAGAGCCAACACACATTCAGGCCCCTGTGGCCATTCTGCCGCGCGGCCACACCGAAGGCCCTGGAGTGACCCAGATCCGGGAGGGACACTTAAAGGTCTTTGACACTTGACGCCACCCTAAGAAGAGAAGGAAGTTCTCTCTAGGGTCCTCAGTGTCGTCAGAAATCACTCCCAGGGCCGCGTAGACCCGCCCCCCACGACCCCAGGGCGACACCCTGCGCCTCTGTGCCAGGTGACGTCATCTACGGCCGCGTCATGGTGGACCCCGTCCAGAACCTGGGTGACTCCTTCCGCTGCAGCGTGGAGAAGGTGTTCCTGTGTGCCGGGGCCGACGGCTACGTCCCCAAGTACAGCCCGAGGGACGCGGAGTACGGCTGCCTGGCCGACTCGGCCTCGCTCCTGCACAGGTTCAAGATCGTGGTAAGTGCGCACTCCGCCAGGACGCAGGGGCTGCGCGCCTCCTCCTGTGACTGCGTCATAGAACCGCCGGCCCGGAGAACCACCAGGGCGGCAGCTGAGCAAAACTCCCGAGACTGAGGACGCAGGAAGGAGCCACGGGGAGGCTGGCGGGAGGGGCAGGGAGACAGAGCCGCCGGCCCCACACCAGGGGCAGTGGCGAAGAACAGGGGAGGCACCCCGGCCGACGCGGCTCAGCCGGTTGAGCGTCATCCCTCAGAGCGAAGAATAGGGAAGGGTGTCTTGGCTGTCCAGGGTCCCCCGGAGGAGAAAGGGGTTCCCGCCCCACATGAGAACCAGTGTTAAAAGGAGGGGCCCCCACAGCAGGAGGCTGTGACGTCGGCAGGGATTCCTGCCAGGCCGACCGAGGGCTGCCGCGGCCCCCGTGAGGTGGTCCTTCAAAGGGCCCGCGCGCAGACCCACTTGCTCACGTCCCCCCAAAGCTCCAGTGAAGGGACAGGGACCTGTGGGGGTTGTGTCGCTGCAGGACGGGGGCTGGAGAGACAGCTTCCCGAGACTGAAGTGCCGGTGGGCGTCACTGTCCCTTTGCCAAGGCGTCCCCCACACAGCCAGCAGGGGCGGGGCAGGGCCCGCTGACCCCGCTAGCGCCACCCAGCTCACCCATTTTTTCAAAAATGGCCAAAGGACCTGAGTAGACACTTCTCCAAAGAGGACATGCAGGTGTCCAATAAACATATTGAAAGATGCTCAACGTCACTAACCATCAGAGAGATGCAAATTAAAACCACAGCGAGGTACCACCTCACACCTGTCAGAATGGCCATCGTCAATGGATCTACCAACGACAGGTGCTGGTGAGGACGTGGAGGAAACATTAGAGATACTGAGACCGCCTGACGGTCTCCAAACAGGAGGGGCCGGGGGGACGGGTGAAGAAGCGAAGGAGCGAGAAGCACCAGTCGGTGGTTACAGAGCGGTCTCCGGTGCGTGCAGTGCAGCGCAGGGAAATGCAGTCGACAGTGTCGTCATCACTACATCTGGTGCCAGGCGGGTGCTAGTCTCATGGGGGCACCTTGTAAGGTGAATGTCTGGCCGCCCTGCCGTGCACCTGAAACTAATACCACATTGAACATCGACTGCGACGGAAAACTAGATGTTTTTAATTGGGGTAATGGCTTCAACCCAAACGATGAACTGGGAACATTATTCAGAGTTAAGCATTTTCCTCTCAACTTCCACACGATAGCATCTTTTCAGGGGAAACTAAACAGCCACATTCTGTGGTCATTTGTCCTTTCGCCAAATCTGCCAGGACGACGCCGGAGTCGGCATTTCCCACGGAAACCCCCCTTTTCTTTTTCGCCTCAAGGACAAAGCGCAGCCGGAGACACAGGCCACCAGTTTCGGAAACGTCCGGTTCAACGCCAAGCTGGCGGAGGACGACCCTGAAGCTGTGCCGCTGGTGAACCAGCCGGGATCCGACGGATTTAAAGTGGACTCGACGCCCCTCTTCCAGGTGGGCCGGCGACCAGCTCACCTAGAGTAGCTGCGGGACCGCCCGCAGGTCACCCGGCCGGCTCAGCGGCACAGGGCACACGGCAGGGCTCGATTGCATTTGGCATTGGGGGACGCACGTCCATCACGGCCAGCCCCACCGGGCCCGGGTGCGCACCCCAAAAACTCCAGCTCGTCTTGTTGTGCCTGTTAACGTGTGTTGTAAAGTCCGTGTGCGCCGAGGCCCTCGTTCAGCACAGGAGTCCCAGGCTGATGCGGGGGCGGGGGGGGGGGCATCGGCTTTCCTCACTCAGCAGGTCCTGCCTGCTGGCCCCTGGTGACCATCCCGCCACAGTGGTCTCGTTGGAGCCGTGGGGCTCAGCTAGACAGCCAGGCAGGGCCTGTGAATCCCTGTCCTCCAGGACCTTGTGATCCAAGACAGAAAACTGTGACCTGGGGGTGGACAGGACAAAGGGGCGCAGGAAGCAGACAAGGGGACACATTCTGAGATGGGGTCACACCGAGTCCTTGGGGAAACTGTACTTTCTAGGACAGTAACTGAGAAGTGTTCAGACGGAATTGGTTGGAGCAACGTGTTGACTTTATTTTTAGAGAGGGAGGGAGGGAGGGAGGGAGAAAGGGAGAGAAACATCCATGTGTGGTTGCCTCTCATGCGCCCCCTACTGGGGACCTGGCTTACAACCCAGGCCTGTGCCCTGACTGGGAATCAAACCAGCAACCCTTTGGTTCACAGGCTGGTGTTCAATCCACTGAGCCACACCAGCCAGGGCTAAAGAGAGAATCTTAAGGAGGCACATCTGTTAGGAAGAACTGTGTGTGTGTGTGTGTGTGTGTGTGTGTGTGTGTGTGTGTGTGTGTTGTTACTGTCAACTCGAAGCATTTGTTCTCTTCTGAACCTCGCAGGCTCCCAAGAGCCGTCAGTAAATCCCTTCTTCCCACTGGTCCCGAAAAAGAACAGTGTCCTCTGGTCGTTGGGTGAATGTACAGCAAGATGCACCAGAAACAAGGCCCAGACCCCGGGGGTCTGAGTTCTACTCCTGCCCCGCCACTCACTGGCTGAGCGGCTGACAGGGGTCGCGTCACTTAACCACTGAGCGTTGGTGGGAAGTTGGACGTCTGAAGTTGTCCCCGGACATTCTAGGGTGACGGGGCAGACGACCGAGTACCTGCCCGCACATCCGCCTTTCACTGCGGCACGAGCGCTGGGCAGAAAGCCTTGCCCTGGCCACAGGGGCAACGCTGGTTCCGTGGACTAACCCCACGGGCCCAGTCAGATCAGCACCCACTGCCTCAGCCGCCAGCGTCTCCGGGAGACGCTCGGGACCGGCTTACACAGCTGTCGCCTTTCTGACGGACAGAGTTGTGTCTTGCAGGTCGCCGTGGGCCGCGAGTGGTACATACACGCCATCTACACGGTGAGATCCAGAGACGGCACCGCCGGCGGCATCGGCAAGAGGAGCGTGCAGCGGCAGCACCACTGGGTCGGGGCGGCCCCGAGTGGGGGGCGGAGGAGGGCCCGGCGCACCCCGCCGCTGGTGTGGGAGATCGGGGCGGAAAAGGGCCGGGGGACAGACATCCAGCACATCGCCCTGGACCGCACCCGTGAGAAGCAGGTCCCCGAGGGAAGAAGGGTCCCCGCACACGGCGCCCCCCCGCGGGAGCCCCACGGCCCCCTGCCCGAGGTCGGCCTGGCCGTGGTCATGGGCGGCCTCACCGTGGGGCTGCTGGCCCTGGGCCTCGGCGCCGTCGCCGCTGCCCTGCTGTGCCGGAGCAGGGCCCGCAGGAAGGAGGCCCCCCAGGGCTCCGGCAGCAGCAGGGAGCCCATGATGCCCCCGCAGAGCAGCGTCCCCAGCGACAGCTCCGAGGTCTGATGGCCGTGGGGACACGTGCCCCATTCCTCAAGTGCCTCCGACTTAAGACACTAGAAACCCAAATGCCTCTGGAAGCGCAGGGGACCGGGGACATGTGCGCCCCAGCCGCCTCCAGGAGCCGACTGAGCTCGCAGACCAGGAGTGAGTCCTGTCTGCGCCTTCACACCTCAGCGGACAGTTCGGACCTCGGGCCGCGTCCCCCCTCCCGCCCGGGCAGCGCAGCCCCAAGCCCACACTCACGCAGAGCCCGGGCAGCGGTGTCCTCCGCTCGGCTCAGGCGCTGGCGAGCCTCCGAGAAGTGCCACAGGCTCGTGCGCCTTACGCACGCGGAGGTGCAGTTGTCACAGGGCTTCCTGGTCGTGTGACAGTTTATTCCTGGAAGAGGTTCGGTCGGGGGTCTGGGGGCCTAGTAAACACACTGGTGATCGCGACGAGCTTTCCACGGGGGGAAGGCAGCAAAGCACCATGGCCAGGGCGACGCGGCCCGCAGACCCCCCTCTGGGGAGGGAGCAGAGGGAGGTTAGAAGGCAAGGGACTCACTCACTTGCGTTGGAACCGTTTCTTTTCTTCGTCAGACCGGCCTCGTTCCACGTGCTCATTTCATTTGAGAGTCACCCAGAGAAAACGGGTTACGTGAGGGAGAGACGCCGAATGGAGGCTGCTCTGGTCTGGTGCAAAGTGAGAAGTGGCGCTGAGTTCTCGCACGGTGTTACACCTCACTGGTGCTCCCTATTTACGGGAACTGGCAGGGGTGACAGTTCGATGACACGGAGGTGCCACAGGACAGGTTCACATCCGCACGACAGTGCCCTTCAGGACTGAACCCACAGGTGGCGGGAGCAGCGGTGTGCGGAGGAGGAACGTGTCTGTTAAGAGGACACGTGGCGTGAGGTCAGGCCTCAGCAGCGCCCTCGCGCGGCCGCTCCGGCACTGCAGCTGCCGCCGGAGCCGCCCCTCCAGCCTCCGCGGCAAACCTGTCTGTCACCCGGAGACGGAGACGGTCTCGGTGGCGGCCAGCATCGTCCGTCACATTCTCCTCCAACCCGAAAGCCAGTACAGGGTCGCTCTCTGGCGTCTTCCGTTGAGTAACCCACGCGCTGCGTCCCTCTAGGATCTCAGCATGTAATGGGTGACGCCGCGGACCACATTGAAAACCAAGGACTGGGCCGAGTGAACGTCCATGGCAAGGCTCCCGTTTCTTCCGGGGAAAGGTGCTTTTTCACCAAAGGGCAGAAATCGTGCTCGGAAAGGGCCGATGCCTGCAGCTGGGTCGGCCGTCTCTGAAAGGCTGGTAGTTCTGCGAGCACAAATCCGCCCGGGGAGGAGCAGCCACCAGAGTCCCCTCCGTCTGCTGAGTCCCCTCCGTCTGCTGAGTCCCCTCCGTGAGAACAGGAGTGTCCCTGTTCGAAGTCTTTGTGAGGAACAGAGTGTTCTGGTGACTTTCAGCCATGCACACGCAACACCTGACCCTTCAGTCAGGGCCACGGACCCCGTTTCCCCTCGATTGTCCAGTTAAACAGTGACAGCAGCCAATAAATCACAACTGTACCTGTTTTTGGTCAGATCAACAAAAACTACATTTTTGGGTGTGCCACAGAATTTGAGAAATTAGTTTATGTGCCATGAGGTGACAGAGGGTGAACGTCCCTGGAGCAGGCTGTGTTCCGCTTCCATCAGGTCACCTGCCTTTCAGACCCCCAAGGACTTACATGAGTAGAAAGTGCCAGCCCTGGCGGGTGTGGCTCAGTGGGTTGAGCGCTGGCCTACAAACCAAAGGGCCACCAGTTCCATTCCCAGTTGGGGCACATGCCTGGGTTGCAGGCCAGGTCCCCAGTAGGGGGCGCCCAAGAGGCAACCACACATTCTCTCCCTCTCTTCCCCCCTCCTTCCCCTACTCCTTCCCCTCCAAAAATAAATAACGTCTTTAAAAAAACAACAGTAACCCCAGATGGAGGAATGCTAAAGTAACAATAACGTGAAATACAGTGGCATTTAGATTTTAAAAGTCGGAAATTTGACTTCTGCTACTATTTTGAAATATTTAGTATTGACTCAGAAACCGATTTAGTCTTTTAATAAGAAAAAGAAAAATATTTAAAGATGCATATGTTTTGCAAATTTGAAATTTCTGTAGCTGTATTTGAAAACAAGTGTGTCGTGGTTCTTTAAAACTCGTTTTTCCTGGCCACGCCAGCAAGAACAAAACAACAGAAGCAGGTCAGCAGGAGTCTTCACTGACCGCTTCTCGAAGGGTGGGATGCAAACCTTCCAGCATCCACTTTGCCACAGCTTAGGAAAGTGTGATTTGGCCGGAAACTGTACTCACGGCGGGCACCACACACACACACACACACACATGCACCTGAGTATGAAAATAGCCAAACATCTTACTTTCATTAAAAGACCCCAAGAACATAGTTTTAATAGGAATGGCTGAGACGAAGATTTTTCAGGGAGGTCAGCACAAGGCCACTGTGAAGACAGTCGTGGGAGTTTCTTTGACGTTCACTCAAAGGCTCATGGGTTTTCTTACAGTGTTTTCCCTAAAATCGATTTTGGTATCGCCCGGTAATTAGGCAAGATTTTTCAGGAAATACTATCCACAGGCTCTTACTGTCCCTTGTCATCTATTCCTCCTTGTTTCCTTATTCTTTCACGGTAAGAACAAAAGAATTTGGGTAGTTATTTTCATTTTGGTAAGAGATTTTAAAAGAGAAGTGTGTGCTGTGTTCCTCTAGCTTTGAGTAGAAAGATTACACAGAAAACTTTATTAAATTTACTGGGGTGACATTGTCTAATAATATTATATAAGTTTCGAGTGTGCAACTCCATATACATCGTCTATATATTGCAATGTGTTCACCACCCAAAACGTTTAAATAAGCAAAGAAGGTTGGTACTCCCTCTTGGACTACGGTTGATAAAATATACTGATGTGAGATTCTCTCTTTTGGTTTTATCTTATTGGCAGAAAAATCCAAACCTTGAATTTGCAAACTTTAAACAAGAAGTTGTGTTTTCCTGTCTTTTAAAGTGCATTTATTTCCTTTCCCTGATACTTGTGATTTTTAGTGTTGTATTCTTCTAAGAATAACAACAAAAACTCTGAAAACGACATCTTCCTCCCTCCCTGCCCTCCTCCTCCTCCTCCTTTTCCTACTCCCTCCCTCCCTCCTCCCCACCATCTTTCTCTAAAATCAATGAAACCTGTCCTCGAATGAGGACTAAAAAGTAAGAAATTGTGAACCTACGTGGATCAGAAATGAGGGCTAGACCCACAGAGTCAGTATAATTCACTAAAGGATTCACAGCCCGTGGACGGGTCAGAAATCCTACCAATATAATCAGGTTCCGGGGGGAACAGAAGCCACGAACCCCGGGCAGAGCGTAACTCCCGTTGGCGTTTCCGCAGCTGAGGCCTGTGTTGCCGGCGGGCGTGCGAGGGGAGCGCAAAGAGCTGCGAGCCGGTGCGGTAGGTTGGGGCGTGGGGGGGGGGGCTGCATGGAGAATGCGAGTGGGGCGTGCGGGGCGTGGGCAGGGTGTGTGCCCACTCGCGGGCCTGCTGCCCCAGCCCTGGACACAGTGCGAAACCCCGCCTTCCGGAACCCGAAGGTTTGGAACTGAAGCCAGAAGGGGAACGGAAGGCTGTACGGTCCCGCGTCCCCCTCCGCGCAGTGGCCCCCGGACGCCGTCGTGGGTCGTGGGTGGTTCTCGGCGTCGCGTAGGAAAGAGTTCGAAGCCCGAGTCCAGGTGACCGCGAGGCTACACTTATTAAAACTGGGGACAGTGAAACAAGGCGGGGCCTCCCGGAGAGGAGGCGACAGCAGAGCCCGAGCGGTCAAAGAACGGGGGTCCTTGCGAACAGGTTCGGGGGGGTCAGCCTGGGGGAGCTGCCGCTGCCCTTTGCTCTCCTGGTTGCCAGTCTCCGGGGTCCCTTAGAGCTTAAGGGGTGCGGGCCTGGGGGGAGGAAGGGGGAGGGGAAAGGTGCAGGCAGACTCCTGGGGGGGAGGGAGAGCTGGCTGGTCCTTCCTCCCAGAGCGCAGGTGGCAAACACCTGACCCATGGGCCGAACCGGCCTCCACCTTGTTTTAACCCCGTGGCAGCGCCGAGCTCCTTGCCCCTAGTTAAGGAGCAGTTACAGCCATACAGTCCTGAAGTTACATTTGGCCCTTTGAAGGCAACCGAGAGGCCGATGTGGCCCCCGGTGAAAATGAGTTGGACACCCCTGTGACCTAAGCTTTTAAGGGCGGATCTCATTTGAGCATGCAGCAGCTCTCCAGGTGTGACCGCTTAGGGGCGTGGCCTCCTCTGATTGGCTGGTTGGCAGGTCATTAGTCAATGCAGCTAGTCCAGACCAGCCCAGGCATCTCCCACCTGGTTCTTCTGCTTTTTCGGGCCTGGAGCTGAAACACTTGAGTGGGAGCTGTTGCCTCTGGCGGGAGGGGCTAGTTTCTCGCCCTGCCCGGCGCCCTCTGCACCTGGCTGTAAATTGCTCTGCCAGTGTGTTCAGCTCTGCCTCAGTTTCCTTGTTCTGCTTGCCAAGAAATTTTCCCAGCTTCCCACAAGGACTTAGGAGTCGGGCCTGGCTTTGAATCCTAACCCCCCCACCCACTGGCTGAAGGGCCTCGGGCAGGTTACGTAGCCGCTGGTGAGCGCTTTCTCCTCTGCACGGGAAGGACGGGTCTCAGCACCAGGAAGGCCGAGTGAGCACTGTGCGACGCACGGCCGGCGACGCACGGCCGGCGACGCACGGCCGACGTTCAGTAAATGGACGCGAGGAAATCGCAGCCCATCGCTGGAAACAGACCCCAAAGGAAAACTGCACCATAGCAACAAAATAATCTCTGACAAAACAACTTTTAATATTTTTTAAAGATTTTATTTGTTAGAGAGAGGGGGAGGGAGAAACATGAGTGTGTGGTTGCCTCTCGTGCGTCCCCTACTGGGGTCCTGGCCTGCAGCCCAAGCATGTGCCCTGCCTGGGAATCGAACCAGTGACCCTTTCACTCACAGGCCCGCACTCAATCCACCGAGCTACCCCAGCCAGGGCCACAGCAGTTTTTTCAATACATCACACCTACATTCTATGATTTCTTTATTTTTAACACATTTTTTTCTTTTGGAGGGGATAGAGTTTACAAACAATCATTGATCACTGGTGGAATCATTGATCGCTAGTGGAATTAGCCGCGGAGTGAAACTGTTTGCAGGCTGAGGACCTCCCGGTTAACTTACCAAGTTTTGGAGGCAAACAAGCTGGGCGGGTGGAGACAGACAGCTGAGTGCAATCTGCCCCAGGCACACGTGTGCCTTTCTTATGTGTTTTAAAGATTTTAAAGGGGGAGGGAGCTAGAGAGGGAGAGAAACATCAGTGCGTGGTTGCCTCTCCAGTGCCCCCCACCGGGAACCTGGCCCACAGACCAGGCATGTGCTCTGGCTGGGACACGAACCAAAGACCCTTTGGTTCGCAGACCGGGCGCTCAGTCCACTGAGCTACATACACTCTGGTCCCCACGGGCTTTTTAAAACGTCACAGTAAAATGCTTCCACCTGCTCAACAGAGGGAGGACACCTGTTCCCAACACTTGAAGTCTTTGGGTTTTCAGTCCCTAGCAGACTTGACGGGCAGCAATGCTGCTCAGTGGCGGTAGGTGGCGCCAGAGACCACGTCCTGTAGTTAAAGCTCGGCCGGTCGTTCTGCATCGCAGGTCCCGAGCGACACCTGCGGCGGCGGCGAGGGGCGCGCGGGCGGGCCCTGGGGCCGGAACCTGGAACTCGAAGGCTCGTGGTGGGTCGCTCTTCGTCCCCAAATCTCTCATGACTGAGGCTGAACTCTAACATTAGGACCCCGCGGTTCCCTCCGGGGGCCACAGGAGCACCACTCTGGGTCTCGGTGGGGTTTCCGGGACGGAGAGAAGAAGCCGAGTATCTGCTCCCACAGGTTCATTTTCTGTCCTCTCGCACTTGCCCTCCCACGTTCCAACTCCACTCACTCCCCAGGTCATTTTCGCCGTCAAAGTGGTGATGAAGAGCTCCGTTTCTCTTCCTCGTTGCCCTGGCACTATTTGGGGCCGTCTAGTTGTCCTACTTCAAGAGCCGAACAGACCCCACCGCCCGACCCCCACCGCCCTGTGGCTCCGTGGATAGAGTGTGGGCCTCCAAACCAAAGGATGGTAGTTCGATTCCCAGTCAGGGCACATGCCTGGGTTGCAGACCAGTTCCGAGCAGGGGACGCACGAAATGCAACCACACATTGATATTTCTCTCCCTCTCTCCTTCCCTTCCCCTCTAAAAATAAAATCTTTCTTTTTAAAGGTGGGATTAATGGATCTTATGTCCATGTTTACATAAAAAATTTAGAGGTATAAAATATCATTATACTCCGAATTTAGATTTCCCCAAACCTTAATGATGCTGAGCAATTTTTGTGTGGCTATTTATAATGCATTGTTTCTTTTCTGTGATTTGCACACACGACTTTTGATCTTTTAGTTTTTCACTTTACTGATTTCTAGGTCATCTATATACACTTATGTGTACTTGGTAGGTATTCATACTTCCTCAATACTTAGCCTTCTTGATACTGGACCACTGCATGAGTGGCAAACATATAGCTATGGTTTATCTTTTCTTCTTTTCAATGCTGTGTTTTAGATATTTATATTTATATAACATATCGACCTTGGAGGCACCATTTCCCACGTTTGTTTCGGTTTTCTGTGGAGATCTCGAGTCGGAACAGATTTCTAGGGCTGCCGTGTGGTGGGTTGAGGGGCGCTGCAGTCAGGCTGAGCCCTAAAGGCTGTCCCCTCTGTGGTCACTTCCCCCGTCTCACACGTCCCCGTCTCTCTCCCTGCGAGGACTCGGGGTGCTGGGGGTGGGCCTGAGTGTGCATACGCCCCCAGCAGTGGGCTGCTCCACAAGTCACACTGGACTTCTCTGTGGGGCCACCGCTTGTCTTGAGGGGTCCCCTCAAACTCCTCCAGAGAGGGTTAATCACCTGAAAAGACCTGAAATTTGAGTTGGAGGGAATAGACACCCCATCTGTTTGGAGTGGAAGAAGTTCGAGTTCTTCAGGACCACAGGTTTTGTTCCTTGAAAAGCCAGAATTAAAACCAGCTGCCCAGTCCTCACCCATCCTTTCTTGCCATTGTTGGGGGGGGGGGGGCGGTGTTCCAGGAACAGCTGAAGCCCCCCGCCCCAAACAAGGGGGGAGGCCCTGGGTCCCAGGAGCAAACTCGCCCTCTGTCTCCCCAAAGATGAAGCCCTGCAGCCTTCCCAGGGAGGGACCCAGAGGCGCTGGTCTCTGTGAAAACAGGGCTGACAGCCTGCCACCCTCTGGCTGAGCTCAGCGAGCCACTGAGGGACTGGGCTGCAATGACGCCCAGCAGGGCCTCTGCCTGCCCAGTAGCAACGGCTGGAGTGTGGCCCCCTCTCCGCCTCCTGGTCCCAGAAAGAGGCCACCCCGCCCCAGTGCTGGTCTGCAGGGAGCCATCCCCGAGCCCCACCGCTCCAGCTCGCCCCCAAGGACACCTGCGCCAAGATGCGGGGCCACCCCAACCACCTGCACCCCAAGGAGGAGGTGAAATAAGGCCCTTCAACCACCTCCTCAGCCGCAAGCGGGCCTGCCCGGACGCCGCGGCCCTGGGGCCTCGGTGAAGTTTCCCTGTGGTGGACTGAGCAGCAAACTAACAGTAACAACCGCCCCGAGATCACCCAGTGGCCCTGCAGAGCCAGAGCTGGGGTCGAGCTGGAGGGTGTGGAACGCACTACTGGCCGCCCCGCGGGAAGACGGAGGAAAGAACGTCAGCTCGGGAACCAGTCTCCTAAGTTTATTTGAGCAAAACCGGTGACAGTAGCCAGGACGCCACACTTCCGTGGCTGAAAAATTCTCCGGGGGACGCAGCGCTGTGGCTCATCTCACGCGTCCGGTGGACCAGACGACGCTAGGGGCCCCCGCGGACATCGCCGGCGGCGGGTGCGGACCTGATGGACCACGGGGCTGGGCGCAGGGCTGCGACAGGAGATGGCCCTGCGGCGGCGTCACCGCAGGAAACCGCTCGTGCAGGAGCGGCCGCGCGTCAGCCACGCAACACGACCCTGAAAGCGCTGAGGAGCGTGGGCGGAAAAGGCCCATCGCCGCCTCCCAGCATCGAGCGCTGGGCGAACTGTGGGCCACGGTCTGTTTGAAAAGACTTAAAGGCGCAAATCGTCTGTTTCGAGTGTCGGTTGTAATGCAATTTGCAGTAAGAGTATCTTTAAAGAAGCCAGCGATCAGTAGCATATGTTGAATCCCAACTAAATTTGGACAAAAATGTTCTGCGTCGGAGCTCAAGCACGTACAAAAACATTTAAAAGCCTAAGCCTTTAATAAAACACTTATAAAATGTCATATCCATAAAGTTTATTTTTAAAAAATTGTTAAAAACTAACCATACAGGAATATTTATTAATACTTAAAAAGTCTGCTCCCCATGTCGAAGGAAAATACATTAGCAACATCTTCCAAACACCATCTTTATAAAATTAAAACTTCTAGATGCTGAAACGCACTACAGTAGATTCCATAGTTCACACTCGCACCCGCAGGACCGGAGACCTGTCCCCCCCGCGACCCCGCCGCCCGGGTGGCAGTCAACACACTGAAATCAGTGACGTCGAACGTGTGGCACGACTGCCGGATTCCCGCAGAGCACGCGCCGCACACTCACTGACGGGGGCGTCCTCTCCGGCGGCCAGACGACGACTTCTGATAAGCTTCGGACCTTAGGGACAAGCAGAATCACACCCCCGCCTGTAAACATTCAAGAGCTTCCAGGGCGCACGCGGGGCGGACGCGTCCCCGTCCCATATTGCTGAGAGTAGGTAGGTTCTGAAGGCAAACTGTCGAAGCCTGGCTTGGGTTTCCGTGGGAAAGCAGGTCTGCGTGTTTCAGTCCATGTGTCCAGTCCAAAGAAAGACTGTCGTGAGCACCATTTCCACCGACCCGGGCAGAGAGAAACTCAGCAGCGCACGCATGATCGTCAGTGTCGGTGATCGGAAGTAACCGCGGGTCTCCAGGCCCCTTCCGTGGACACGCGCAGGGGCACATGGAAGCCGGCGGGGATGGCTCCCACACACCGAGGGCGGTGGCTGCCCGGGCCGCGTGCGACCCGTGGGGCTGAGGCACAACTATTTCTTCCGTCCGTAGACGCCGTACGCGCAGATTTAAGGCTGTGTTCGGCTCTGGGAGCTCCGGCCCCCTTCAGCGCCCATCCCGCACACGCCACGCGCACACAACTGGCAGGCTCGTGGGGGTGGCGAAGAGTCCCCAAACACTTTTTAAATAGTATTCTCCATAAAATTCATTGTCGGCATATTTACACAGGGGAAGTGTTCATCATCACAACCATTTCTTACAAAATGCAATCATATTTTAAAACTCGTATCGATCCCAGTTGCCCGGGATTATCTTCATTCTTGTTTCCTGACTTCTGGCCCACCGCACACAATGCAGAATTTGGTCCCTGCGGCCCTCGGGCAGTTTGGACATTGCTCCGAAGGCGACCACAAACCACGTTCACTGCCACCCACTCTGGGACAGGCCCGGCTGCAGGGGGAAGGGGGTGCCCGGTGCGGAAGGGTAACCGGGAAACCCGTCCGGCTGGGCCGGGTAGCTCTCCAGCGCCGGGGCCGAGTGCACCTGCGGGGAGAGGAGTGCAGGTTAGCGGGCCGCTCCGCCAGGTCTGCCGTGCAGCCCCGGCCAGGAGGGAGGAGGGACGGCTGGGCAAGGTCAGTCGGCCCGGTCTCCTAAAATTGGTAAGAAATGTTCAACCTCTGAGGGTACAGGCGCCCCACAAATGCCATTAAAATACTTAACATTCTTAAAAAAATAAGTTTTTGCAAAGTTGAACTTAAAAGGGTGAAACACACGGCAAAATTTAACTGTCACGTGTAAGGTTTCAATTGTAACCTCTTAAAACTGAGACTTGAAAGTACCTAAAGGCAGGAAGAACTTACTCAGATGAAGACATTCCAGCACCTTCTGATAAAGGTGCTAGAAGGAAGACAAGAATGAGCTGCAGATCTGGGGAGAATTAGTCGTCGAACCCGCAGGCACGCCGCTAAGAGCCACCCCGCACCCGTGCTGGGACAGCAGCAGTGGCGCCGGAAGGGCCGGGAAGCCACCTCCACACCCGCCTCACCTGCTGCAGCAGAGCCGCCTGCGCCACCGCGCCGCGCTGCAGGTCCTGCAGGGGGCGCTGCGCCGCATTCTGGGAGAGCCCGGGGACGCCCGGGAGGGACAGGAGGCCTGGAAACACGGAGCTGCCCGCAGCCTGGAGTCCAGATGACAAACTGAAACGGCAGGGACACAGGTCGGAATGCCACGGAGACACAAACGCTGCCGGCTGTTTGTCACACGCGTGACAATGCGCCCTGGACTCTGCTGGGAGGAGCCGCAAAGGCCACTCCCATAAGACTCCTTTCTGTTATAAAGTGTATCAGTCTGAATCCCATTACGCCTATGTTCTGCATTAATTTGTCATATACTTGTTTTATGATCAAGGAAAATTACCAAATACAAACCCTACTCCTACCTGAGCACGCATTCATATTTTATACATTTACCTTAACATGACTGAAGGTCGAAGTGTTTTAAGCTCTGAAGTTTCAGCCAGGAAAATATAATTTAGCACCGCAGAACATTTCTCCTCTGCCTTTCATTTGAATGACTTAAAAATGACACTAAATTGCAAGCTCGGTGGACACTGATCCTATTTCCAAACCGCCCACCTACCTGGCCTGTGCGACAAGAGCAGAGTTGAAATTGGAACTGAACGCGGAGGCGAAGCCAGGGAGGACGGGCGCCGGCGCAGTGGCGGTGCCAGGCAGCGGGGCGACTGCGGTGACCGCGGAGGGCGCCTGCAGCCTCGCCAGCGAGGGGAGGGCAGGGGCCACGCCGGGCGTGTTGGAGACAGAGAAGCCTGGGTAGGGGGCGTTTGCAGATGAGAGTGACCCCTGGGCGACAGAGAAAAGCGAGGGCACGGCAGTGGACAAGTTCAGGGGGAAAGGCGTGGCCGAGACGGGCGCTGCGCCGGGGAGCCCTGAGAGCGCAGCCGCTGTGGAGCTGGGGTGAGGGGTCGCTACGGACGTGGCGGCCGCAGAAGAGGTCGCTATCAATGTCCCTGGGAGAGACACTGAGGGACTGAGAGAGGGGTTCCCTGTCAAAGGGAAGCTGCTGGTCAGCGAGGTAAAGGGAGGGAGCGCGGTGAACACCGGCGCGAGGGGAGCAGCGGGGCCGTGGGCCGCGAGGGCGACGGAGGCCAGGGGGTTGGAGGCATTCACGGGCGCGCTCAGGCTGGGCAGCCCGGAAAGGGCGGGATTAAGGCAAGTAGATAGGCTGATGGGCACCGACGTGGATGGGTATGCACGGCCCAGAGCCCCCGACAAATCTAAAGTGCTGTGAGAGGGGGTCACAGAGTGAGATGGGCCTTTGAAGGCGGAGGGGGTAGGACTCGTGGGCTCCGTTTTGATGGTAACAGGAACAGCGGTCACAGCAGAGCCGGGTGGCACAGGCTCGGCGTGTGGGCCGTGCACAAGTGGGGCTGAGGAGCCGGCACTCCCGGGCCCCGAGGTGGAAGCTGGGGCTGGAGTCACTAGAGGAGACTGGATGGGCAGCGCCGGGGGTGAGGACGTGGAGGTGGCCACGGGGGAGGGCAGGCCTGGAAACACAGCCAGCCCCGGGGCAGCGGGCCCCTGGCGGACGGGCAGGGCAGAGGGTGGGTAACCCTTGCTGGGGGCCAGCACAGGAGAATCTGAGTTGTGGTTGGGCAGCGAGGAGAGTGGGGCCAGCCCACTCGTGACAGCAGTGGGCCGAGCAGAGGAGCTGATTAAACTGGTGTCAGTGGACGTCAGGAAGCCTTTCAAAGCGGACAGAAGGGGACTGCTGACCCCGAGGGGACATGCCACGCTGGGAGCTGCCCCGCCGGCGATCACAGAGTGGGGGGCGTGGGACGCGCTGTGGGAGGCTGGCGGTAAGGGCAAGGGCAGACCTGCAAACACCGAAGACAAGGGTGCAGGGCCCGGGTTGCTGGTGGAAGCAGCCGTTGTGGGCACAGCGAAGGGGAGGCTCACAAAAGAGGCAGAGGTAGAAGCAAATGCTTCACTGGGCGCAGGAGCCCGAGGGGCGGCAGCTGCACAAGGACCTGGCAGCGGAACGAGGCCAGGAAAAACGGAAGGGACGGGCGTGGATGTAGCACTGTGGACCGACGTGACCGGGGCAGCCAGCAGGGAAGGGGTCCGGATGACTGTGGGGTTTGGCGCCAGTGGTGGTGGTGCAGCAGCAGCGGCGGAGACCTGCCCAGGGAACACAGGCAGGACAGTGCTCAGCAGGCTCAGCCCGGACCCGGGGGCGGTGGCCGATGCCGGTGGATGGCCTGCTGCCTTGACTGGGGACACAGTGGGCACAGGAGTCGCTGCGGGTGTGGCAGGGTTAGACCCGTGCGGAGTGAAGAGCTGGCTTGCTGGAGCAGAAAAAGCTGTGGGGGGAAAAAACAAAAATTTACCATCGTGCTGAGATGTCAAGTGTTAAATCCAAATAAATGCACAACCCCTCTGCAATAATTAACAAACATGGAATCAGTGATAGAGGCAGTGACATCTCCCCTGTACGAACTATGACACCACAATGGCGATTTCCACCTCGAGGCCCCAGCAGGACCGTCGCCTCCTCGACCCACTAGGGCAGCTCTCTGGGCGCTGCGAGGCCGCGCCACGTGGGCGGAGACTCCTTTCATGGGTCCCAGTCTGTAACAATGCGCAGAATCTACTCTAACCGCGATCGATGTGGCTCTACTGGCCTTCCCTTTGGTCTTTGCCAGCCACTTCACCGGAACACACAGGCCGGCCACGCCCCCTCACGACCTTTCACGACACCACGCCCCACTCAGCGGCCTTCCGGCCTCCCCCTGCGAGGCTTGCGAGTTACCCTGACTCGGATTTCCAGTGTGCGTGGTCGGTTCTTCTCCCGACAGCAACGCCTCCCTAACTCCACGTGGCTCGTCCTCACAGCTCCCATGGGGACGGGGACAGGAGCCCCATTTGTCAGCACCCCTCCGAGCCTCCGCGCCCAGCACAGCGCCCAGCATGCCAGTAAGGTCACCTGGACTCCGGTCCCGAGCCCAAGAAAGGCTGCGTCCTTGAGGCGTCTAGAATTTGCCGTAATACTTTTACTCTGACAGACTGTAAGTAACTAAGCTAAGCAGCACTGGGGGGGACCTGGCTGTCGTTATCCCTGAGCCCACAGGGTGGCATCTGCAGCGGCGTGGGTGCCAAGTGTGCCCGGTGTGTCCGATGAGGACGGAGGGCGCTCCTGCTGCAATGACCACCCGCCGAGACTTAGGTTTTTAAGCCCCTGCATAGTGAGGGCTCTTCCACCCCAGCGAGGCTGGGGCTGCGCTCGTCCTGGGGGTGGGGCCACGGGGAAGAGCCCAGACATAACTCACGACACAAAGTGATGGCCATAGGATGCTGGGCCGGCTGGATAAATCCAACAGTTGTTTTAGAAAAGAAATATGGCAGAACTGAAAACCGTAATATGTAAAATTCTAACTCGAAAGGCCTTGAATCTTAAATTTAGAGTACACATGAAAGTAGATTTCTACTTCCTTGGTATTTAATTTATTTTATAAGAACTAGAATCACAACAACTGTATAACTATTTCTGTGTTTGTAAATAATGTACAAAAAACTAGGAGTTGCTGGTTCAATTCCTGGCCAGGGCACATGCCCAGACCACAGGCCAGGTCCCCAGTAGGGGGTATGAGAGAGGCAAGCACACAACCATGTCTCTCTCCCTCTCTCTCTCCCCCTCCCTCCCCCTCTCTAAAAATAAATGAATAAAATCTTAAAAAATAAGAAGCCATGACCAGACTGGAGGTAAAAGACCTATACTCAGAAAACTGTAAGTCACGGATGAAAGACACAAAAGATACAAATAAGCATCAGCGTACGGGCAGAAAGAATCGACACTGCTAAAATGTCCGTGCTAGCCAAAGCAGTTTACAGACTCAGTGCAAATCCTACCAAAATACCAATGGTATTTTTCACAGAATTAGAACAAATAATCCTAGGATTTATATGAAATAATGCAAAGACTCAGATTAACCAAAGCAATCTTGAGAGAGAAGAATAAGGTTGGAGGTAGCATGCTACCTCCAACTTTGCTATCAAGTTACACTATGAGGCTATAGTCATCAAAACTGCATGGGACTGGTACAAAAACTAAAATATAGATGAACGGACCGGAATAGAGAGCTCAGACATACACCCGCACCTGTATGGCCAATTAACCTATACAAAGGAGGCAAGGTATACAATGGGCTAACAGTCTCTTCAGTAAATGGTCATGGGAAAGTAGATAAGCACATGCAAAAGAATAAACTAGATCCTTTATTACACCATATACAAGAATAAATTCAAAATGGATTAAAGACTTAAGTGTTACACCCAAACCCATAAAGCTTCTAGAAAGAAACACAGGCAGTAAAGTCTTTGACATTGCTCTTAGAAATATTTTTGGATATGTGTTCATGGGCAAGAGAAGCAAAAGAAAAATATAACAAGTGAGATTACATCAAACTAAATGTTTTTACAAAGTAAATCATCAACAAAATGAAAAGATAACCTACTGAGTGGGAGAATACATTCACCAAATGTGTTCTCCAGTAAGCCGTTAATATCCAAAATATGTATGGAACTTATACAACTTATAAGTTGCACTGAAAAAACAAACAAACTTGTTAAAAAATGGGCAGAGACACAATATAATGTACAGGTGCTGTTATACTGCGCACCTGAAACTTACATAATTTATTAACCAGCGTCACCAAAGAAAGAAAAAAAAAAATGGGCAGAAGACCTGAATAGATATTACTCCAGAAAGCACACACGAGAAAAGATGCTGAAAGTCATGAGCCAACAGAGATGCAAATTAAAATGACAATGAGGTATCGCCTCACACCTGTTAGAGTGGCTACCATCAATAAATCAACAAACAAGTGCTGGCGAGAACGTGGACAAAAGGGAGCCCCCGTGCACTGCTGGTGCGTGTGCAGACGGGGGCAGCCGCTGTGCAAAGCAGTATGGAGTTACCTCAAAAAATTACAAACGAATCTACCACGACCCAACAATCCCACTTGTGGGTACTTAGCTGAAGATATACAAAACACTAATTCAAATACTGGGTTGGCCAAAAAGTTAATTTGGTTTTTTTCTGTAAGATGGCTCTAGTAGCATTTGAAACAATTTTGTTTAGACTGTATTGTGACAGCTGATGTATCAGTGTGCAGGAAAAAAATAATCAAAACTGGTGAATTTCTATGCAGCCATTTTAATATTGAAGATGGAAGAAAATACACAACATTTTTGGCATATTATACTTAGTATTTCAAGAAAGATAAAAATGCAACTGAAACACACACACACACACACAAAAAGACTTGTGCAGCGTGTGGAGAAGTTGCTGTGACTGATCGAACATGTCAAAACTGGTCTGTGAAGTTCTGTGCTAGAGATTTCTCACTGGATGATGCGCCACAGTCAGCAGACCAGCTGAAGTTGGTAGCAATCAAATGGAGACATTAATTGAGAACAATCAATGTTCTCCCACACAGGAGATAACTGACATACTCAAAATATCCAAATCAAAAAACTTATTGGTAAAAAATGAAAAATGTGTCTTTTATTTTACACAACAAACTGACTGGACTTTTTGGCCAACCCAGTGGCACGTGCGTCCCTGTGGTCACCGCAGCAGTGTGTTCAACAGCTGAGACAGGAAAGCAACCGAATGTCCCCGCACAGACAGACAAAGAGGACAGTGGAAAACCACTCAGCTACAAAAACGTGAAATGTTACCCTTCGTGACAACATGGATGGACCTAGAGGGTATTATGTTAAGTGAAATAAATCAGTCAGAGAGACAAATACTATACGATTTCACTTCTGTGTGGAATCTCAAAACAGTAAATGGACAAACAAGGCAGAAACAGACTCAGATATGCCAGCAACAAACTGAGGGCGGAGGGTGGAGGGCCTGGTAAGAAAGTGAAGGGACTAAGAAGTGAAGCTTAGTCACTACCAGGTTGTCACGGGGATGCAGACACAGACAGTCGTACTGTCGTAACTACTGCCGTGCCAGGTGGCTGCTTGACTCACGGGGTGGGGGTGGGGGGGTCCCTTCGAAACCTTCATAAATGTCTAAACCACTCTCCTCTGCACTTGAAAGTAATGTTAAATGGCAACTGTAACGGGAAAACTTTTTAAAAGCACCTGTTTTTAATCAAACAGATTAAAGTAGTACCTGATAGGACATTTTTTTCTCAGAAAGGCTTTTTATCACCCTATGTGTTTATACCCAAAAGGAAATGAGGCTTCCAGTCCCACACAATGCAGAATGACCAGATACAATCCACGCACAGTTCGACTGTAGTGAAACTGTGCACAAACGATGCAAAAGCACGTGGTCACATTCGAACTCAGTGAGCACGTGCGTTGTGTTGTGCGCACACCACGTACCACTACTGATCTCTTTTGGCAAGTGCGGCCCGGTGCGCTTCCCTCACCGGGGCCTCCCCCGAAGCAGCACACACTCCGGTGCAGCCGTTACCGGGGACAACAACAGAGCGGACTGGCAGGTGGACACCAGGTGTCTCTGAATCAGGTTGGCACTTACTTTGACTCTGTACAGGTTTTGATGGATTGGAAAGGTCTTCGTTTTCTGTACGAAAATAAAGAAAGAAAGGTTGATCCAAGCATTAGTCACATTACTTACCACCATAATAATAATCAGCGATTGGGGTCAATTAGAGAAAAACCCAGGATATGTAGGTACGCTGAGTTAGGAAAAACAATGTGTGCCTATGGGGGGAGGGGACATCAGCAAAAAACATAGAAGTAACTACATATAGAACGACAGGACTATGAATAACTGATCCTTACTGTGTGTCCCCCCACCGCATTTCACCTGAACAAGGTTTTAAATGAGCACTGCTGTCTTAAAAGACACAGTTGAGAACCCCTTCTGGAAAGATGGCGGCCTCAGTGTGTCACCCAGGAGCAAGTAAGTGCACTGCAAGGAGCAGTCACTGTCCCCGCTGAGTGGACAGGTGGCCACTCCCGGGAGCACTCCTGTGTGGGCAGACTCCGAGGTGGGAGGCGGACACTGCGGTGGAGGAGCCCACCTCCCGGGCCCTGCCCAGGGTGGCGATCTGCGTGAACAGGCCCTGCGCCCAGGCAGTCAGGGAGAGCGGCTGAGTCAGCCTCTGGCTGAGGTCGGTGTGGCCGACCGGCAGACGCAGCCTCCTGCACCTACTGCGGGAAAGGGCCTGTCCAAGCCACTGTCAGTGACAGTGCGGAAAAGGGGACCTCTCGTGGCTTCCCAGTAACCACCCGTGGAGCCGTGACAGTCCTAAGGTCCAAAGGGAACCCACAGCCCCAGTGGAGTCTGAAAAAGAACATGTCTTGTTTAAGGAGCCAGAACAGACATGTGTCCACCATGGAGGGTGTCTGTCCAGGGAGGGGAGGGGAGGAAAAAAGCCGTAAAACCCTGTGATGCAGATTCAGACATACACACAACACTGTTAAGGCAGAAGCAGAGTGGGTGAAGACGTTTAGATATAAAAATCTGACTCTAAATTAATAAATGCACAGAATAGTAAAGGTCAAAAATAGTATTACTTAAAGTTATTTAGGTAGAAAAAATCCCATTAAAAATGGCAAATATACAAAAAAAACTAATACATAAGCAACTTAGAAGACAAATACAGTGCAAAATAAGAGTACCAGAGGAAAAAGAAGATGAAAAAGCGGCAATTAAAGGGACAGTAAGAATCGTGCTTCCTAAGCTTCGGGGACATCAGCTACCACATCCCGTGGGCCCAAGGGACCCAGGACGGACCGATGGTGAGACACACCCCCAGGCGTCCTGGGGAGCAGCCGCGGTCCGTGACTGGCGACATCTCTGGGCCCTGGAGACCAGGACAGGTCTCCTGGGAAGCTCACAGACAGAGCCAAGGTTCTCGTGGAGATAAAATTAACTGGGATTGGTTTCCCAGCTCCAGCCCTGCAGACGTGCCGAAAACTTTTCCAAGAACGGTTCTTCTGCAGCCTGCTCCTGTCTGGCACGTGAGCCGAGCACACTCAGACCTGTCCCTGGGCCGTGTGCTGGCGCGCCCTCTGCTGCGACACCCCTTCCCAACAGCCGTGCCCGCCCAGTGTGCGTGCCTGTGAGTGAGCAAGCCATGTGCTCTGCCGGCCCACAACACGCTCCCTCCCCCAGTTTACCTGCTCCTGCTGGGTTAGGAGTGTACGCAGGTGGAGGGGGCGCGCCCGGAGCTATGACACTGGCTAACGGCACCAGACCTGCATTGTTGTAAGCACCTAAAATACAAACATGAAAGAAAAAACATAATTCAGTTGCATTTTTTGGCCAGGAGTCCAAACTACATTAATGCACCCAGTAATTTATTTTTGTTACGCCGTAGAGCTGCTTCCAGACGCAGGCTCGCTCAACAGCCCAGGCAGAGCCCGCACACTCGGCCGTTCAGGTGAAGGGAATGGCTGGTGCCTTTAAGCACCAACCATCAAAAAGGGATTCGAGACGATGTGGCACAGAGAGACCCATGACAACCAGTAACCGTCGGCCACAATCTGTAATTGTTCATCAGTAGGAAAACACACTCAACAAACTGCTGAACGGCCGTGGGCCAAGACAGCGCAGCCGACTGGGAAAGTTAAAGCTGAGCACGCGTCGTAAGACCTCGAGCCTCCCAAGAGCACACGCCCCACTCGCTCCCACCTCAGTGAGTGAGAGCACGGAGAGCCCACGGGACCGCGCAGGAGTCCTTACTTGGTGTGACCGTCGCATGGGGCCGGCACGGAGGTATCGGGTAAGGAACGGGCCTGTGCGGATTGTACGTGGAAGGAGGCTGGACGAGGGACAAAGCACAGCGGTTAGGAGAAAACCACGGACCTGGTCTGCCGGCAAAACAGCACCCAGCCTGGCTCACAGCGGTCGGTGCCAAGAGGCTCCACACGCCCTGAGCAGCTCACTGCTGGACCAGCACAGGGCACGAAGAAGGAAAGTGTCTTTGTTTCAACAGCGTGGCTCCTGTGCAGTCGCGGAGGTGGATCCAGCCACAGCTGCTGTGAAGGCGTCTGTCTCCCGACAGCACTAAGCCGTCTCCGTGACTATCAGCCCGCGCTAACCAGCAAACGTCTGCCGGACCTGCCGGTTCGGTTCGATGGTTCCGCGCTCTTCCTGTGCCACGCAGGAAACCCACCGGCTTCTGCCACTTCAGCTACCCAGGAACCTCCCAGATGCGCCTGGACTCATTAGGAACTCATCTCAGCATTCTTACCCTCTCCACTCCTTTTGGGAGGAAAAAAACTGCTTTCTTTAGCATTCGGCATTCTGACAAAGCTAGCAAAATGCAGACTGGAATTATGAATTCAGTATTTGTCTTCTTGCCTTCTGAAATCCACAAATCTTTTATATCTTTGATGGAATTTATATAAGTAACAAAGAACATCGAAAGAATTGCTCTCTAGCCCTGACTGGTGTGGCTCAGTAGGTTGGGCAAGTTCAGCCCCAGGCCTGGGCTGCAGGTCTGGTCCCCTGCCGGGATGCATTCAAGAGGCAGCCCACCCGTGTTTCTCTCTCACAGTGATGTTTCTCTCCCTTTTTCTCCCTCCCTTCCACTTTCTAAAAATAAATAAAATCTTAAAAAAAAAAAAAAAAAGAATTGGTCTCTAGAGAACCAGAGCTGAGCTAAACACTGTACTTTTAATGAGACACAGGCACACACACGCTCCTGCTCGCGCTGTTCCCTCGGGGCAGAGGCCCAGTGCCGGCCGAGGACCCAGACTCTCCCTGGCTCCCAGAACGGCGGTCTGCACGGTGAGGGTTTGCTACGTCACCTGCCACGGCAGTCCTCGTCGGGCGGGCAGGAGGGACCGCGGGTGGGACCGTGCAGGCCCACAGTCCTTCACCTCCCGTGACCCCTCCACCCACCAAGTGGTCTTCTGTTCGGTCCACAGTCCACTCAGTTATTATCATCCCTGGAAAACACTCTCGGCCTGCTGGCTCTGGCCTGTTTCCCTGACACTGATACTAATCGGCCAAACCACAGCCTCCGTTAAAGTGAACTCCACACTCCAGACCTCCGAGCAAACAGCTAAACACGGCTGGAGGAAAAAAATAAAAACGAACTCTGTTTCCACTTTAAAACAAAACATTAAATTCAAAGGGGCCCTGGGTGCTGTCACCCCAGACCACGTACATTCTGCACGTTTTCGTGTGTTTTGAACTTCACGACACAGAACACAGTCGGCGCTGCGAAGAGACAGAAAGCCGCCTGTAAGAGTCGTGAGCCTTTTCATCGTTTACTTTCGGCACCTACTGGTTTAGACGGTCCGAGAATCCGCGCAGCTATTCCTTTGCCTTCATTGGTACATTCTTCACCATCTTTTTTCAAAGGGGTTCCCTGTTTTAAAAATAAAATTAAATGAAAGAAAAACGTAATTGAGACATAAAAAACAAACCCAGGGCAAGACCCAAACCAAACCCAAGCCCTCACTGCAGAGCCCCTCCGGCGCCCAGCACCGCCCCTCGGGGCGGGGCACTGCTTCCTTCCCAGGCGGCCCTCCAGCCGCACGAGCCCACCGCTCGCTTCCCTGAGCTGGCCCGGGGCTGCCCACAGGCATCTCTGCTGCCCACCTGGACCCCAGTGAAGGGGAGGACTGAACTTGGTCGGCATTTAAAGACTGGTGTCCAGACCCAGTCTCGGGCGCGTGACCCTGGCGAGGCGACGCCCCGTGCCACGGCACCTGCCACACCCCGTGCACATGAAGGCGAGAGGAGGCGGCCGCTCCGGCTTCCTCCCCCACAGCAGGCGCCCCCAGAAGTGGCTGCCAGCGCCGTGGCTCGCAGACCACTCGCAGAGTCACAGAGCACCCCTCCCAGGAGAAACTGGGCGGCAAGAAAAGGCGTGCTCCGTGAGCGTCACGTGTGAGCTTACACCGCACAAGGGCGCGAGAGGCCACGTTTTACAGAAATGCTTTTACATAGTTTCTTTGTAAACTTTCAACCTGTCTCTCATGTTGCTAACATCATGAAATTCCTTTCCTTTGTAGCAGCCTCATCAACTGGCACTTTCTTTAAATATGAGTACTATGCTGGCGTTCACATTTAGCCACAGAAGTCTCAGAGACGTCACAGAAGCATGCTCACTGGGAAAACTCCATTAATGCGACTCGGCTTCCCCTTGGGGTACGGGTTTCCTGGGATCGTCCCGCAGGAGGAGATCATGGCATGAGGAGCTTTGCAGCCTCCCTTGAAAGCCTACAACATGAAAAAGGAGACAGCAGTCAAAACATGAAAAATCAGGGCCCTGGATCTGGAGCCCTGCTGAGATCGTGACTGACGGGACAGCCTCGCGTTCAGTCTGTTCCTGCATCAGTCAGCGTTCACGGCAGGGAACGTGACCAGGCTTTCCAAGTAAAACCACTTCACTTAAGTGGAATTATTAATAAAGGTAACATAGTATTTTTAACATCACACCCAGTCGACTCCTATACAAAGATATCTTCACAACGCTTCAGGCAAACTGTGTGCAAAAAAGTCTGTTAAACTACCGAATACGTCCCATTTCTCCAATGACCAAGAAATTACACTGTCCAACTCTACAAACTACCAGATACAGTGGTTTATAAGGATGTTCAAGGAACTTAGTAAGAACTTCAACATCACGAAAAAGGACAGAGAAACCATAAAAAAGAACCAGACAAAAATGAAGGGTACACTGATTAAAGTGAACACATTATAGGGAATCAACAGTAGAAGTGACGAAGCCAAGACTCAAACCAGCCATTTGGAATATAAGGAAGTAAAAACACCCAATCAGAACACCAAGGAGAGAAAAGAATATCCCCCGCCAAAAAACCAAAATGTAAGGAGCCTCTGGGACAACCTCAAGCAAACCAACATTAGCATTATGGGGGTGCAGGAAGAAGAGAAAGAGGAAGACATTGAAAATCTATTTTAAAAAGTACTGACACAAAACTTCCCCCACCTGGTGAAGGAAATGGACACACAAGTCCAGGAAGTGCAGAGAGGCCCCCACCAGGACATGAAAATTACGGTGCAGCCCTGGCTGGTGCGGCTCAGTGGGTTCGGCGCCCGCCTGCCACCCAAAGGGTCGCCAGTTTGATTCCCAGTCTAGGGGCACAGGCCTGGGTTGTGGGCGAGGTCCCCAGTGTGGGGCACGCAAGAGGCAACCACACTTTGGTATTTCTCTTCCTCTTCCTCCCCCTCTCTAAAAATAAATAAATAAAATCCTTTTAAAAAATCTTTTAAAAAATTAACATGCAAAAGGTTAAAAAAAAAAAGAATCTTAAAAGCAGCAAGAGAAAAACGGTTACCTACAAAGGAGTTTCCATAAGACCGTCTGCTGGTTTCTCAACAGATACTTTTCAGGCAAGAAGGGGCTGGCATGAAATAGTCAAAGTGATGAAAAGCAGATGCCCACAGCTAAGACTGCTCTGCCCAGCAAAGCTGTCATTTCGAATTGAAGGACAGATAAAGAGCTTCCCAGGCAAAAAAAAAAGCTGAAAGAGTTCCTCACCAACAAAACAGTATTACATGAAATGTTAAAAGGTCGTCTTTATAAGGAAGAAAAAAGGGATAAAAAATATGAATAATAAAATGGCAATATGTATCTGTCAATAATTGAATCTAAAAAAGAAAATAAACAGAACAGAAACAGACTCACAGACAAAGAGAACATTTTGACGGCTGCCACATGGGAGGGGCGCTTGGGGCCTGGGTGGGAACGCGAGGCCGGGTGGGAAAGGCGAAGGGGTGAAGAAGTGCAAACCGCAGTCACAGGATGGTCATGGGGACATGCGTACAGCACCAGGGACACGGTGACAGTGTAATAACTACATGTGGTGCCAGGTGGGCGTGAGATTCGTCGGGGCGATCCTTAGTGAGTGACACAGATGTCTCATCACTGGGGTGTACACCTGAAACTAATATAATATTTTATGTTGACTGTAATTGAAAATAAGAGACGACTAAACAGGAAGAAGTGCGAACTCAGATACTGCCTCTGCTGCTGTACTTTATGACCAGGGCAAAGTCCTCCCCTCTCCCCGGGCTTAGGAGAGCGTGTCCGTATTCGGTGCGATGGGGCTGTAAGGCCCTGGTCCTCGTCCAACAGGTCTGTCCTACCAGTCCGGTTCTGGCCAGCGGAGTCCTCAGAAATGACCTAGATGACGAGTCACGTTTTCTAGGCTTGGACCAGTGCTACTTCTCCCACCCATAGAGATTTAAAGTTAATAAACTGGGATTTTGCTTTATTATTCTTCTGTCATGCATTTGATTAATACTTTCAAATTTAAGGACAAAGCAAATTCAAAAAGTCAAATTCCTAAATACATGAAGTAAAAGAAAAAAGCTCCGAGTGCTGGCAGAGCCACCAAGGCAGGAGAGTAAGCACAGCAGGAGGCTCGGGCCGGAGGCGCCTGGTCTCAGCTGCAGCGTCCCCCACCCTCAGCCCCTCCACCGTGTCCCCTCAGTCAGCACAGCTCCTCCTCCAGACTCAGGCCCTCACGCTCAGCCCGGTGACTCCCCACCGCTCACACAGGAGTGGGACAGGCACCTCTTCTTCACTGACACGCAGAAAGAGCAACGCACTGTGTACACAGCCATCTCGAGACAGTTACCTGTTCAAGCACTCTCTTGCACCGTTTCTTCTCAGACATGTTTATCCTGAATAAATCTTCAATGGGACGAGAATTCTGTGCATCAACAATGTTTCTACAAAAGTACAGTTTAGCTTTTCACAGAGGCCAACAACTTTTGTTTACTGCACAAATATATGAGTAAGCTTTTTCTCCATGACAGAGAGAAATGTGACTAATTGCTGACTCCAAATATATAAAGATGGTAAATGTAATAATAGAGGTTTATCTGGTTACCTCAAAGTAACAAAACGATACTATAAATCAAGTTCCTACTTTGAGACCCTGACAGCACACCCCGTCAGTGCGTGTTGGGAGACCTGTGGCAGCAGGACAAACCCCTATGTCAGGTGCATAAAAATCATGACTGATCTCAAGACGAGGTTCTACCCTGTGCTAAGTTTTAGCTACGCATTTTGTGGACATCTGCACGTATGTAAGGGACTTAAAAAGGCAGGTGCTTTAACCAACTCACAGGCTTTTTCATTACACAGAAGAGCAGACGCCTGCCCCTATGAGCTGACTTACGCGCGCTGTGCTCCCTTACTCAACGCTGTGCTACGTGCCCTGAGGATCCTACGGTGCTTAAAGTGAGGTGAGCTTCTTACCTTCACCATCGGGGAAAATAAAGTCCACAAACAGGAAGTACATATTAAGCAACCCCTCAAAAGAATACATTGTCAGAACTTATCCAGCTATAAATCCTACGACTACATCAATAAGCCTTCAAGTATTCACAGCAGGAAGGCAAGTCATTAGCATACAAACCCAAATAAATAATTAAACTTGATAAGCTCCATTATTTTGTAAGTTATAATCGTGTGTGATAAGGACAGCAGATATTTTGATTCTAGAATTCACCTTTATGCTTTTACAGATCTTACTAGAGTTCCGTGCCCTAATATAAATCTGATACATTAACACTGAGTTAAAAGATACTTCAAAAGTCCTACGAATTTTCTCCAATGAAGCAAACAGAAAAAGAAGTACTTACGAAGCTAACAGTTCCAGAGCAACTAGTTTGTCTTTACTGAAGGTGAAACAGTTGAGTATATTGACCACTTCTGCTGGGTGAACGGCCACCATTTTCTATTAACATAAAAGATCATTTTAATTTCAACCTGAGACATTTTTGAACCAGAAATTAACATTCTGGAAGAATGAATGGTTCATGTTCGTAACGTAAGTATTTGAGGTGAAATGTGCTGACTCCGAAGTAAGCCCTAACCAGCATGGAAATTACACTCTGGCTTTTCAGTGTCTCGGCTTCCAAAGGAGACCACGCCCCTCTGTGCCCTTGGTAACCCACACTCCGCAGTGTGTCCGTCTGCAGGGGGACATGCCCGTGCGCCGCTTCCCCAGAAATGTCAGACACAACTGACTTGAGCGAGGCTCCCTGTCTTTGAAGAGCAGGTGGAAGACCGGCGGTTTATAGATGTGTGTCACCAGTGGAGGGAGGTCTAAAGCAAAGCCAATGTCAGATCAGCTAGAAGCCACTCCCAGCAGATTCCTAAAGGAGTGGTTTTCCAGTATTTTTACTCACGTACCAGCAAAGAATTGGTGAAACTGCACACCCCTTTGCATGTTTTTAAACTGACATCTAAAAAGTTATCAGAAGTTTAAATATTTGCAAAGATTGATTTCCTTATTATAAGTTTATTATATATGTGTAAAAACCTTGAATACTGATTCAGCTCATTTATGAAAATGTATTACGTAACTTAATTGTCAGAGTCAGTATCGGTGTGAAAACAATACAATCAGACTTTGTCAGAAAAGGCTGGACTTAAAATTTCATTCAAACAGATTCATTTCCCTGTCCCTCTGTAGTCTTCTCGGCTCTGAACTTGAACTCTAAGGTACATGGACAGGCAGTCTTCAGCTTTGCCCGGGGCTTGCTGGCTGGTAGAGCCAGGCCAGTGCTCCCTCCAGAGGTCTCCGCTCTACTCTCACTCTCGGGGCACCCCGGCCTCTCTGTCCCTTGGGGAGAGATCCTCACCCCGGGCGATGGGTGGCAGGCAAGACAGCCCATTGTTTGCAAGGTGGAACAGAAGCACCAGCAGGCCCAGACACTTTCTCTGGCAGGTTCTTTGAGGAAGTTAAGGATCCACAGACCCTGAGAGCCACCCACGCTGGACAGTCTACAAAAATCACCCTGCAGAGCCGGATGCTGTGGGAATGCAGAGCTCCGGGACTATGTGGCCCACACAGCGGCCATGGGGCACCAGTGCCATTTACATTAAGAGTTACTAAAAAATACAGCTCCTCAAGCAGCCTGGGCATATTTTAAGTGCTCAAAGCCGCATGGAGCCAGTGGTTATCACACTGGGTAGTGCGGTCACAGAATGTTCCCCCCGTTGCCGACAGTCCGTGTGGACAGCGCTGGCCCAGGGAGCACAGGGCCACGTGACCATTCTTCTGAGACCCAACTACCAGCAGCGAGGACGCCCAACACGTCAGTGCAGAAAGACATACAAATTCGAACCCATGTTTTGCTCGCCTATAAACACTTCTCCTCCAATTGGCCAATTACGAACCTATGGTATTTGGTCTTAGAAGAATGGTGCACAATGTAATAGCACAGTGCACACAACTGAGTTCTGCATTCATTCCGAGGAACAGCAAGTCACTCACATGTTGTAACGCTTTCATGGCCTTCAGCTGAGGCTCAGCCCAGGAGAAGTATCTCAGTAAATCAACCACCTGCAGCAAAGAAGGAATTGAGCGCTGATGACGACAGGTTTGGAGACATTTCTGCCAAGTTCACTTCAGCATCCTGAGTTCCCATTCCCAGTGTGCCTCCTGGGCCCCAGTGACGTGGGCGGTGCCTGGCAACAGGGCTTGCACTGGGTTCACAGAGGAACCATGTGCCATTCTTAAATTCAAACCAACCAAAATAAACCTGATAAAAATCTGCCTCCGTACTGGCACAAGCCCAGTTTCAAAGAGCTGCACAGCCACGTGACAGCGAATAGCTCCCGAAGCAGAGAGCGAGGACGGAGTTTGGCTGTCCCCACAGAGTCCCGGACAGCACCGGCCGAGAGATGAGCAACCGTGCGTGCGAGACACAGAGATGAGTAGGCGGCGGAGGACAGGAGGGCCGGAGAAGCCCTGGGTGGAGACAGAACGTCAGCCTAAGGACACGAGCCTCAGCCAGCTCGTTCCGGAACTCGTGACAAGTGCCAAAACGCAGGAGCACAGAACGGCAAAGCATTTTCTTTTGCGGGGCAACATCACGACCCACAAGTTCTGGCAAGAGCACCCCGTCCCTAGCAAGCGCCGACTGCTGAAACATTCTTTTCTCATCAAAATGCAACAAGTACAGGGTTTGGTGGGTTCTGAGACCAATGAAGACCAAGGTGTGACTGTACTGTGAGTGAAAAACTTTAAAGATTTAGCGAGGAGCGATGGTTTTAATCACTCACAAAAGGGTGCTCAGTGGTTCTTCAGTGCAGGTCCTCTGAACCTGGAGGGCACGACATGCACCCACCCCTCAAAAATGTAAGACTCCCCTCGAATCACTCGAACGGCAGGGCCCTCTCCCTCCACCACCAGTGACTGTTGGACAAGTGAGGGAGCGAGAGGGACGGCTCAGAAGAGGCGAGCAAGGCACCAGTGTCACGTTAGTCTCTCTGTAGGGTCACTACCGCCCTGGTAAAAGCCTCCAAGACACTCCAGGAAACAAAGACTCAAGAAGAGAGGATAATGTACGAAAATCTGGGTTAATGAATTATGGTTCAGGAACTCCGAGTTCCTGAAAGTAGGTCTCAGTTATTCTACAAGGTTAATGCTAGAAACTGGAGTGATATGTGTAGAGAAAGAAAAACCTTTTTATTCCTTATAAAGGGATAAAACAGCAAACAAGCATTATGTGTACTTTCTAGACAATCTGTTAAGAGTGTACTGTACATCCTTAACTTTCATGGGACTGGTTCTACTACACAGTAGCTGTCACCTGGCACTTTACAAGCCACAAAACTTCACAAATCATCAAGTCTGACATAGAAAGACATACTTCACTACATAAAGTAGGCTTAAAGGTCACAGCTGTAGAAAGTGGCTTAATAAACTTTATAGCGACTTTTAGCAAAGTGGAACAACTGCTGAGAAGTTCTGTAGGAAATTTCACATGCGCACACGCACACAGGGAAGAAACACTACTCCCTATGAGAAATTATCTTTTTAAAGCTTTTAAATCTTTAAAAAGCACAAGGTGATTCTGAAAAGTAGCAGCTGAAGAAGACCTGAAATAGCAGCCGCCCAGGCACAGTACAGAGTGGCTCTGGGAATCAGAGCTGCGGCAGGCTGAGGCTGCAGCCCTCCCGCTGCGGACATCTTCAGTGGCAGAAGAAAAGGGTGCATTTACTGATTCGGTCTACAGACTCTCGGTGGTGTAGCCCACCCCCCAGCCCCCCCACCTGTGCCCCGCCCTCTTCCAGGACTCTGCTCGGGCGAGCACAAGGCAGTTGCTGCCCTGCTTCTCCCTCAAACACGGCCCTGGTGCCCCTCCAAACTCCTTCAGGGAGCATGTGCATGTGCACATGCACACACGTGTTTTTAAACCGGCAAACTCTCCTGAAAGTTAGGTGAACAGTTTTCACTAAACTGCTACTGGTCTTCTGGCAGTTACAGAAATAATGTCTACATATTAGACACTATTTTTTTTCCTTATTGCTAAAGTTTTTACTTAGCAGCTTCATATAAGAAAATATTTCATCGTTTAAGTTTTCTTTTATAATACGTGGTGAATTTTGCAATTCTTAACTTATAAGTTCTATGCAAATTTGAGCACGTGTGCCACTAGAAGTTTAGACATTTATGTACGATACTGTGCCCAGAATGACAAACACTTTAAACTACATTTTTTTAGATACTGCATTTTAAAATTATGTTAGCATATGACACTGTGGTACAAGAGGGTACACCTACAATACCTAAACTATACATTCTGTAATATTTTCTACCAAAACTAAAGGCTTCTCAAGTTCCTGAATAAGTACAGTAACAAAATTAAGCAATTCTAACCCTGACCAGCTGGTAAACAGACATTAAGCAGAACATATTTTTAAAAGACAAAAAGACTTTTGATTAAACAGAGGAATACCTGTTCACTAGAGAAATATCCATGCACGTATTCAATTGCTTTTAATTTGTACTCTGTCAAAACAGCCTACAAAACATAGGAAAACAGCATTAATATATGTGAACAGAACAGCAGTATTCATACAGCAAAAAATGCCCTCACTTTAAATGACAGTAGGGACAGCCAGCATTACCTGTAGACCTACCGTGACACCAGGAATACATTACTTGGTTTCAATCAACTGACCTACACTGACAAAGTCTGAGGGTAACTTTTAAAAAACAATGATAACTCTCATACTTAGATATACCTATATTTTTTCCCGTCTTAACAGACTAACACAATATAGATGCATCCAATTATTTGGCATAGACAGCAAAAGACGTTTGGATTGCAAGCCAGAAATAATGACTTCAGTGGCTATCTTGTGTGGACGTGATTTTCACCTGGAAATAACTTGCTGTTCCCCTCATTAGTATTTACTATGTGATTTTTTCAGTTTAGGAGAGAATATGCAAAGTGACACCCTATGGCTTCCAACAGTAGAAATCTGGTCCACCTGAATGTGCAAATTTTCTCATGAACAGTAGTTAAATACAGAGTTAGTAAGCTAACATTTGATTGTAAATCTTAATTGGATAAAGTGGGTTTGCAAAATTAGACGTTTCTTTCAAAAAAGAGCATTCACTGTCGTTGAATATGTAAATTCCACCTCACATGCAAATTTGAAAAGAAAAATGCTTTATAAAGAATGATAAAAATACACCACTTGGCCTGATAGAGAATGAAGAATAACAGCAGGCCCGCAGGCAATTTTACTAATTCCATAAGCTGAAACAAACAGTAAGCACCAGAGCACAAGGTGGCAAATCTTTCCAAGTCAGTCCTGGCTCTTGGAGGGAACGAAATGAGAAGATAATTAATTGCCTGGAAGTGTGAGCAGAGGCCCCCTATTAGCATAAGAATGTGACATTCAGTTCTTCCCGTTCTAACTAGGTAAACTCTCACTTCTGCACTGGAGGTAGTTATGCTCAAGGCTACGTTTCTTTCTTTCTTTCTTTCTTTTCTTTTTTTTTCTGTTTAATTCTTTCTGGGAGATAGGCTGCCTACAATAGCCTCAAAAAGAAGCAAAAACTTGGAAAGCAGGACAAAAAAGTTGTGGAATTCAAGTTATTGAAGCCCATTCCTAAGAGTATGAGTTTAAACTTCATTTGACTTTAAACATAACGAGTTTTCAGGCACTAATTTTGGCCGCCTCAGGCAACAGAGTGCAGACTCAGATCTGAAAACCGGTCGTGCTAACAACTACGGTTAAAGAACGTTCTCCGGCTTTCAATCAATGTCTCACGGGACTGAAAGACGAGGAAATCGGTTCAGAAACAATACAACGCATCACTTCTCCAAATTTGTAGAGTCCACTTGGAACCGAGCACTCTCTTCACGTAACATCCCCAAACACCGAGCTGATTGTCAAGACGTTTACAGCGTTAATGTAATTTCTATTAATAACCAGAAATGTATGGACATGTCACATCCTACACTCGACGTTAAAATTCCAACCAGGTTTGCAATCCTAAAACTCGTTATTTTGCAGAGTCTGCATGGTGCCTAAAAGAGAATAAGGCCTGAGAATTCGCAGTTCATAGAATGATTTAAGGAATTACCTTTCTAATTTCATCCAGCACCATTTCAAACGACTTTTTGTCCATCTTGACTATTCTCTCGACGTGGTTTTGACAATTACACTTTCAATGACAAAACGTTCGTCCACGCTTAGCTTTGACAGTCAAAATGTTGACAGTCGAAGAGGAAAAAGACTCCAGGAGCAAGAGACAGGATGCGTAGAGGTAGACTAAAACTCGTGGGGGGGGGGGGGGGGGGGGGGGGGGAGTTCTAAAAATGGAGGCGTACAAAAATTTTTTATTAAAAATCAAAAATCATCAGGCTTCTGCAGCTTTTGCGCACAAAGCTTCAGGACACTTTGGGGAAGAGCTGAATCCTCTCTGAGTCCCGCAGAGAAACCCGGGTGTCGGCAGCCAGGGCTGAGCACCGGTCCCCGCAGCTCGAGGTCAAGGCCGCCAGGGGACGATCGAGAAGTCGCTTTCCCGGGTGGACTGGCTGCGACGGCGGGGGCGCCAGAGTCCCACGGGCGGCGAAGACAGAGGGGCCAGCCTCTCCGTCCGCCGGCCTCACCGCCGCGAACCTGGACCCGTAGCCCAGCTCGCGCTCATCCCAGCAACTGCGCCGGCCTCCTGGGGCCCCGCAGCCCCGCAGCGGCCGGCGGGCCCTTTGTTACCAACTGCACGGCTTCCGGGAGTGGGTTGGCGGCCGGGAACACTGGGGCCGAGTGGAGGGGGACTCCGGAACCCCGCGGCGCCCACTCTGCCAGGAGCCTCTGCCGGCTACCCCTCCAGCTCCCACCGGCTCCTGGGGGCCTTCGATAAAGTCCGTCGCGCCCAAGCAAACTCAATGCTGCGCTGCTAGTTAGGCCACTCTTTCCTAAAAGCCGACGGCAGGGGTCCTTGTGTGGGAACGTAGGTGTCCAAGATATATGCCTGAATACTTCGGAGCCGATGCGGTTGAAATCCTGCGCAGAACTTGGCAGGCATTTTTTTGAGGGTCATACTTCTATGACTTGAGTTTGTGTGTGCTAGCTTCTGATTGGTCAATTTTAATGTCAAAAGAATTAACGTCGAGTCGTTACGGAATCTCTATGGCCGCCCTTATTTGGCCGACAGAAGTCCTAGGCGTAGGGCCACTTTCCCCGAGGGGCTGAAAGGGTTGGTTCCGGGTCCGCCCGGGAGCACGTGACACGGGGCGGAGCCCGAAGGCGCGTGACGTGGGGGCGGGCCGCAGGGACGCCCGGGGGATTCCCAGACCGCCTAGTATTGCGGTTCTTCCGGCTCTCAAACCCCGCGCCTCCGATGAACCGCTGTCGGAGACCAACCTTCATCCCGGAGAGCAGGCAGTCACTGAGCGCCGCAGGGAACCGTTCGGACCCAGGCTGTACTTGCCCCGAGCGCTTCGCCGCGCTCCCTGTTCTGTCATGGCGAGAGTCTGGCTCTGCGCGGGTGGCGCGGGCTGCTTGCTTATTTTTCTGGTTTTACATTCGCATCTTTCTGGCTCTCCGGTGAGTTGGAGAGTGAGGATGTGGCTGTCTGGGGTGTAGACAGCACCTCTGGGAGGCGACGCTTCCCTCTGCACTGGAGGCGGTGGGTGCACCAGCTGGTCTCCAGCGGGGGTGGGCGGGGTGGAGGCTGTCTCTTTGGTTAAAATGTTTGTGCACGCGCGAGAGGACGGGGATGTGGAGGTGGACAGGAGTATAGGGTGGATAAGTGGTGACGGAAAACAAAGTATAAGTAAGTAATAAAAGATAAATTTTGGGGGGAAATGTATGTACACAGGGTCCCTGACGTGTAGTTTTTCCACGCTGGGATGGTGCAAAAGCGATACCATTCAATAGACACTGTACTTGGCACGGGATAGCGCTGTGCAACTCTGCACGGTATTTTGTGTGTCGGGTCCCGTCAGGTTTATAAACACACATCTGTGTCTTCTGCTTCTGCTGAGAAGACGATGAAGGCTTCGCGAGTCCACACTCGAGATTCATGGCCCAGCAGTAGGCTAACTGCAGTGTGCTGAGCACGGGTGAGGGGGGCTGGGCTCGGATGCCCCCTAGGTTTCGAGTAGTAATACATTTGGACTGGTACGGTATTTTAAATAGTGATGGGCTTACCGGGTTTTCAGGCTACCACGACATCCTCAAGTAATTTTTAAGAGTGTATTTTATCTTTAGAGGGGAAGGGAAGGAGAGAAATATCAATGTATCGTTGCCTCTAGTGGGTACCCTGCTGGGAACTGGCCTGCAGCCCAGGTATGTGCCCTGACTGGAAATCGAACCACGATCATGTGGTTTGCAGGCCTGTGCTCAATCCACTGAGCTACACTGGTGGTTAAATGAATAAACCCATTTCTTCCCAGTCATTCTGACCTCTGTGTCAGGTGTCAAGGCATGCTTAAAAATGAGCCTTTTTTTCTCCTGGGTTTGTTGTTTTGTTGTTTTTTTTTGGCTTTTTTTCCCCCCCTAGAGTATAAACTGAATTCCAATCTTCTGCTTTTATTTCAGGTTTTAAGGGACTTTGTGTTTCAAATTTCCTGGGGAACTGAGGACATTCTTTACAGGCTGGACGTGGGTTGGCCCAGGCACTCGGAGTACTTCACTGGAGCCACCTTCTGTGTTGCCGTGGACTCCGCAAATGGACTGGTGTATGTCGCCCAAGTAAGTGAAATCGGGTTTTTACAAAATGCATGAACACAAGGGAAGCGTCGGCCTGTTGTACTGCACCAAGTAGCCGGATGTTTTTACATCGGGCCAGTTACGGAATTTGGTTTTCAAATTGCTTTCAAGTGAATATGTGACTCTGCCTTTGACAGGTACTAATTATTGTTAGGTTTTAAAGCTGAGTTTTTAAGCACTTTTGAATTCCTCCATTAACCTTTAAATTGTGCTTCTCGCTGCCAAAGTAAAGATTACTTTTCTTAAAACTGATCCCATCTAAGCCATTATCTTTATGTGCCTTCAGAGAGGGGACCATATCCAGAAGGTCCTAGTGTTCACAGAGGATGGATATTTCTTGCGAGCTTGGAACCACACAGTGGACACGCCCCACGGCATGTTCGCACCCAGCAGCCCTCAGGAGCCGGCGGTCTGGCTCACGGATGTCGGAAGCGGTATGTGCACTAGGACGCTAGTGGCTCATACAGTAGCTCGCGAGAAAGTCTACCTCTGCCCGTGTTCTTGCTGGTGCATTCTGAAACCAGAGTTGCCAAATCTGATTTGTTTAATGGTTCATGAAATCACTGATTTTTAAAAATACACTGTCCTCCTGTAAGATTAAAACATTTAAGAGGGAGGTTATCATTTTAATGGTCTTTAACTTGAAAAGAGTCTTTCTTCTTTTCAAAACTAATTTTCCCATTTCTCGGTGACAGTTTACTTTCAGTGTTGCTTTGTGTTGACTTCACTTGGACAGTGTACTGATTAGACAGTCACATGCGTTACACGGTGCTCACCCTCATACTTCCAGCACCCACCTGGCAGGCATCACACGCAGTTGTCACAGTATTTTGGACAGTGTTCCCTGTACTTTACACCCACGACTGTCCTGTAACTGTCAATCTGTGTACCTCAGTCCCTTCACCTCTTTCACCCAGGCCCCCAGCCCTTCCCATCCAGTCTCTGTGTTTATGAGTCTCTCTCAGTTTTGTTTGTTCCTGTATTTTTGTTCATTAGATCCCATGTGTAAGTGAGATCATATGGTACTTGTTTTTCATAACCTCTAGGTCCATCCATGTTGTCACAAGTGGTAGAATTTTATTCTTTTGTTTAAAAAGATTTTATTTATTTATTTTTAGACAGAGGGGAAGGGAGGAAGAAAGAGAAACATCAATGTGTGGTTGCCTCTCACATTCCCCCTACTGGGGACTTGGCCCACAACCCAGGCATGTGCTCTGACTGGGAATTGAACTGGTGACCCTTTGCTTTGCAGGCCAGCACTCAATCCACTGAGCCACACCAGCCAGGGCTCATACTTTTTATGGTTGAGTAATATTCCACTGTCCACGAGAACCACGGCTTTCTTACCCACCGATCCCTGGTGGGCAGGTGGTGTCGGGGAGAGGGGCTCAGCGCGGGGCCTGGAGGCCGCCCCTCCCGCTCTCTTCCCGGAGCCACAGACCCAGCCTCTCCTCACGCAGGCCAGGGCCACTGCTCTTCTTTCTGATTCACTCAGTGCATGTGATACTTTTCATTAATTTCCAGAAATAAAAAAACGTGTGATCTCTTCATACTTCCCTTATAGCTGGTTTTTCCATACACAGATCTGAAGGCAGTTTTTGTATTCCTTCCGTTTTTGAAAGGAGTAAATTCCTTTTAATAAAAACATGACTGCGAATCAGCCATTTTATATTTTTTAAAAAACATTATTTATTGGTATTTTTTGTCTTTTGCTAATGCTGTAGGAATTTTGGACTTTGCTTTCTTAAACAGTGTTTTGTTGTCTTGCTTTTGCTACAAACTTTAGCTCAAAGCCTCCAAATCAAATATAGTAATAAACTCAATTTTCAGGATAGAATTGTCACATAAACGAATTCATGCTATTTTTCAGCAAGCTCAGTGTGCGCAGTTTATCTTCGGAAGTAGCACCGGCTAGTGCGGTCGTGGCCTTCAAGTTGATGTCTGTGAGCTGCTTTGCGGTTTTTCCATATTTGTTAATATTCTGTTTTGTACTTCTGCTTGGAAGATAAGTGTCAGATAAACTTTAATGTAGGTGAGAAGACAAATACAAGTAATTCAAAAAGATTTAGTTTTGCCCTGGCTGGTGTAGCTCAGTGGATTGAGCACAGGCCTGCGAACCAGAGGATCACGGTTCAGTTCCCAGTCAGGGCACACGCCTGCATTGCAGACCAGTTCCCTGCAGGCCAGTTCCCAGCAGGGGAAGCACTAGAGGCAACCATACATGGATGTTTCTCTCCCTCTCTCCTTCCCCTCTAAAGATAAATACATAAAGTCTTTAAAAATTTAAAAAAAAAAAAGATTTAGTCCCTTAAGGAAGAAAAGTTAATGAGTTGAATTTTGAATTTGTTTCCACTGAGAAAATGTAGTTGAAAACATCTGTATTATAGAGAATTCTTTTGTTGACCTACTGAAATTCGACATCTGCACACAAGTGAGTGAAATAACGATTTTCAGACGTAACCGACTGGCGTCCAGTTCTGTGTAACCTCCTTCTGTGGGGACACGTCGCCAGGTTGAGACTAAACCGGGGTTGACACCCTGACAGTTTAGTGAGAGCTTTCTGTGGGAGGAGCCCGCTTTTTAAGTTTTATGTATTTGGATTTAAGATCTATTTATCTCTGAGCACTTGAGGTTCTACTTCATGGACAGGTTTGCCTGTAACTACCGAGGAAGCTCAGTTGCTTGTCAAATGTGACATTTGGGCATCTGAGCCCGTTAACTTTTTATTCCTATTTAATTCTGTCAGATTTTCTCTCAGTTTACAGTTGGCCCTTGAACAACATGGGTGTGGACTGGGTGGGTTAGGGTTAGTGGATTTTTTTCCATAAATACTATAAATGTATTTTCTCTCATGATTTTCTTATTGACATTTTCTTTTGTACCTCATTGTAAGGAAACTGGGTTTAATACACATAACACACAAAACGTGTGGTCACTGACTGCCTGTGTCGCGAGGAGTCCCCGTCAGCTGCAGGCTCTTAGTAGTTCAGTTCTGGGGGTGTGAAAAGTTACTGTGATTTCCGACCGGCAGGGGTGGGGCCTCTAACACACCTTCCCCACCCTGTTGTTCGGCTGCACTTGAAAAACCCAAATGTTTGTACAGTGGTCATATTTGTGAAATGTTCGTATCTGTCTTTATATGAAGGATCCTTTGGTCACACTGTTAAAAAATATGATTCCTTCGGGGATCTCGTTCAAGTCTTGGGGACCCCAGGCCAAAGAGGCACTGGTCTGAACCCCCTGCAGTTCGATAACCCTGCGGAACTGTACGTGGAAGGCACAGGAGACATTTACATTGTGGACGGAGACGGAGGGCTGAATAACAGGTTGATCAAGCTGTCCCAAGGTAGGTGGCTTAGTTTTAAATGGTGTTATGTAAGAACATCGGGTAGTGAGGTGGGTTTAATTTGTTTGATACTTGATATAAAGCGGTAACTCTTGTGTACGAATCTGTGTAAAGGGCTCAAGTGTGTTACTAGGAAAAAAGCAGAACAGGTATGTGGGACAGCCAATGATGGATTTGCTTATTCTTCACCAAAGCAGTGCTTCCTTTGCAATGCACAGGAGGCGGTGAGAATTGTGGGTTCAGGGGGTGAGTGGTCAGTCTACCCAACTAAGGGTCGGCAATCAGAGCTCAGCACCCAGGGGTGAGTGGCCGCGCAGGCCGACGGCCCAGCAAGTGTTTTACTGAATCCCCTGCCCCGCATTCTCTGATCTGGTACAGGTAAGATGATTAAATGCTACTGATGTTACTCCATGGTGTTGACTATTAGTGAGATCAATAAAATGGCAAAATAAGGCGAGGAGGAGGAAATACCGTTGTCTGGGAAAGCTGGCCCAGAGCTGGAGGAGGAAACAGTTCTTGCGCTGAACAGGTTCTGACGGGAGCAGAGCCGGTGGGTGGGGCCACACCGGGGCTCCGTGGGCGGCAGCAGAGCATCCTTAGGAGAGGCAGTGGGGGTGCGCTTTTTCACTATGAGAAGGTGAGATCTGGGATGTCCTTGTGAGCTTATGCTGGGAAAATGTCCCAGGGCCAAGAGACCAAAGAAGGAGGCTGACCGGCCAGCATTGACGACATCGGAGGCAGGACCCCAGGAGGTGGCAAGGCAGTGTGGGCATCCCCGGGCCGTGGCAGGCACCATGGCACCGCATAGAGCCGGGCAGGGTGGGTGCGGTGCAGAGGGAAAGGCGCCCGTGCGCACCGGGCCAGGGGCCCACCTGGTCCAAGAGCCCCCCACCCACAGGCATGGTGGGGAGGGGGGCAGGCCCAGCAGGCCGACGGGGGTGCTGGGCACCAGTCTATTCAGGGTCCAGCTCACGGTCACGGCAGGGTACAGTCTCTCCTCCATGGCCTAGCTAAGGATTTGAAGCCATAATTTGTCTAAAACAAGTATTTGGGGGTTTTTTGCAGAAAAGTGATGTCATAGAACCCATTTTGTTGTTTATAAGACACAGTACGCTGTCAGGATGTATTTGCAGTGAGCCCTGTCTGCAGGAGGCCCTGCAATTTATCACCTAGTAACTGAAATTGGTTGGTGGCTGTCAAAGGAAGAAGAGGTAGGGATGAAGTAAGAATCATCAGTAAATGAATGGATCCAAAAATTGTGGTACATATACACCATGGAATTTTATGCAGCAGAGAGAAAGAAGGAGCTACTACCTTTTGCAACAACATGGATGGAACTGGAAAGCATTATGCTGAGTGAAATAGGCCAGGCATTGAAGGACAAATACCATATGATCTCACCTTTGACAGGAAGCTAAAGAATAAAACAAACAAGCAAACAGAATAAAAACAAAGACGCTGAAATAGAGAACAAGTGGGCAGCGACCAGAGGGGAGAGGGAAGGGAACTTAAGGGGAAAAAGGGGGAGGGATTTTGAGGAACAAGTATGAAAGACACAGAGTTGAGGACTGGGGGGGGGGAATGGGAGGGAGGGGGGAGACCGGGCGGGGGGGGGGGAAGGGGAAAAAAAATGTACTTGAAAAGTAACTAAATTAAAAAAAAAAAAAAAAAAAGAAGTTCCCATAAAAGAAAGAAGGAAGCAAATCGAGCAGACCGATGGCATGCAGGCGCGTCGCCGCCCCGAGGCTGCCGCAGAACGGGTGCAACTGGGCGGCTTCGTGGAAAGGGACTGGCCCAGGGTGGCTTTGGCGTCCAGAAGTCTGACTTCTGTGTGGGGCAGGTCGTGTGCCCCTAAAGGCACCGGGGGAGACCGTCCCTGCCTCTTCCAGCCTCAGGAGGCTCCCAGCACGCCTGGGCTTGTGGCTGCCGCGCCCCGGCCCCTGCCGCGCCCCGGCCCCTGCCGGGCCCCGGCCCCTGCCTCTGCGCTCCCATGGCTCCTCCGTGCGTCCTGTGTCTCAGCTCCCTCCACACTGTCCCCCTGTAAGCCCACTAGTCATCGGATCCAGGGTCCAGCCCAAATCCAGGGTCACCTCATCTCAGTCCCCACCTTCACACCCCCTGCTAAGACCCCGTTTGTGGCAGGTGGCGGTCACAGGCACTGGAGGCTGGCACTTGGACTTGCCTCCTCGGGGGCCGCCGTCCACCCCCCAGCAGGGTGACAGCTGGGGCAGCCTACAGGGACAGCATGGGACTGAGTCAGCTCGGGAAGGGCAACACCGAGGAGCAGGTTAGCTGGCCAGAGAACTAGTTTAATGAAGGGGTTGACATGATCCCTAAGGAGTGACTTTGAGTGGAGGTAATCATCAAAGTAAGTTCACTGGTCGGAACAGAACGATTTTTTTTTTTTGTGAAGCGTTAAGTATCAGGCAAATGGGCGTATAAACATCAAGCAGGCGATGGGCTCATGACTGAAAAGTTCGTACCCTGTGACGTGCGTCATGGCAGACACGTGAGGCGTCCTCTGCGCTGCCCCTGCCATGCGTGCTCACCACTTACAGATCTCACGGTGCTGTGGCTGCGCGGAGAGAGGGGGACGGAGCCTGCCAAGTTCCACGTGCCCCACAGCGTCACCGTGGACTCATTTGGCCGGGTAAGAGTGGGCGTCTCACCCTGTGTGTGTGTGTACGTGTGTGAATCTGGGTGTGTGCACGCGGACCTCGGCGCCTGTGTGCGTCTGGCCATCCTGGACATGCAGGCGTGTGAGAGCATGTGCTCATGTGGGTGTGTGGGCCTTCCCACGGGGCTGGGTGCACCCACGGACCCCCTCATGAGCATGGGAGCCTGTGAGGAGGGTGCTCCCCAACACTCCCCAGTGAGCAGGAGAGACCTGCTCACTTCCAGGGGAGAAGGAACACGTCGGGGGCCGCAGGTGAGTCGGGTTCCCTGAAGGAAAGAGAAGAGAGATGCTCTCCTACTGGGGAGCTGCAGTGGGAATTCAAATACAGTTCTGATTCTAGAATTCAGCAAAGTCACTTCTAGAAAACATTGGCGGGGGGAGGCAGAGGGAGGGAGGAAGTTGACCTGGGAAGCCCAAAAACCAGACCAGCCCACCGCACGCTGGTTTTCAGCAGCCGTGCCCTGTGCCCTGTGCCCTGTCCCGGGCCGAGCGCCTCCACCACCAAACTGCGGTCCACGGACTTTTCTGGGCCTGTCGCCTGCCCCCTCCTTGGCTTCCACGGACCTCTGGCACCTCTGACCTCCTCTGACCATGACCGATCGGCCCTGTGGAGCGGCCGCGACGCTTCATTACTCGTTCCTCCTGTTGTTTCCCTGCAGCAGCCCAGGCTCCCAGTAACTTGTGGTCCCCCTCGTAGACCGGAGCTGCGTGAGAGCACCCACCGCTCCTCTCTGGCTCCGCCTCAGCGCCTCACTCGCAGCGGTCATGCCACGCATGCTCAGTGACTCCGTGTCCCGGTGCATAGTGGCCAGGACAGTCTTGGCTTCGTGCCGTTAAGAACCCACCACTCTGCTCAGCAAGCAGCCCTGGGGCTGCAGCGCGGCTTCCTGCACGGACAGTGTGAAGTTTTCGAGTGTCCCACCTCACAGACAGGAAGATGAGGGGACGTGCGGGCTTTGTGTGTCAGTGGACCTGGAGTCGGAACTAAGTGCTGTCCTCGTGGGAGAAGGACAAGGTCAAGTCTGAGCGCGAGATCCTTGAGCCCCTTGAACTCACCACCGGGCGGGAGGCCCTTCTCACGCCTCGGAGAGCATCTGGTGAGATGCCCCGGTGATGCCGAGCCCCGGTCCTCAGGGCTAAACTGTCCTTCCTCCCTGGTCTCTAGTCCAGGACGGCAGTCCCCAAACAGTCACCTTACCTGGAGATCAGCAACCTTCCTCCAGGGATTCGAGAGTCTTTGTATCTGACTGGAGATGAATTCAGTAGCTACCAGAGCTCACACACGTTGCTGAAGATAAAATCAGGTCTCCCTGAAGATGCAGTCTCGAGTCCACAAACCAGCAGCACTGAGGGTCCTGAAGGGGGGAGGCGGGGGTCGGAGGTCGGCCGCCCTTCCTCATAGCCCTCCGCAGTCCCGGCCACGCGTGGCTGGGGCGGCCTCCTGCTGCGCAACGAGCCGCCTACACCAGGTGCAGCAACGCCTGAAGTGCCATCAGAGTGCACCGCCTCCTCCTGTAACAGCGGGGTCCTTAGTGACCCGTGGCAGCCAGTCGCAGCCCTGAGTTCAGCCTGAGTTCACTGGCCTGCTGTCATTCCTGACGTGTGTCCAGAAGTCTCCCCAGCCTCCCCTTTGTGAGGTTCGCTGGGCAGACACCCCTTGGCAGAGAGCAGGCAGAGGCCCAGCGGTCCTGCGGTGCCCGTGAACCCTGGCTCCCCGGCCTAAGAACTGGGGCCCTGCGGCCTTCTCTGTCCTCCTCCTGTGGCCTGGCCCGGGAACTGGCAGGCTGGTGGCGCTCGGTGACAGAGGAGCGGGTGGGCCGCTGTGTCCCCCGGTCAGAGGTGCGGTAGAGCAGGCAGGTGCCACAGGCCTGGGGCTCTGACCAGGCCGAGAGTGGTCCTCCCACTGGTTGTAGGCTCCCTCCCGACATCTCAGCCTTTCCGAAGCTGGATTTCCTGCCTGAAAACGGGGCTTTTAATAACTCTCTTGTCTGGGGGCTGCTGAGAACTAAATGAGAGATCGGGTGAGAAGTTAACGAGAGTAAGGTTCCCTCCGCCCTCCTCTCCCCTGCTTCCTCCTACGGTGCAGAGGAGGCTCCCAGCCAACCCTTGGTCTGGCCCCCAGGTGTGGGTCGCTGACCGAGGAAACAAGAGAGTCCAGGCCTTCGAGAAGGACACCGGGGCCTGGCTGGGAGCCTGGGACGACTGCTTCGCAGAAGAGGGGCCCTCCTCCATCAGGCAAGTGCTTCCTGGCATTTTAAAGCGCCTGTTTCACTTGCTCTTTGGGGGGCCGTCCGGAGAGCTAGCTCGGAGTCTCGGGTGTTTGCTGTCAGTGTGACACGGGAAGGGGCGGGAGGCGAGGGTGCAGAAACTGGCTCCGGTTCCCCCGCAGCGCCGGGTGCGGCCCAGGTGGGGCTGCGCCTTCTCTAGAGGTGTCCCCAGAGGTGCAGTTGGGAGGGTTTTGCAGCACAGAAGGAAAACAGAGACCCTGAGTCGATGGTGTGAGACGCGGCTGGACGCCGACTCTGTCGCTCTGTGCGCGAGGGCAGCACTGTCGTTTCTGCTTGTGACCTCAGCTGACCTGTGGCTGTGTGCGCCATCAGGCATCTCTTGATCCCGCCCTGAGGAATCTGAATAATTTAAACTTCTCTTGAGACAACCCCCACGCTCATCCAGGCCTTCTCTCTGAGCCTGGCCAGTGCTGGCTCTCGGCGGCCCTGCCCTGCTGAGGTCCTCGCCCTTGAACCCCACCACCACGGTGTGCACCCCCCGCCCCCGGTCGCCCACTGTCCCTTGCTCTCTGCAGGGTTGTCACAACCCCGGCGGTGGCTTGTCATCTCTCTGCCTCTGTGTCCCATGGTGTATTCTCCCACTGGAGCACAGAGGAGGAGAGACCTGCCCTGCACCCAGCAGCAGGCGCGCTGGGGGCCCGGCCGGTAGAGAGTGCGTACAGAGTCGGCAGTGCTGTGAGAGCGCGGCCTCTCCTCCCTGCCCTGTGTGCGTCACATCAGGAACGAACTGGGGCCGTTAAACACCAGCCAGCAGGTTACGAACCCAATGTGCTGCAAGCAGCGTATCCACCACGGCCTGGGGGGCAGCCCTTCGGCCCGTCGGCGCCCGCTGCTGTCCAGCACTGTGTGGCGAGGTGAACACGTATGTGACCTGCACTCAAACTGCCGTGTGCGACGCCCCCTCCGTAGGTTCACCCCCGACGGGCAGCACGCGGTGGTAGCCCAGCTGAACCGCAGCCGGCTGCTGTTCCTGGCCGCGCCCCCTGTGGGCGGCATCGGCTCCTGCGTGGTGAGACGCTCCATCCAGCTGGCAGATCAGGTCTCACCTCACCTCTTAGACGTCAGCGGGCGGACCGGAGCCATCTATGTCGCGGAAATCGGAGCAAAACAAGTACAGAAATACGTGCCTTTGAAAAGCTATTTCCCGCCTTTCCGTTTCTGACCCTGGTTTGCCTGGAGATCCTTCCAGTGAAAGTTCAGATTTTCAAATTCACCATCTAAAGTGCCTAAAAGTAATGTTCAAGTGCAAGAATTCATTTCTTTATTTTTACCTGATCTGGTATCAGAAAATTTGTTTCTGTGTCATTAATAAGTTGCATGTTGCGTTGCCATTTTTGTGACTTAATTTTACGTGTAAATGCGTAAGGATATTTTAATGAAAGAAATGTGACAAAAAAAAACGGGTCAAAGGAGGCAGCAAATAACGAGGCAGTAACCTAGTTATTTGTCTCGGTAGATTATTCCTTGGCGGGGGGCGGGGGGGGGGAGCAGGAATAGAAATGGGTTGGGGGATACTTTCCTGGATTTTACGCATGGAGCCGCAGCTCTCCAGGTGGCTCACCTTACAAGTGATGAACTGCATGAGAGGCGGGGCCCGGTGGGCTCTGGAGTGCAGTGCTCCCAGGACGCCGGCCCGGAGGGGGGCTCAGGGACAGAGGCCGGGTTCGTCCGGGTCCCTGTCAGCAGCTCACGAACGACCGGTGACTGCCATTCACGCGTGCTGTGGGACTCCGGAAGGAGGAGCCCTGCCCCTGACGGACAGGAGCTCAATGGAGCGCCACCTTGGACAACCGGGGAGGAGAGGGACCAAACCTCGTGGACTCGCTGTGAGCCTGGGGGCTTCCTTTGAAAAGAGCCCCCGCTTGGTTCCGGCCCTCCCACTGCGAGGCAGGAATGCCCCTCCTCGGTGCCTTCGTTCTTGAGAGAGAACTCAGTGCCTTTCCCAGCGTCTGTCTACCTCGAACAGGCTCCCGGCGTTTGCAAAGGTGCCCGCCAAACTCGGAGCTAGCGAAGTGCATGGTTTCCTGCGTGGTCCCGCGTGTCTGCCACCACTGGGGTGGAACGTCGGCGCTCCGCTGGGGACCGTTTTCTCAGTCCTCGTTCGCTCCTTCCAGCCGCAGCGGGACCCTCTACGTGCTACCACCTAGTGGGTGGCCCTCCCTCGCCCCGTCCAGCCTTCCTCTCCCTCCTTCCTTCCGGACTCGCTCTGTCCCCGCCGCTGCGCTCCAGTCTTCGCACAGCCAGAAGGTGAGTCTCCCAGCGGGAACCCCTGAGCTGGCGTCCGAGGCCACGGTGTGTGTCTGTGCCCCAGATGGGACTGTATGGTCGTGGCAGGGGCGGGGTGTCCAGGGCCTGGTGTCGACCACGCAGCTGCGATGTGCGATTAAGCCCGTACCAGCGCCAGGGACTCGGAAAACATTACAAAAGGTGCTTCTAAACTTGCCTTTCACCTCATGCCAGCAGGTTTGCCTGGACTTCCTGTTTGTTTCACAATGTGTCCTTGTGAACGGGTGTAGCCAATATAATTAACTGATTTAGATGGAAGAAGGTGATTTGAGCTGTATCTTTTGTTGCTGTTGTTTCTGAGCCAGGACAAGTGCGAATGTCTCTCTGAAAGATGCAGTTTAGGTGAACTGATGTCATTTCAAAAATGTTTCGTTCAGTGTTTTATTGTGTTTTATGCCATATTCTTCTATAATGTTTAAAATACTACTTCTCTTTATCTTGCTAAAAAGCATTTTATCAGAATTCTAGTAATGTTTCTCAACGTTTTTCCTTTGGATTGTTTAAATGGATTAGAAATGTACTTTCTATTAAACAGAATTTTTGAGGGAAAAGGCAGTATCACCTAGCGGTCCTGTTAGTTTGACTTTACTGTTAGAAAAGCACTTTGTAAGTACTTATTTCGTTGAAGAAATCCAACAAGCATGAAATCGCAGGTTGACGCAGTTTTCTGCTGATACCACGCCGTTCTGACGCGTGGCTCCTTAGCGCCACTCAAACTCGGCTGTGACGCCTCGGGGTTGCTTTGGCTCTTCCGGGTCATTTGCGGTTCCATACAAGTCTGGTGGTTTCCTGTTCTATTTAAGAAATGCCATTGGGATTCGGATGGAGATTGCGTTAAATATGCGTATTGCTTTGCTTAATGTGGCCGTTTTAGCTGTGTTGATTCCTCCAAACCATGAACATGGAATGTGTTTCCATTTCATTGTGTCTTTTTCAATCTGTTGTAATAATGCTTCTTAGTTTTCAGTATATAGGTCCTTCACAACCTGTATTACGTTTATTCCCAGGTTATTTTTAAGAAATTTGTTCAGATGTGAAAATGCTTTGTCTCATTGATTTTGTTTTGGAAACTTTTTTGTTTTATAAATTCTAACTTTAAAATGTCACTATACAATGAATGGGCTTACCATTTTTTTCTGAAAATGTTTTTAAAGTTCTGTCAGCAGTAGTAAGTTCTTATAAATATAACTCAACATTTTAAAATTTCAGGCCCTGGCTGGTGTAGCTCAGTGGATTGAGCACTGGCCTGTGAATCAGAGGATCGTGGTTCGATTCTCAGTCAGGGCACATGCCCGGGTTGCAGGCTGGTTCCCTGCGGGCCAGTTCCCAGCAGGGGACGCATGAAAGGCAACCGTACATTGATGTTTTTCTCCCTTTCTCCTTCCCCTCTAAAGATAAATTTAAAAATCTTTTAAAAAATTTTCTTCGGAGGCCTCAAAAATCAGTGTAGAAGGACCCCGAGACCTAAACGTCTGAGATCACGGGTGTACGTACTAGCCTTCTGTGCACGAGAAAGGAGAAATGACGTCTCTTACGTACGCATGCAGTCAGAAAGGATGAACAGCACCAGTGGTTGGTTAGGCAAAGAGGGTAAGAGTCCATCCTGTTTATCTTCACTTTTGAGCTACGCTAAACTATTCAGAAAATTAGGTGTAAGAACAACAGCTGGGGGCCTCAGGGGCAGCGGGCGCACAGACGGGAGTGAACTGGGCGGAGCGGGATGCAGCTGTGCGGTGTCCACCCTGCACCGCGTCCGGAAGTGACCACTCGGGCCTGGTGCGCGCGGTAGAGGTGCCGCGTCTACAGGAACGCAGCTGGGACTGGGGCCCTCGAGGACATGCAGACCTGGGTGAGGGCAGCAGACACCGTCAGTTCCCTAACGGTCACTGTGGGAGTGGGACTACACGTGCCACCCGTGTGTCCCAGTGGACATTACGTCCTGGTGCTAAAGGAAGGGCGTGGCGCCCGGGTCGCAGCTTTACCCGGGGCGGCGGGCGGCACCAGCCAGCGGGTTGCCACGAGGGTTCGCCACAGTACCGTTTTCTGGTGCGACAGCACGTCCCTGGCACCCTGGCTCCAAAAGTGGCATCCTGTCCACGGTACAGTGGAAAAAGCTGGCAGTGTTATCACTACACAACAATTCTTAATAAATAGACTGGTGGTTGCCTCAGGGGTGTAGGGAAGGTGGAGAATGGTGAAAAACTGTTTTTAGTGTTTCAATAAATTGAATTAAAAAGACAACTAACACACGCCTCAGGGTTAACACTGTTTAATGTGCGGTCATTCCCACCTGTAAATACAGTTTGCACAATGCAGGGGAAATGGGTCATCGGACACAGCCCTGGAGACAGGGAAGCAGCCAGACACACGCACTGGTCAGGGCAGGGCTGCACCCCTGCCTTGGGTGTGCGAGCTCAGGGAGGAGGAGGAGGGTGACCCAGGACCACAGACAGCACAGAAGATCATCTTGGGCCACCCCGTCTCTACGACAGGACCTCCTCCTGCTGACCCAGCGCTTGGGCCCTGGTCTGGCCAGTCCTGCAGATGACGGTCTGGACAACGGCCACCAGCCTGTCCCTTCTCTTTACGTCTGAGCCCCTGAAGTTAGTTAACAGAAGAGCCACCACACAGCCAGCCTGGCGTGTACAAAGTCCAGGCCAGTTTCTTGCAGGTGCAGTGTTTAAAGTGCACAGCAGAGAAAGCGCTCACTCCGCCCGCACGAGCGGCCGGACTGAGGGTTCCCTAATGAAGCGATAAGCAAGACTGGCACCTACTGAACACGGGGCCAGGGATCGGCACCAGGCCCGTCCCCACACCCTCTGCTTCCTGTCAGCATCGAGTAACTAGTGACTACGAGTTCTGAGGCTGCCCATGGGCGTGTCCCCAGTGGGGTCGGGGGTGGGGGCTCACACGTACAGGAGCTTCAGCCCACAGCTCCGTCCCTCCCGTCAGAGAGCAGCAGGGAGCCGGGGAGACACACTCTTCATTTCAGGGACCAGCACTCCAGTTCTAGGAACTCCAAGTTCAAAATGAACACCCCAAGGCAACATTCAAAACTGTTTAATTTCCATAAGTCAGGGAAACAACATCAGGAAAAGCCATTCTACTGACAGGGTGTGAGGTCACAAAAGCAACACTTCCCACTGTCCAGACCAGTGGTGGTGCACAGCACGTTTGGCAATTCTGCACCGTGTCCAACATCCAGAGATGGTCAGGTTCACCTCCCCTCGACTGGAATCAGACCCTGCAGACTCTCCAGTGTCAGCGAGCACACGCACTGGCGGGGAGCAGGTCTGCAGTGCCCTCGGGGTGCACAGGACACCCCGTTTCCATCAGCCCCAGCAGTGGAGGCAGTCCCTCCGCGGCCACAGCAGTCTGCCGGTCAGGGATGTGCGTTACGGGCACGAGGGCGACGGGGAGGGGCGGGGCGGGGCCTTCAGTGGCCTGAACTGCACTTGTGAGGGGCCATTTTCCAAGCACGCAGGACAGAAAGACGGAATGATGAGGAGCTTTAATGATTCACGTAGTTAAAGAATTTACCTGGGTGTTGCAGAGCTCACACGGCCGTCAGGAGTCAGCACCAGGCTGGTGTCCTGGCCGGGGTGGGCCTGGCGCACGTCACGCCCATCCTCAGGCCCCCTACCTGAGCTGCACGCCCCTGCCCCGTCCTCAGGGACACCTGCTGCAGAACAGCCTCCAGAGGCAACCCCACACGGGGCTCCCACCCCGTCCTCGCCGCCCTGTCACTAGTCCCTTCTCAACAAGCAGAGAAAGGAGAGCAGGCGGTGGCGGCAGTGAAAACGCACCACGCCCACACTGAAACACGGCGCTCCGAGCCAAGGGAATCTGCCTTCACCCACGTATCCGCAACTGTTCTGCCTTCTTCAAGTATTAAAGGATAAAGCCCTGAAACTTGGAGGGTCAGGTCGACCGCAAATGTTACGTTTTCCAAAGATCACTACCAAAAACACACGAGACACCAAACCCAAGAAGCTCCTTCATTTTGAAAGCAGGGACTGCCCCTCCCGGCCACCGCCCTGAGCAGTCGGCCTTGCTGGAGGCCTGCAAGCCCCAGCTACCGTGGGCCGTCACACACAGCCTCGGGGACATTCCCTGGCCGCTCACCAGCCCGCAGCTCTGGGAGGAACGTGGCCACTCTGGCCCTGAGGTTTGAAAGTTCGACCTTAAACCACAAGCAGCTGTAGTGAGTTTTCCTGCCAGGCTCTCCCTTGCTCGTGCCTTGTCGCCAGCACGGCCCTGGACCACGATTCCCAGTGGGCCACGCCGCCCTTCAATGCGTGCCCAGTGGCTGTGTTCCAGAGATGCCCCTGGGAGCTCCAGGAGGGGCCCCCAGAACGAGCTGGCGCCCCAGAGAGTCCAGGTGTTGGCTGAACAGCGCTCTCTGCAGTTCTTACATGGATGAGTGTGGATGAGTTAGAGCTATGACATCACTACTTTTGAAAGAACGATAGAAGTGATCACTGAGGACAGTCACCAGGCACTAAACCAGTGACGGGACTGCGCAGGGGCGTCTGTGGCCTGCACGTCCGGCACCAGGCCCTAAAAGACCCAGAACAGGGACCCAAGGGCCATGCCCGTGGCAGCCCCAGCGAGCATGCCCAGGGCCAGGTCGCCGTCGTCGCCTGGGTGCCGCTCCCGGACGATGACGTGGCGGGCGGGCTGCTGCCCGGAGAGCCCTGGGAAAGAGAAGACAGGCCTGTGAGCAGTGTCACGGCCAGGGGAGAGGGCGGCCCGCTCGGCCGGGACCCTGCTTGAGAGCAGTCAGGGCCTGTGCGCTCCTGTCCCTCCCGTGGCCGCGGCCTCCTCTGGACGGACGGGCGTGGGGGGTGCCACAGTGGGCGCTCCCCGCTCTCCTCCACCACAGACGACGGGACCGGACTTGGCCTCCCGAGAGCCCCGTGTCACTGCACTCCAAGACATCCAGGTGCTTGGCTTCCCAGACACAGCCAGAAAGCAGAATCCCAATGAAGCCGCGACTCCGGCCCCCAGGGTCCACTTTGGTCCACACAGCACGCTCCTCGGGACACTGGGAGTGGGAGAGCACGGGGCACAAGCGGAGCCCACGCTCAAGGAACGTCCAGGGCAGAGCCCCGTTTGCGGGGAAAGCGTGTCACGGGAAACTCCTACAGAGCGAACTTTATAAAGACTCAGTGCTAAACTCCTGCGGTTCACATCTCCGATAGGAGACGCATCCCCTGTTCTCGTCCACACGTGACGCCTGTGCTAACCGCTGACTCTCTAAAACTGCCGCAACGTGGGCAGTGTTCCTTTCCTCCTCCACCTGCCACCCGTCAACCGCTCAGATCCAGGGGGGCAGAAACCAGCGCCGTGGCCTCACGTGCACACGGGTGAAGAACCCAAGCAGAGCCGGCGGTGATGGAGGCCGACTGCCGCACTGCGCCCCCACCAGGCCGGGGCCTGCCAGAGCCAGCGGGACGTCTGCGGTGGCATCTGCTTCGATTACTCAACCCGGCTGAGCTTCACGTAAACGGTCAGAATGTGGACTTGAGAGGCTGGACCACGGCAGGTTAACTTGCAAATCACCGTGGAACTGAGGAACCGAGCCCCGATGGAAGGCAGGGAGGGAAGCCCACAACACGGAATCCGCAGCTCTGCTCAGATTTGCCCCCGCAAGTGCACCCAGTCTCGGCAGCCCAGGGGCCCCTGACACAAGGACAGCTGGTCTGCTGCCCACGGAAGGGAGTGGACTGAAACGGGACGCTGGCGGGCAGAGGCGGCACTGTGCCCACTTCCCAGCCGGCCGACCGACCACAAGTCCCCACAGATGCAGGAGGGCTGTGCGTGTCAGCCCGACGTGCCTGCTGGAGACCGCCTGTCACACACTCTCCGCGCCGCCGGCCCAGGGCGCGCCCACAACTCGATGGTGCCAGCCCACATCTCCAGTGTGGTCCCAGGGAGGGGAGGAGTGGAGAGAAGCCCGTCAAAAGCCCAGAGCAAAGTCAGCCCCTTGCGGCCTCCACCTCCCTGGCAGAAAAGGAACACCGCCTCGGTAGTGACCATTCGCACAGGACGCCACCTGGAGGCAGAACGTGGGAGAACGAGCACCCCTCCTCCCCCACGAGGGCCCTGGGCTGAGCTGCTGCTTCACCTGAGCAAATCCCAGTAAGGCCCCTTCTCTCCCCGAGAGCAAAGCTGGGTGCCGTGGGGATGCTCTGACCGTCATGCCTGTCACTCAGCTTTGCAAAGCGTGTGACTCTGTGTGACACTTTAAGGAGCAAACCCCTGGCAGAGCGCCTCTCGGTCTGGGACCAGAAACAGCTCCAGCCCGCACGGCCCCTCCACCACCGGCAGAGGGCGCCAACTCACCTGCGTAGGGGTACTGGCAGGGGACCGCGTAGGCCCGCCCGTCGGCGGCGTAGACGACCTGCGTGCCCGGCGCGACCTGCGTGCCCGGCGCGTACGCGGCGCCGTAGGGGCAGTAGCCGTAGGCCTGCGGAGAGAAAGAGGCCGTGGAGTCATCGAGTCAGGCCTGAGGTCCAGCCTCCGTTCAGAGACAGGCTCTCGCGCGGCGGGCGAGGAGGGACTGAACCTCCACACGGTGGAATGGCCGTGCGGCCGCGGCTGACGTCAGACTCCGAGGCAGAAACCCAAGAGCTTCCCTCCGAGAGCAGGGACGGACGCCCGCCCCTGTCACTGTTCCTAACGCGTAACAACGAGGGGACGGGGGAATGTGCACGAGAGCTCTCCATGTTGTCTGTCTGTGCGCCTTCCCGTGAATCTCTCATCACCTCCAAATTAAACAGTAAAAAATACTAAAGGCGGAGCGGCAGCGCCTCCCAGCCCAGGGACCCCTCCGCGCAGCGCAGTAGCCCAAGGTGTCTGGTACTTGGCATGTGATTTTTCCCGAGGTTTGGTTTCTTTGTTATTTTCAAAGCATTTTTTTCTGATTAGACAAAGAATTTCCGTCACTGAGTACAAACTGTAAACCATAAAAACCACATGGCCAGAGCAACCACCTTGGTCTTGACCTTTCTAGGCCCCTCATCCTCAAGCCGAGCTGTGCATGAGGATGACAGGGTGGCTGCTTTGCTTTACGACAGTGAAGACGGTGGTAAATTTTGTTTGAGAAAAAAGGGGTTTAGAATACATTTCCAGTTTCTCTGACACCAGCTCCAGGTCTGTTTCTTCTCTTTAAAAAGCCAGTAAGTGGCAGAGGCGCCCCTGCCCCCTGCAGCCCGAGCCCGGTGGCGGAGAAGCGGGCGCTCCCTCCCTACCTCGGGGCCCGGAGCGGCGTAGGCCATGTATGGAGGAGGCGGGGCGGCCACCGCGGGGCTGTCGTAGACGACTTCCGAGCCAAGGTAAGCCTTAGGGGAGAGAGGGGAAGACAGCGAGTTACCACAGAGCAACTACAGAGGCTTTCAGGATGTTACACATGAGTCCTTTCCATTTAGCAAATTTCTTTAAAGCCAAAATGTTTCCTGTGGACAGCAATACAACAGCTCTCAGAAAGGCAGTAAATGGCGGGGGGGGGGGTGGATTCCGCCCCCCACGCATCCTCTAGCATCCTTCACGCTGAAGGGCGCACTGGGCAGGTGAGAGCACTCACGCCCACGGCGCCAGGAGCCCCCACGACCTCCCAGGCCTTTGGAAGATGGTGCCCAGCCCGCTGCCCTTCTGTTCACCAGTAAACCCCACAGTCTGAAGTGTGGCCATCAAAGACAAGCCCTGCACACAGCTCTGTTCCTTGTCTGAATTATTTCCCAGTGGAAAAGAAAAAGATGTGCGTTCTTTTAAAAAGTCCCCATAAAGAGTCGTCCGGCCCCTAAGCATGTGGGTCCGCACCAATCTCCCCTGAGGAGTGGGTGTTCGAGGAAGGAGGGAGACCACCGCCACAGAGCAGGCGACGGGCCCACAGTGCGTCTCTCCGCTTTCCTCCCCCAACGCACGCTCCGTTTGCCTTTTCCTCCCCCAGAGAGAGAGGGGGCCCCTCTGAGGAAGGAGCAGAGGGCAGAGGAAGCTGTGTGCACCGCCCTCGCCACCAGTGGGGCTGCCTGTGGCAGGAGCCCCCCACGGCCGAGACGAGACCAAGGGGAACGAGGTCCAAGGACCTGCTGTCCTTTCGGAGCCTCCACTGACACGCACAGCAGAGTTCAGAGTGTGGCAGATCTCAGCAAGACACACTCGTTTCGGAAAAACCATCCTGGAACCGGGTCCTCCTGCGGGGGGGGGGGGGGCTCCTCCTGCCCACAGGTCTGGCCCACCCAGCTCGGGGTCCGGGAGGGGTGCCCCACCCCCACCGGCTGGTGGTTGGATGCCCCTGCGCCCCAGCTTCCTCTCTCCCGTGTCACAGCAAGTCCGTGGGACACAACACTGGCGGCTGCCCAGGCCCGCACTCACCGAGTTTGTCCTGCAGTCCTGGAGCATAAACTTCCAGGCCCTGGAGGGATGGGAAGGAAAGTCACCCAGGTGAAATCCAGCCCAGGGCACAGTGACCCACCAACCCGTGCTGGCGCCGGGGTTTTTGGCAGAGCCGGTTCCAGGGCCACTCAACCAACTCAGTGGAGACGTGCACTGAGAATAGGTGACGTGTGAAAACCCGCCAGCAGTACACCTCATGCACACTTTACAGTGCACTGCAGACCACACTCCTGCTTTACCAGCAGGTAACCGCAGGGCTCAGGGACACGCTGCCCCACACAGACCCGCCCCCCACTGAACGCCCACGTAACATTGTGAGAGAGAGGGCGGCCATTCCTCACAGCTGAACAAAAGGCTGGCACTTGCTGCCTCAGAAACTGACATACACATATGTTTAAGGCATACAGATCACATGACACACGCGCTGTAGAACAACTGCCACAGTAAGTACACACCTCCGCGCCCCCACTCCCGGGATTACCTCGCATTTTCTCTGGTGATGACGGGGAAGATCTTTCTTAAGCCCAAGCATGTCCGACAGGGCTGTTCATCCCACGCTGGACGCCCAGAATCATGCTGACTGACCACCCCGCACCCCTAAGGCCCAGCGCCCGGCCGCCACCCTCTACTCTCTCCTCCTACAAGGTCAGCCCTTTCAGACCCTCGTACGGGAGACCACACAGTGCTTGTCTTCCTCCGACTGGCTCACTTCACTGAACAGGACGCCCTCAAGGTCCGTCCATGCTATTGTGAAAAGCAAGCTTTCCCCTCGTTGCCGGAGGGCAGTAACCCCCCCCTGCGCACGTGTGTGCGCCCACCTCTCCTCGCCCACCCAGACACCGGCTGTTTCCACGTCCTGGCTACTGTCATCTGCCGCACTGAACGTGGTAGGCAGGCTTGGGGGGGAGCACATGGTTTAGGAACCCTTCAGTCACACCCACCACCCAGTGGGCGTCCAGCAGGGAGGGAGAGCCCCGGGCGTGCACCGACGCAGCTGGGCGGCCAGCAGAGGCGGAGCAGGACTCGCGCACTTCTTCCCACGCCCCCGAGCCGCCGCTCTGCCGCCCAGGGAGGCCCCACTTCCACTCCTTCCCTTCCTGACAACTGCACATTGAAACGGAAGGCGCCTTTTAAAATAAAACCCTTCAGAAACGAGACTCACAGACAGTCGTCCGGGCTCTCCGCACAGACACTGACGGTCCTCCCGTCCCGGCAAACAATCTGCAGCATGCAGTCCCGGGGCTTCCCGTCTGGAGGCTGAGTGTCTACAAGCAGGAGGTAGGATACAGGAAGGGACGAGTTTTTAAGGCCCAAGAGCAGACAGCAAACAAACAAAAAGAACAGCACCCCCAACCGCCCCGCCACCGCACCCGCCGCAGGACAAGCCCCAAGCAATGACAAGTGTTTACGTAGCATGAGACAGTGAATACTTGCTGACTTTATTCACAGGAAGTGTCAAACTAGGCCACTGCGTTAAGAGTGAACTTGGAGCTTCCCAGCGTCTGTGTGTGCTGCTGCCTGAGCCAGGGAGACCTGTGTGCCATGTGAGGACCCAGCGTGCGGGCAGGGTGTCACACACATCCGTGTTTCCACAGCAAACTCCGCCTCAAACAGCGACAGAGCGAGCGGAACAGACAGGGCTATGTGCACACCGCCTCCGTGAGACACAGAGAACTCGACGCCTGGCACAGACGGACCCCTTCTGAGTGAAGGGAGGGGAGGAACTCCAGGAATCCAGGACGTCCCCACCCTCAGGAGATGGCTGCAGTCCTGAAGGCGCCACCGGCTCTGAGTCACAAACCTGCACTGCCTGGGGTGACCCCTGCTTCTTGGGGTCCAAACACTCTGGTTCCTGAAACGCCCACCACCTTCTCCACGAGAGAGGGAAGAGTGTGGACTGGAGGGTCTGACTCAGGAGAGAAATGAATTTGCTCCCCCACCCAGCCCCCACTGTGGGCACCTCTTCCCCAGTGAAGCCCCCAGGGCCTGTGAGTGAGAGCAGGGGGGTGAGGGAGGACCCAGGGCCCATCCTGGGTGGCGAGGAGCAGGCGGCGGGCGCTCACCGCGGCACTGGAGTCCCACGCGCAGGTTGATGCAGTCCACCGGCAGGTGCACCTTGTCCTCCATGCTCTGCCGGGTCTGGTCGCTGTAATAGACCAGGTGGCCGTCGGACCAGAGGTCGAACCAGTTCCTCTTCCAGCGCTTCAGTATAGTGCCTGAAAGACACCGCGGACGGCTGGCTGGGAGCTTGCCCCAGGGACGGGAACAGAGGGGCCGTCCTCCGCAGCCCCCAGCTGCCCCGAGCAGCCCATCCGAGTGGCAGAGAACACGGACTGCAGGGGCAGGACACCCACACAGCACAGGGACACTGGGAGCACATCCGTCCCACGTCCCCAGACTCTGTTTAGACTAAACTTCCCGGGGTGACGCGGGTTAATAAAACCACACAGGTCTCGAGTGTACAACTGCAGGACACATCTGTACACGGGGTGGGCAAAAGCGGGCTTACACGCGTGCAGGGCGGGGTCAACTCTGCTGTTGCCGTTCTTATACGTTACCTGGGTCATTTTCCACGCACACACCTGCGGTCCTTCTCTCACCCGCACCTGGGCTGCACCGGGTGCCCACCCCCAAGGTCACATCTGTTCCCGTCACCATGTATGTGACCCCCGTCCCTCTGGCCACCACCACGCCGCCATCTGTGTCTGAGAGCTTTTGTTTTCTGTCTGTCCATCTGTCGCTCCCAGTTTTACATCCCACACGTGTGAACTCACATGTTCTTCATCAGTCTGACTTGTTTCACTCAGCACGACATGCTGCGGTGCGGTCCTGTTGTTTTGAACAGCAGCAGTCCATCTTCCCAATGGCTGGGTGGCGTTCCACTGCAGAGATGCACCGCACCGCCACCTGGTCCTGGTCGAATTGGCTCCATGTCTGGGCCACCATGGACGGCCAATGCTACCATGAACACAGGGGTGCATGCATGTTTCCAATTTTGGGGGTCAGACACCCAAAAGAGGGGTGGCTGGGTCATATGGCACCTCTATTCTTACTTTTCTGAGGAGCTTCCACGGTGGTTCCTACAGTGGCTGCCCCAGTCTGCACTCCCACCAGCAGTGAATGAGGGCTGTTTTCCCCACAACCTCTCCAACGTGTGTGGACAGCGGCCATTCTACCAGGTGAGAAGTGCCATCTCACTGTGGCTTTGATTTGCATTTTACTAAAAGCCAACCATCTTTTCATGTGTTTGTTGGCTGTTTGTAGGTCTTCTTAGGAGAGGTGTCTGTTCAGGTCCTCTGCCCATTTTTAACTGCTGTGGTTTGGGGTTGAGCTTTGTGAGTTCTTTCCATATTTCAGATGTGAACCCGTCGCTGGAGCCGTTGTTTGCAAAAATCTCCCATTTGGTGGTTGCTTTTGTTTTGCTTGAGGTTCCTTTTGCCGTGTAGAAGCTTTGTGGTTTGATACAGTCCCATTCATTTATTTTTGCCTTTACTTCCCTTGCCTTTGGGGTCAAATTCATAAAACCCCAAGACCAAGGCCCCTAAGCTTAGCCCGTGTCTAGCCTGTGTCTTCTCCTGAGTGTCTCAGACCTTATGTCCAGGTTTTTCATCCGAACTGAGCTATGTTTCGTACGTGGGGACACACCACAGTCTAGTTTCATTCTTTTGCACGTGGCTTTCCAACGTTCCTGGCTTTTCCCCCTCGTCTGCTTTGGGCTACTCTGTCAAACACTGTTTGCCCGTCTACACGTGGGCTTGTTTCTGGGCTCCCAGTTCTGTTCCATCCATCTGTGTGTCTGTCTTTTGACCGATACCACACTGTTTGGATTACTGTCACTCTGAAGCATAATTTGAAGTCAGGGAGTGTGATACCAACATCTCCGTTCTTTTTTCTCAGGATTGCTTTAGTATTCAGGGTCCTTTTTTTGTGGTACCACACAAGTCTGATGTTTCTTTTTTGTTCTATTTCTTTAGAAAACGCCACTAAGAGTCTGATGGGGACTGAGTCAAATCTGCGTATTAACGTGGGCGTTTTCACCGTGTTGATTTATCTAATCCGTGAACACAGAGGATCTGTCCATTGCTTTGGGTCTTTTCAACCTTTTCAAGTAATTCTTTGTGGTTTTCAGTAGGTTGGGCCTTCACATCCTTAAGTTTATTCCTAGGTGTGTTATTCTTTTGTTGCAACTGCAAAAGGACTTTTTTTCCACTTCTTTTTCTGAAATTTCACTGTTAGTGTATAAAGACACAGGGAGTTTTGAGCACCAAATTTTCAGCATTTCTAGTTTTTCTGGTGGAGTCAGCCGCACCTGTGAACCGCCAGCCTTCCTGCACCCGATCGGGCCCCTCTGACCAAGGGGGGCATCCATGGCACTTGCCCAAACTGACAAATGAGTGACCCCAGCGCCCACTTGACTGGCAGCTCCCGAGCTGAGCAGAAATCACCAATCAGCCAGCACAGGACGGCAGGTGGGCGTCCCCATCAGTGGAGTTCTGACCACGTCTCCCCCCCGCCATCGAAGCCCCAACTGCAGGCTCCCAAATGAGGCTGTGCTCTGAGTCCGGGCCTGGCGTCTTGTGGGCGTGGGTGGCAGGGTGGGGAAGGCCCGGGAGGCAGTTCTGACACGTGTCGCCACCTGCGCACCTCCGCTGCTCCTGGACTTGTCCAACGTAACGCACCTCGCTCACCCCGTTTCATCACTGGGGCTCCTGCCCACATGTCAGGAGATGACAAGTGGGCACGTCTTCTGTACATGCACTTCTCAGACAGCCAGTACTATCCGCGGTTTCAGGTGTCCCCTGGGGGTCTGGGACCAGGCCCCCTGCAGATAATAGGGGAACTACTGTCCAAAGGTTTGGTTTTAAACAAAAATATACCCTCGGGTCAAGTTTACCCCTATAATTAAAGACCCCCCGTCTCAGAATCCCAGCCCTGCCACAGGTGAGCCAGGCACCCCCACACGGGAAGCAGGGCCTTCCCACTGACTCGTGAGCCCGCCAGGGAGAGGCGGATGAGCCTCGGTGGCCGTCGGGAACAAAGCCTGCCGCCGCCTGGCTGCTCTCCACACAGCCGCCCACGGGGGCTCAGGGGTGCAGGGAGGGCCAGAGCGCCCCGGAAACTCCCGAGAGGCACCCGGGGTGCAACTGTGAGCACGGCCTTTCCCTCTGCTTTGTTTTCACGCCGATCTGCTTCAGCGACAGGAACACAGGTGGGGTCCAGGCAGCGCAGCCCAGCCCGGGTCCCCGGTGGTACTCACTCTGCCGCAGCAGCCACCCGCTCTTCACGAACGCCATCGTCCACCTTCGGGAGAGAGGCAGGGTCAGGACCGCCCGGAGAGGGCCACCTGTTCGCTCTCCACACTCTGACACCAGACGGGTGGGAGTTTCCACACCGGCAGCCACCTCCCCGGCCCCAGGACACGACTGGACATCTCCTGATTCAACCTGACACTGACCTTCACCCCCTGGAGTCGGCCTCGGAGCCCTGGGCACACACCCCCCCCCAGCCTCAATGTCCCCTACCACAGGAGCTCCGGGACCCGGTCCTGTGGGGCTGCTGGTGACTCACCTCCATGTCCAGCCTCTGTCCCTCCCAGGAGGTGCCAGGAGGGACTGAAAGCTCTGACCTCTCAGCACAAGGCAGCAGCCCCTGCCCGGTAACCAGCCCACCCTGCAGTTCTGGGGCCCTGAGCCGGCATTAGCAGCGACTCAGCTGCAGCTGAAGGAGGCGCAGTGGGAGCGGCAAGGCAGGCCCGCCCACAGCCTCTCAGGAGCGCCCAGGGTGTCAGAAGTCCGCACATCTCTCCTTACAGTGCCGGCAGATCACAGCCAGCTGGTCTGAGTCTCCGTCCTTACCCCCTCCAGGGTCAAGGGAGGGAGGGACCAAAGCCACTCGACCCCACTGGCCACCTTCACTCACCAAATACAGTTTCATCTCAGTGGGGCCAGTACAAGCCCCACCCTCTCCCACTGGAGGCTCCGCCTCCACCCCCTGCCCACCCTGCAGAGTCTAGCCCCACTCAGCAACCCACGCACACCGAGAGTTCACGCGGCCCAGGTTTGTGGCTGCTCCTGACATACCCTGTGTCCTGGGGTCTGGCGTTCAGCAGCCTCCACGTCCTCCCAGCGGTGCCCAGGTGACTTCACACACCCGGTCAGGTGTGCACAGCTGTCCCCAGTGCAGCAGCCAGGTGAGAACAGAACACCAAAAACCGGCAGGAACAAGTATGAAAGCGTGAAGGACAAAAGCTGAGTCTGGAAGACCCGGAGCAGGCTCAGAGAGGACCCCCGCAGCCGTGCAGCAGCCCGGCCGCCGGCCTGCAGGGACTGTGCTCTGTGGGGCGGGGTGGGGTGCTGGGCCACGCACTGGAGAACACGCAGGAGTGGGCAACACACTCCCAACGCACCCAGTTCCCTGCCCTGAACAGACCAAACGCAAACACCGGGCACCAGGACACCCCAGCAACGGGTCGGCACACTGGTCACGTGTGCCCAGAGCAGAGGATGCTGACGGCAGGAGTGCCACCCTGCATGAGCGCTGCCAGGAGGGGATGCGGACACCCCTCTGGGGACAGTCAGTGTGCACGCCCCCCGGCCGGGAGTGCCGCCACCCCAGAAGCAGACCTCACACATGCACGCACGTACACAGACTCCCCAACACACCCCCCACCCAACAGCGCTTCCACTTGTGCTGCACAGCCCGGCCGGCCTGGGGTGGGGGATGCCGAAGGGGCGCCTGCCCCCCCCCCGCCCCACAGGCCCTGGTGCAAACGTGCTGAGCCCCGAGGGGACAGCGGACGCTGCACAACTGCTCTGGCAGGAACCGAAAAGCTGGTGCCCTCGCCATGATCTCCAAGGACAGATACAAGGTGCTGCTGAGTAGGGTTCGGTCCTGTCACACCTGTGTGTACTGTGTAAAAACTTTAACAATCTGCAGGTGGACCGCGGTCACAGGCCGCCTCTGTCTCCCCTTCAGCGTCTTCAGGTGCTCTCCCGTGGGAACTAGGTGGGCAAGGCGGGGCGCCAGCCTAAGCAGGGCCCTGCAGAGAGCAAACAAGCCCACCCTTGTTTCATCTTTCCCCGTCTCCTAACTGTTAGAAAAAGACCTCCACAAAGCTTTTAGTCATCGTAAATTCCAGCATCCCCAAAGTCTCAGAAGGTTCTTACCCCTTGCGATTTCTGCCAATTCATGCTGTCTAACCTCGCCAAGACAGGAAGTGAGCTTTGCATCCTTCCGGGCCTTTCTGCCAGGCTTTTAGGCTCTCAAACACAGTCCCGCTGGACCAGGCCCGACAGTCACTCTCTCCCCCTCCCCCAGGGGATGCAGGCACTGCTCCCTGTGGCTGGCAGCCACTCTGATGAGAAGGGAGCCGGCCGGAGGGCAGGGAACTGCAAGGCAGCAAAGCAAACTGCTGAGCCACTGATTCAACCCACCTGTTCAGAAAAATGGTAAGTTTTTTTCACCATTGAAACTGGGTTGAACTGGTTTCCTACAAACCTGCAGCCTTAAACATCCTAAAACCCTAAAATGGAAGTAAATCATTTACTTCCAAAACAATTTGAGGCAGAGAAATAATACCATCATATGTCCATTCAACAAATATTTTTGAGCACCTACTATGTGCTCCACCTTGGAGTAGGACCAAGGACAGAGAAGTGACTGAGCTGAAGTCCCTGCTTTTATGTAGCTTCCAGTCTAGTGGAAGAAACAGGTTAAACTTATAAATTAAAAAGCTGTCACCAAGAGTAGCACAACTACGGTGAGGAGCCACCCAGCACAGAAAACTGAAGGTGTGTCCATTCACGCCACATCCCAGGTATTCATGACTAAGCCCCCTGAAGTCATACCCTGAACTCTCAGTCTGTGGGTCGCATGAGGAAGAGAACAGCTGGGGACAGGCTCACACATCACTGGTAGGTGCTGGGGGCTGTGCATAGACAGCGCAAACACGGAGCCTAACTGAGACAGGGTCACCCAGTGGCTGGTCACAAAACCAAATGAACAGTCCAAAAATGAGGAGCAACAGAAAGGAGTTTCCTGAATTTCTGCTGTAACATCTTTTAACCTCTACTGATGCCTGACACTAACTTGGCTGTGTGTGCTGTCATTGCTGCGAGTTGGTCCCATGTCAGACCAGGTGCATGGAGACCAGGAGCAGCTTGTCCTGGATGGTCCCTGAGAGTCGGGGTCCCAGCGTCTCCAGTGCTCATGAGACCACACCTACCCTGAGGCCAGAGGCAGAGGCAGGCCCAGGTCAAACCCAAGGAGCTAGATTACTGTCATGTGACGGCGCGCTGGTCAGAGCACGGGGACAGAGAACACGCTTGAACTGGAGTTTCGGTTGCTTTGATTGCCACCGGGCTTAGAGTCAAAGATTAAGAAAGTACGTCAGCCATATCCTGGGGACCTAGTTGCAAAGCAAGATCCAGGAGAAAATGTTTAAAAGTGCACTTTCTTGAGATAACAGAAAAATGCAGCTAGTTTCCCTTAACAGAGTAAGACCTTAAGCAATAACATCGGTCACAAGACGTTCGGTTTCTCCTTTTGCTTTAAAGATAAGATCGCTGACTCATACCCTTGAGATCTCCTGCAGAACCTTAGTTCCCTAATCCAGTTGATTCTTGTGACCAGTTAGGGGTGCTCCACACAAGATGAGGTCAGGAACTAAGTTAATCAGGCTTAAGAAACTGCCAAAGCTTGCTTGAGAATTCGGTCAGCTCCGCCACTGATCCCTAACCACAATCTTTGCATCGAAAGACCCTTGATTAAAAAAAAACATCAGGTAGGGCTCCAGTCAAGAAGGCAGAACAGGTGGACACTGCACTCCCCTCCTCCGGTGACCACATCAAAACTACAACTATGTTAGAGAACAGTCAAATACACCATCTGAAGTCTGGCTGAACCCAAGTCCTATACCTAGAAGCCTAGAGAAGAAGCCACTTCCAGACTGGGGCAGAGACGCAGCATGAGCCGGCCCCACAGCCACATGGGGCAGTTCAGAAAGAGGTCAAGTTCAGCTGGTGCCAGATACATGGGGAGAAAGGGAATTGGCGGGGCTTCAGCGCAAGGGCCCTCTCCCAGCATGGCATCGGGTGCCACTTTTCCTGTGTTACACCCTCCCTGGACATGACCAAATCTTACTTATTTCCCAAAAGAAACTTTTCAGTCCAGAAGGGACTGGCACAAAATAGTCACAATGATAAAAAGCAGAGACTTAGAGCCAAGACTGCTCTACCCAGCAAGGCTATCATTTAGAATCGAAGGAGTGACAAGAGTTTCCCAAACAAGAAACAGCTAAAGCCATTCATCACCACTGAACGAACATTATGAAAAACGTTAAAGGGACTTCTTTACAAAGAAAAAAAAATAAAAGGAACAGAAATAAGAAAATACAATGGCAATAATACATATCTATCAGTAGTCATTTAAGTGTAAATAGATTAAGTGCTCCAATCAAAAGCTTATAGGGTATCTGAATGGATAAGAAAACAAGACCCTCACACTTGCCGCCCGCCTACAAGAGACCCACTTCAGACCTAAAGGCACAGGCAGATTAAAGGGATGGAAAAGATATTTCAAGCGGACGGAAAAAAAAGCTAAGGCAGCAATACTAATATCAAACAAAATAGGCTTTAAAACAAAGGCTATAAGAGACATTTATTTCATAATAATCATGGGATCAATCCAATGGAGGGGATATACCCTTTAAACATTTATATATCCCAGTAAGAGAAGGAAATAATAAAGATCAAAGTTAAACTAAGCAAGATACAATTTAAAAAATATATACAAAAGATCAATGAAGCCAAGATGTGGTTCTTTGAAAAGATGAACAAAGTTGATAAACCATTAACCGGACTCATCAGAAAAAAAGAAAGGACCCAAAATAAAAAATAAGAAATGGAGAAGTGACGACTGACACCACAGAAATAAATACAAGCGATCCTAAGAAAATACTACAATTATATGCCAGTAAACTGGACAAAAAGAAAGGGATAAATTCCCAGAAACACACAGCCTTCCAAAATTGAATCAGGAAGAAACAAAATCTGAACAGATAATTACAACTAATGAAATCAAAGCCGTAATCAAAAACTCCCAGCAGCTTCACTCCTCAGCAGGGAAATGCAAATTAAAACCACACCAGATATCCCCTCCAGCCTGCCAGAACTGCTATCAGTAAATCAAGGAACAAATGCCGGCAAGGAGGGGGAGAACGGGGAACCCTCGCACACTCTAGTTGAGAGTGGGACTGGTACAGCCAGTTTGCCACTGTGGAAAGTAGTATGCGGGGTCCCCACAAAATTAAAAATGGAACTGCCTTATGACCCAGAATTCCACTTCTGGGAATATATCCAAAGAAACCCAAGACACTAATTTAAAAGATAAATGCACCCCTATGTTCACTGCAACGTTTACAATAGCTAAGACATGGAAGCAATCCAAGTGCCCATCAACAGACAAGCGGATAAAGAGAAGGTGGTATGTATCGGGTTGGAACTTTCCTCCGAGAGATCCAAGTGCCCCTCCCTCGGGCAGTGGACAAGCAGAGACTCTCAAGGGCCAGAAGTCAAACGCGTTAGGAATTAACCACTTCCCCCTAGAATTTTTAAAGTTGAATGTATGGGGCGGCGGGAGCTTGGTTAATAAAACTATATGCAATCCTATAATAACATCATCTGCATATTATATGATCGTCCCAACCTAACCCTTTCCTTCACCAGCCCCGAAAAACTGGCACTTTCGTTATTCACTTACTTATGAAGTCTCGTCTACGTAAGTTACTCTACATTTGAGATTTTAAGAAAAACAAAAAACTTAAAAAGCCTTGTGCCGACACGAAAGAAAAATCCCTGATCTCCTTTGGAATTCCCAACCTAGTTGGTGAGAGACTCAAACGTGGAAAAAAAGATTTTCTCTAAATAATGTGCAATCACGCATGTAAAGCTAAGGAAACTGCAAAACCGAGCGCGGGGCACACGGAGCGCCCAGCGGTCCCGCCAGCCGTCGGGAGGCCAGCGTGGTGGTGCCCAGGTTCCCTCCGAGGCCAGGACCCGGGAAAGCGGCAGGCCCGCAGCCCCCGGGAAGCGGGAGCGCCGGGACCTGAACCTCGGCGAGAGGAGCGGGAGAGGTGGAGATGGGGAGAGGGCGCGAGCAGGGGCGCGCGGCGGGAAACAGCCCACGGAAGTCGGGGATTGCCCAGACCACACCTGACTTTTACCTGCGAATATTCCGGCGGGCGTCGTCACACTCCAAGCAGACAAGGAGCGCAAGGTCGCTGCGGAACCCACAGCCCAGCCCGCAGCGCGCCTGCGCCCTGCCGGCCCTCCCGCGGGCCCCCACCCGCTCCGGTCACGGGTGCGCGTGCGCTCTCTTGGCCCGCGCGCGCAGGCGTGAACCTGCGGCGGTGCCTGGGCGAACCTGGGGTTTCCGAGGAAGGAATGGAGGAGCAGGGTGTGTGCATCCTCAGCCCTGCTTCAGTACGGGCTGAGTTTTCAGTGAAAGAGGGGTCTTCTGCACCCTTACTTCGAAAGACCGTGCTGGAGCCGGGCTCCTCAGACACTCGAACTGGAGGGGGAAGACACAGAAGCTGAGCCTTGGTCCTTCCAGCGTGCCCATGAATAAGGGGGCGAGGAGGCCCGCGAAAGGCCGTGCACATGAAGCCGAAAGCTCCCCGTGGTCAAATCTGGAACAATTGGAACAACAAAATTAATTACGTAGTATTAGATTATAATTTGGAGTGTAGATTAAATATATTAGAGTTCATTCTGCTGTAATAAGTGATGAAATAAATTAATGGTAATAAGAGATACATCTTCCTTATCGAATTCTAATTTAATCGTACCCCATTTAGGGGGTTTAATCTCTAACCCCCTTCTCGTGTGTGGGCTGTGCAAGTGAATTCCTCCCAAAGAGTACATTACAGAGAAAGGGAACCGTCGCATGTGGGAACCAGTAATCAGGTTCTTGGTCAGCACAAACAGTGAATTGAAGCGAACACAAAGACAGAAAGAGCAGATTTACTAAGTAATAGTATACTCCACAGAACATAGGAGTAGGTCAACTCCAAGCAGAGATTGACCCTCAGGGGCGGAAGGATGCTATTCCAAAAGGATGGATAGTTCCCGGCTAGTTTTGGCAGGCTTTTATTGTGCACATACAAATAGTTGTATTGCTTTTAAGATACTGTGCATATGGTCTCCCATGATTTTCCTTGACTGTCCACCAGGGGAGAGGGCTCCCATAATGCTAATTTATTATAATGCTCTTTTAATGGAACAGGGGTTACATAGCATCTGTGTAGGTGCTGCATGATTCACCAGGATTCAGCGCTTTTCCAGAAATTGGGGACAACCAGTCTAAGAACAGGGTCTCTGTCCTGTATCAATGTCCCTTGTCCTACTCCTGGGGAGCCTCTGGAGTTTCCTCACTCCTGACTATCTTCTGCCTCAGTTGGCCATTGTCTGGCAAAACAGAGTCAGGGCACTTACCAAGATGCAACCTAACGATGATTCTCTCTCATTCTTCCCCCCCCTCCTTTTATCGCTCCATTTCTCTTCCTCCCTTCCTCTCTCTCTCTATATATACATATATATGAAATATACATGGAATAATTAGATATATAAAACAATTCCCAAAGAGGTACAGAAAAGGGGAAACTTTACAGAAGTGAATAGTTTGCAAAACAGGGAAACAGTTTCAGGTAGGAACCGGAAGTGTGCTTTAACCAAACCAATCTTTACCCAAAGGCATGTTCATTGATTTTAGAGAGTGAGGGGTGGGGAGACAGAAAGAGAAACATGTTTGTGAGAAAGAAACATCGATTAGTTGAACATTTATATCTTTTTTGATTTGGGTATTATTCTGCTATGGCGTAAGGTGTTGATCCAATGTTATATTTTTTCGGATGGCTCTATTTTGTCCCAGTACCATTTATTTAACAGTCTAGCCCTGGTTGATGTGACTCAGTGGATAGAGTGCCGGCCTGGGAACCAAAGGGTCGCTGGTTGGATTCCCAGTCAGGGCAGATGCCTGGGTTGCAGGCCAGGTCTCCAGTAGGGGGCACACAAAAGGCAACCATACATTGATGTTTTTCTCCTGCTTTCTTCCTCCCTTCCCCTTCTCTCTAAAAAAAATTAATAAAACCTTTTTTTAAAAGTTTATCTTGGCCCTGGCTGGTGTAGCTCAGTGGATTGAGCGCGGGCCTGTGAACCAGACAATCACGGTTCAATTCCCAGTCAGGGCACATGCCTGGGTTGCAGCCAGTTCCCTGCAGGGGACTCTCGAAAGGCAACCATACATTGATGTTCCTCTCCCTCTCTCCTTCTCCCCTTCCTCTCTAAAGATAAATAAATAAAATCTTTAAAAAAAAATGAATGAACAGATCATTCATATAAAAAAAAAGTTTATCTTTATCACCAGTGATTTGGCCGAGATGCTACCTTTCAGATAACTTCCCCAATTATTGGGGTGTGTTTCTAGATTTTGTTGTATCTCATTAGTCTGTCTATTCATGCATTAATGAAACACTATTTTGTTCACTGAGGTTTTTAAATCAATCTTCTGGAGGGGGGTCCAGAAACTTCTCTCTACTACACTTTATTTTCAACATTTTCCCAGCAGATGTTCTTGCTTTTGATATTTTTTGTTGATTGTTTCATATGTAAATTAGAATCACTTTATCTAGTTAAAAATAATCAGTTTTATAAATTGCATTAAATTCATAATTAATTTAGGGAGTGTTGACCTTATTCTATTAAATCTACTCATTCTAGAATGATGTTTTTCTCCATTTTTTTGGTGCCATCTGGTAGTTATTTAAACTTGTATTCATACAGATTTTGAAAAATTCTTATAAATTTATCACTAGGCATGTATTTATTTTTCCTATAACTACCCTTGTGCAAAATAAATTTTGTCTTCTGGTTATTTAAAAACGTGACTATTTTTATTTTTTCATTTTTATTATTGTTGATGAATCCTTATTTTTTGTGTACTTCTTTAGATGATCTCAACTGTCTGGACCCAACGTGTAAGTGAGAAATAAATTTACACTGCTGTGTGAAGACACTGAGGTTGGGGACTTGTTATTACTGCGGCATTCCCTAGCTATCCCAACAAATACAAGTAATCAAACACCAACAGAAAAGATGCCTGGCACACTAACATATTAGGGAAAAATTCTGTAGCAGCAGTGAAAAAGAAGCAGATCAAGGAGAAAAAGAAACAATGAAATTTCATCCTGTAGAACTTATTTGTGTGTTTTTTAACGATTTTATTTATTTTTGCCCTGGCTGGTGTGGTTCAGTGGATTGAGCACCCGCCAAAGGGCCGCAGGTTTGATTCCCAGTCAGGGTTCATGCCTGGGTTGCAGGCCAGGTCCCCAGTAGGGGGCACGCGAGAGGCAACCTCACAATGATGTTTCCCTCTCTCCCTTCCATCCCCTCTATCCAAAATAAATAAAATTAGGTAAAAGGATTTTATTATTTCTTTGAGAGAGGGGAGAGGGAGGGAAACCTCCATAGGTTGCCTTTGGTAAGAGCCCGCGACAAGGAGCAACCGCGCCCCAGGCCGCTGCCCTGACCGGGGATCAAACCTGTGACCTTTCTCTCTGCAGCCGTGCCCTGCCCGCCACGCTCCAATGTGTCATTTCCGCATCGCATCAGTGTGCGTAGCGAAAGCTGCTTGAGAATAAACCGTCCACATTAGCGTCTGTTCGAAAAGGTCTGTTCGAAAAGGTCGAGGAAGACAGACATGCCCGCGGTTCCAACTCGCCTCTACAACGGCCCTCTCGATGCCGACGGGAGCGCGCACGTCACCCCCGCGCCCGGAAGGGGCCTCCGAGGGAAGTGACGGCGCGCCCCCGCCGCGGCGCGCCCCGGACGGAAGTGAGGTTGGAGACCCGTGACTGCGCAGCTTCGGCTAGGAGCGCGGGCTGAGGGGAGGCGGGCCGGGCGAGGCGGCGCTGACGACGGGGATTTGGCGGCTCAGCCCTTGCGTCGGAGCACACCGCTGCGGTGCTCGCCACTTAGTGCGACTCCAGCGCCCAAGCCATCCGGGGCCTGCGTGCGCTGGCCGTCCAGGCCCAGGCCGCCGCCGCGGCGCGGTGAGTGCGGGCGGGGCCCGCGCGGGGCGCGGCTGCCCGGCCGGAAGTGCGGCGCTTTGTGCAGCTGGCCTGGGGCGGCACCAAGGTCGTGCCTGCCGCCTGGGGTTCTGTGCACTGGAGGAGGGACCGCGGGGCTGGGCCGGGTGGGGGAGGGGGCCTGGATGCCCGCAGGTGCGGAGCGGACGGCGGGGCGGCTGCCCGGGTGGAGTCTGCACGAGCGCGTTCTCACTGGGCCTCTCGGAGGGCGGAGTGCGAGCAGATCCGGAAAATGGATGGAAAACGGGGAAGCAGCAGATTGTGGTTCCTGTAACTCAGGTTTAGGTTCTAAGATTTTAATAATCTGATGTGTAAACGATTCCCTTTGTCTGCCTTCAAAGTAAAGATTCTGTTGGTCTGGCAGAAACTCGGTGTTCGCCTTCCGGTGTGAAAGCCTTTCCTATTTCTAAAGAAAGGACGTTTCGTGGCCCAGTCTGGGTCAACTTTGCTAAAGACAGGTGAATTATTTTTCTCTTTGATAGTGTCTCTAAATGCTCACTTAATGGATTGTATGAGTTGATGTTTAATTAAAGTCATACATAAAAATATCCTGGAATGTCTTGGCACGCAAGAAATTCTTTATCAGATATTTTATGACAACCCTGGTGGAGTTATCATGCTCATTCATTTCTTAAGCAAGAAATTTTTTAAATGCAAACGTTTGTCCAGTTCCTAAAATTTTCTAGTCATCCTTGTGTATGTAATTTGAGGTAACTTTCCAAAATAGGATGTGAAAAACTAGATTAAAAGTTTTTGGTATTGGCTGTAATAGGGGCACACTTTAAATTTTTGGTAAGTATAGATGTAGGGGATCATTTTTGCAGTGACGGCCAAGAATTGAACGATCCATAGCTATTTTTTCTGGTGTTGAAGCTCTCCTGGTGCCCATTGTGGAGATTTTATCTTTGGCCTAATCTGGGTGGGCCAGCAATTTGCATACGCCACTTAGGGTTAGTCGTGGTGTGAAACTAGGGTCTGGTAGAGGTCCCCAAAGGCTTATTTATTTATTTATAGTTTATATTTATTGTTGATACTTGGCAGATGTCCCATTTCCCCCCTTTGCCCACCTCCACCCAGCCCCGCCCCCACACCTCTGGCCATCAGCCCACTTACTGCACTGGGTCATGCATTTAGGTTCTTTGGTGGATCCCCTCACCTTCCATCCAGCCCCCTCCCCTCTGACAGCTGTCAGTTGCAGCCCACTTCTTGCAGCCCCTGCCCCTGGGTGGGGGGTGTCTTGTGCAGCAGTGGCTAGAAGACCCAGCAGGGAGCGCCCCCTCTTCCTGCCCCCTGCCCATCAGAATAGTGGGAGCACTGGGCACGTGTGCAGGTCAGTGGCTCTGCCTGCCACAGTTGCCACCTCTGCTGTCCTGCCAGCCACCTGCATTTGTGAGGATCACAAATGCATTTCTCGGTGAATCCCAGAAATGAATCCCAGGAAGACATCCATTCACAGATCCCAGACCTTGCCTTTTCATGGCCCCGGGGCAGGCCCGTTGGTTGGAGAGGGAACTGTGACATTGCTTTCATCGGTGTGCTACCATGTTTTCTCAGCTGTATTTATCCTTTTCCTTTGAGGAAGTAAAAGCGTTTTCAGGAAAGGTAACCTCTGAATAGTTTGGAATTAATGGTAGCTATTTAGCATTCAGATGCAGTCCTGTGGGGTTCTCGTGGCACATGCAGGGTGCTTCTTTTACTGGTTCAGACGACAGGCCTGGTCACTGGGGAAGGAGGCCTAGGGGCCCATGCTTCCCAGTGTTTGCAGCTGTTGGCCGTGAGGAGGGGCGCTTTACCAACACTCGTGCACACGTTGTTGCGGGGGTGTCTGTTTCACTTTCCCTGGGCAGTTTCCACCTGGAATGGCGTGGCCAGGCCACCCGGTGACTTGTCCTCACCGGCTGTGCCGTGCCTTCGCTTCCCTGCCTACCGGGAGGCATCTCCTGTCAGCCCCACGTTCAAGGGTTTCCACAGGGTGCTCCCACCCTGGCCCCGGTCTGAATGGTCACCTGCTGGTTCCCTGCATGTGGCCTGGGCTCCACATTAGCCCTGTCACCTGGCGTTCCTACAGGGCGGGCACCTTGCACTTTTTCATTTCTGTGACTTTCTAGAATCTTACCTGCTTTTAGAGCTTGTTGGAAATACCTCCTCTGTGAATCAAGTTTTCCCTGACCAATCTCTCCTTCTCCACTCAACCCTGAGAACACTTTTTTAAAGATCTTATTTATTCATTTATTTGTTGTCAGAGAGAGAGGGGAAGGGAGGGAGAGAAACATCAGTGTGTGAGAGAGACATGGATTCCTCTCGCTTGCCTCCAACCAGGGACCTGGACCGCAGCCCAGGCGTGTGCCCTGGCCAGAGACCCTCCGACCCCCAGCCTCCGGGGCACACCAGCCAGGGCCCAGAGGGCTCTGCCCTGTCTCAGCACCACTCACGCCGCCTCACGGCCCCTCGTCCTGTATGGCAGCCGCCACCTGCAGGCCACAGCTCACTCAAAACGTAAACTAGGAAGCAGTGCCTCTGCTGTGTGGCCACATCCAAGTGCCTGGCCGCCGCCAGTGGCTTCTGTGTGTGGACAGAGCGGGCACTCCGTCCTCACAGGAAGTTCTGTGGGAACGCACTTTTCCAGACCGGAGACCCAGGACGGGGCTGGGACCTGCCTCTTACTGTCCGCATGGCCTTTGCGTAGTGCTCTGCTCGGCCGGGCTTTGATTAAGAAAATAAAATTAGGTCTTGGCACAGAACAGAGAAATGGGGTTTGGGGAAATAATTCACTTCTTGAGAGAGCTGATAGTTGAGCCAGAAAAGGAGGTGGAACGTGTGAGGAGCCTGCAACTCTGCAGAAGGTCTGCCAGCATCGGGTTAAAGGTGCAGGAGGGTGGGGTCAGCAGTTGCCAGTTGGCTTATGAAGCTGTGGGGTGAAAATTCGCAGTCGATTCTACACGCTCCCATCCTCATTTCCTCTCTCGCCTCTTCCCTAGACCTGGGCTGTTTCACGCAGTAGCCCCTAGCCACATGGGAGTCCACTTAGGTTGAAATTAAATAAAACTAAAAAGCCCGGTCTTGCACTGGCCACCTTGTTGGGTGCTCAGTAGCTCCTTTCAGCGCTGGCCGCTGGCCTGGACAGCACAGACAGGGAGTCTGGGGCGGTGCGGGCCCAGACTTCCCTCTGCTTGGCGACGGCGTGGCAAGTTCGGCGTCTGCCTCTGGTGCACAAGGGTGAGAAATAGGCAGTCATGCAGGTGTCCCCAGTGTCCCCAGTGTCTTCCTGCGTTGGGTTAGAACTTGTGACAAAGGCTAAGTGTGACCGAACACACTTGTGCACTGCACTGCTGGGTTGTGAGTGTTCGCAGTGAGTCGGTGAGCTGCGTTATGTGGTTTGTCTTTGTAATGGAGTTTGCTAGAGTTTTGAGATGCGTGGGGGGGTTTTAGAAAGTTGGTGGTATTTGCATCTGACTGGTGCCGGGCGCCTGCCTGTAGGGGGCTCCATTTTAGTGGGGGGTGTGGTGGGGAGGGCAAAACAAGTGAGTGCCACGCATTTTACGTGTTTTTCTTTTTAAAATAGATCTTACCTTCTAGAGCGGTTTTAAGGTCACAGCAAAACTGAGCCAAAAGTACAGAATTCCAGGGCACACTGCCTGTTGCCCGCTCCGTGCATCACCCAGGTTGTCTTTACGGCTCAGTTTCAGGGTATCTTAGTGCTCGCTGCTGCACAGGCCAGGGCAACTCAGTGGGTGAGGACCCCAAGTGGTCTTCATCAGGCTCACACTTGCAGATACCGGTGGGGGGGGGTGGGTAGTGCTCGCTTGGAGGAGCCTGCTGGGATGTTCAGTTACATTTCCGCTGGGGAATGGTGAAACCTTGGTTGTAGCTGAGCAAGATCTTGAACGTTTTAGGGAGAAAGGATTGAGAACAATGGAACGCTGAAGGCTAACAAAGTTGCTTGCTGGACTGTAGTTAACTTGTCTTTTAGAAAACGTATATTTAACAGAAGCTGTTTAAGAAGTAGGGAAGGGTGCGGAAGGAACCCCAAACCCACCCCTAGAGACAGGCACTCTTTGTGTCTCTACTTACTCCTAGATGGTTTTCTTTCTTTCTTTTTCTAAAGGGTTCTGTTGTTTACATTAGAAGGGGAGGGGTGAGAGAAACATCCCTTGGTTGCCTCCCATACGTGCTCAGGTCTGGGATTGAACCCGCCACCCAGGTCTGTGCCCTGACCGAATCTGCAACCTTGATGGTGCGCGGGACGATCCAACCCAGCAGTCCACCCGGCCAGGGCGGGAGCACTTTTCTTTCTTTCCTCAGCTCCTGCCAGGTGGACACAGCTGTGGAGGAAGGTTCCCAGGGCCCTGGTGGGCGCCCAGCAGGGCTGCGCTGTCACCTCCTGGTCAGGATTGGTTGGTGACGGCTGGGAGGCCTTGTTCTCGGGGAGGGGAGGAGAGGAAAGATTCGTGCTACCCGCTGTTGTGAGAGTGCTGCCGGAGAGGAACCGGGTTGGACCAGGCGCCGGACTAACTCACTCTCTTCCCTCTCCAGTTCTGGGAGTCATGAATCCTGTGTACAGCCCTGGCTCCTCTGGGGTTCCCTACGCAAACACTAAAGGTGTCGGCTACCCAGGTGAGTGCATGTGGTCTGTCTTCACGCCCGAACCAGGGCACCCTGGTAGCACCCCCCCCCCCAGCACCGAGCTGACACACCCCGCCTGGGGTGGCTTAGCTGAGGGGGGAGTATGCTTGCTTGCGGAACCGCGGGGTCCAGAGGGGGGTGGCAGTGGTTTGGGGTGCGGGTCTGGGATCTGTGTCCCTGCCTCCCACGCTCTGCAGGACTTACTGAGTGCTGGTTCAGATGCAGTGTCCGTGTCCACAGCCCTCCCCTTGTCCCTGGGCAGGCAGCCCGTTTATCTATCCCTGCTCTCCAGGAGAGCCCAGGCCTTCTGTCCTCTGGCCAGCCTGTGCGGCTGGTGGGACGCAGCTCCCCTCCCCAGTGGAAGTCTGAGCTGCGGCCTCTACCTCCCCCCCCCCCCCCGCCCCCACAGCGGTCAAAAGCAGGCTGTTCTATCCAGGTTTATTTGCAATGTCAAAACCCTGTTAAAAAAAAAAAAACCTAGAAAATCGAGTAAAACGTTTAAATTGTACACGTAACTGAATTTGCAAGAACATAGAGATGTGTCTGCAGATAAAGAGGAAGGTGAGGTAAAAACCAGTGCACTTGGCCGTGAGCAGACACTGTGCCTGTCCTGGGGCATCTACTCTTTGTGGGTTCAAACAGCCCACATGGGGATGGAAAGCGAGGCCTGGGGTCTGCGAGGCTGGGGCTAGGTGGGGGGCTCCTGTCCGTCTAGTCCCTTCCGAGCGAGATGGATGCTCAGAGGAGAGGGGGCTGAAGCACCCCATTCCTGGCAGGGGGCAGGAGCAGGCTCTCCTCTGGGCTGGACTGCGGGACCACAGGTGGGTCTCTGGAAGAGGTGCGGGTGTGGCCACCTGAGTGCACTCCGGGAGCCATTTCAGACCCACCCACAGGGCTGGCTTTGGTCTTCGTTGTGTTTTACCGGACACTGCCTGCCGCCAGGCCGCCTCTGGGGGATGGGTTCCGACTGCGATGGTGCCTGTCTTGATGCTGTCTCGTTTGCACTCCCCGGGTCCGCAGCGGCTGTGGCACAGCTCTCTGGGGACTCCTCGTTCCTGCTGGTGAAGGTCAGGCTGCTGGTGGGGGTCGTGAGGTGCACACCCATGGCCCCAGCAGAGGCCCCCTGGCACGCAGGGCCCTCTGAACCCTGTGACTGGTGATGAATTGCAGAGTGAGCATCAAGAGTCAAACTGCCAGAGAATTGGAGTTTTCGGCCTTATGCTGGGTGTTGGGGGGTGGTTTTATTTTGGAGTGTTTTTTGCACTCTAACTCAGTTTCTGCCTGACGTGTTCAGCTGTACCTGTGAAAAGCCCTTGCCAATAGGGACCAAAGGCACAGTCAGGGCTGCGGCCCATCACGGTTCCAAGCAGAGGCGGCCACCATAGATGCTGTGCTGGGCTCCTGGTACTCAGCCCCGCATCCTGGTGACGAAGGCAAGGTGACTGGCCCCAGGGCCCGTGTGGAGTCCCGTCCCTCCCCAGTGGTGACGCCCACTGTCCTGTGTTTCTCTGCAGCCGGCTTCCCCATGGGCTACGCAGCAGCAGCTCCTGCCTACTCCCCCAGCATGTACCCCGGGGCGAGCCCGGCCTTCCAGACAGGTACGTAGACCTTGCACACTGCAGCAGGGAGACGGAGGGGAGCGGGGGTGTCTGAGAAGAGAGGTTGCAGAATGGGGGCCTGGGACTGCGTCTGGTTCATGAGCTTGGCCTTGCTGGTATGGGCAGTTGGAGGAGCTGCAAATGCCACCTCTCTGACATCTGTCCTCCACACAGGCCCCATCCTGAGTGCAGGTGTGGCAGGTGCGTCGTGCTGCCAGATGCGGGTTCACGAAGCCGGGTCGACTGCTGGAACCTGAAGGTTGTCCGGCTGGGTTGCTAACATTTTTAGATGCTAGTTTTAAGATTTTTTTAGGACTTTGGTTATAGTTTGAAAAGAACATCTCATTTTCTTTGTGAGTTTTCAAAGCCTTATTCTGTTGTTTCTTTTTTGTTATTCTTGTTTTTAAGAGTCTCATTTTCTGTGCATGAGAACGTGTTTACATTGTGGAAACTGGCAGTGAGATTGGGTGGGTTTTCCTCCAGCCCGCGTTCCAGAGCTGGCTCACTGCGGGCTTCACTCCCCAACACCGGCCCTCTGAACCTCCAGCGGCAGGCTTGGACCCTCTGGCCGGCCACACACCGTGAGCTGACAGCAGAGGGGACCGCAGTGGTGTCCTCTTTCTGAGCTCTTCCTCGTTGATCATTAACCCTTCTGGTCACCACTCCCATTTCTTCCCGCCCTGACCTCTGTTCAGCCCGAGGCTCAGACCCAGGGCGCTGCCTCTTCCCCACGTTTCTGTTTTCGAGTGTCACTCACACCCTCTCTCCTCCCCGCACTGGGGGGCCTGCAGCTTCGCATCCGTCCGTACCTGTCTGTAAGCAGCCTGTGGGGGGTGGGAATGCCCCGAGGCCCAGTGCACGTGGTCTCAGGACACCACCCTCGTCCCCACAGCCCCTCTGTGGTCTCACCCGGCTCCCACCGGGAAGTCACAGAGCTGTTCTCTCTCATTAGAGATCCTTGGTGTTTTCTAAAATTGGCTGTGAAGGAGCCTGTGGAATGTCCTGTTTGTGGGGAGCTGGCCTCTCCTAGCACAGCTATTTTGGCAGGCGTGTTAAGTGAGTGTCAGCGGCTTCCTCTTCCTCCACAATGTGCTCCTCCGTGCACCAGGTGGTGGACTCAGGTGTGTGCATCCCCCCACTGTCACAGACACAGCTACAGTGCGTGTTTGTGTGCAAGCCTGTGGGGGGGTGCGCTTCCGTTGGCTCACGTGCATCCAGAGGAGAGGCAGGGCCGCCTCTTATGGCAGCTGCACGCCCGCAGTGTAGGCGGTGGCATGTTCCCGCCCTGCACACCCTGTTGACTCGAGCCATGGTCCTGCTTGGCAACCAAAGCTGTCCCGCGCAGTGAGGTGTGGTGTCTGTCTCACTCAGCAGCGACTGCCCCTCGGACAAGCCCCACTGGCTGCGACGCTGCCGCCATGCAGAGCTTCGAGCTTCACAGCAATCGGACCTTGAGCTTGTCTCAGGCCCGATGACGTCGGGAGTCTTCCACTTGCGTGTTCCCCATCCATGTGCCTCCGGTCAGGTGTCCGTGTCCACCTTCTAGCTCTTTTTCCGAGGGTCTCTCCTGTTCATTCACCTGGGGCCTGGCCCTTTGTCTCATTCTGGCAGACGCCCCGCGTGTGCGTCTGTGCGTCAGGAGGCTCCCCGTGTTGGCATGGTGGCCTTAGGTCGCAGCTGTCCCATGGGGCCCGGTGGCTCGGTCTTTCTGACCACCTGAGCTGGGTCTCCGGGGTGCCCCTTGTGTGGGCTGTGTGTCCTTCCCGTTGTAGCTGAGCCCTGGTTGCTGCGGCCCTTGGGCCGGCGAGGTGGACGCTCAGGCTTGGCCTGTGTAGTTGGGCCAGAATCGCAGTGCTGTGGGGAGACTGACCCCACGAAGTGAGTTGGGAGCCCACTGGGGGATGCTGTGCAGCTGCCCCAGGGCGTGTTGGTTTGGGGGCCTCAGAAAAGGGCCTCCGCCCTGGCCGGGCCTGTGGGTGTGGCCAGCTGCCATCAGTACTGGACCTGGGGCTGCGGGTTTTTTTAAAGTGCAGCAAGGTTTTAAGCCCCTCTTCCAGTGGCAGTCAGCAGGTGTCCATCTCTGTTTCCCTGCATCTCACATGTGGCTGTTCCCTGAGGATTGCTGGCTGCCTCAGCTCCTCTCAGCTGTGTGTCAGCGCCTGAGCGTGCTCTCCATGCTGGCCTGGCTGGCCTGGGCCACTTAGCGAGAGACACTGGGCATGCCGAGGTCAGGTGCCGCTATGTGAGAGGTTGTAGGGAGCCTGAGCCGGGACAGGCCGTGGGTTTTGAGAAGCCACCAGAAAGGACTTTGGACAGGCCTGTAGTTAGGTGGGGGCAGACGGTGGGAGCCAGGCTTTGGAGGCACAGACTTGGCTTCCGCCTGCACCTGCAAGTCCAGTAGATCTCGGGCGGCACCAGGTGGTGATCCTGCAGGTGAGCTGTGACTCGGATGTGTTTGAGGGGCTCCGGGTGCCAGGCCCCCTGCACTGCCATCTTGACTGGAAGCCCACCTTTATTTCTTTAAAACAGATGTCAAGAAGCGAGGTTATGGCATGAAGTGCGTGCTTGTCTGCCACGTTATGCCCCAGGAAGGCCTGGCCGGCTTGTGTTTTATCAGGACCCGAGGAGTGCACTTTCAGTGCAACTTTTCCCTTTGTTCTGCTTTTCTTCTGCACACGGACGGCCCTCGGGGCTCCTTCCCGCATCTGGCGAGTGTGCAGGCGTGCAGTGAGATCACCAGGCTTCTTTGTTTCAGGCTATGCCCCTGGCACACCTTACAAAGTGTCCTGCTCCCCCACCAGCGGGGCAGTGCCGCCGTACTCCTCCTCTCCCACCCCCTACCAGACTGCAGTGTACCCCGTGCGGAGCGCCTACCCCCAGCAGAGCCCCTACGCACAGGTAGGCTGGGGAGCCCTGTGGGGCATGGTGCGGGCCAGTTCCTGGGCTCTGGCCCGAAGTGCAGCCCACTCAGGCGTCTCTCCTGCTCCGCCCGCAGCAGGGCGCCTTCTACGCCCAGCCCCTGTGCGCGGCGCCCCCACACGTCATCCACCACACCACGGTGGTGCAGCCCGACGGCCTGCCGGCAGCCGTGTACCCTGCGCCCATCCCTCCTCCACGAGGCGGCGGGGTCGCCATGGGCGTGGTGGCCGGAACCACGATGGCCATGTCAGCAGGTGAGTCGGCCTGGCGTCAGGTGCGAGTGAGCTGGGAGGGGCCGGCTCACTGCTGCCCCGACCCTGGGCCTTCCATGTCTGGACAGGTGTGAAGGGACCTACTCTTTAGGGAAGGGACTGCCTCTTTCCTCTTTCTTTCCTTCCCTTCCTCCATGCAGTAGGGGATGGGGTGTGGGTGGTCACAGGGCCCTGCTGGGGGGCACGAGCCGTGAGAGCCACTGGGCAGCAGGAGCGGGGTGGGTGCCCACTGGCAGCCTGTGCGGAAGGGACTAGTGTTCTGTGCAGCAGGACCCAGGGTGCTTTGCAGGCAGGTCGTCAGTCTAGGCAAGCTGGCTTTGTGTCCCAGAGAGGACAGCCACCTGCAGAAACCCTCCAGCGTGTTCGACATCACTCCGCAGGGAGAGCGGACCCTGTCAGACAAGAGCCCCTCCCCTCCTGGGGCGGGGAGCTGTCTGTGGCAGGGCCGGTGCACCATGCACTCAGGTGCCCGTAGCTGGGAGAGTCTTAAAAAATATTCTTCCCTGTTCGATATACGTGACTCGAACGAAGAAAACCATGCCAGAGAGAAAGGTGTTTCTGCTTGTTCTCGTCGCTCTCCCCGAACTGGCCTCACAAGGCAGAGGTGCCTGTGGCACAGACAGACAGTGCGCTGGGGCGGGCGGGGGCCCCGGGGCCAGGAGGGAGGAGGTGCCTGGTGAGGCTGTCCATTCGCACCAGTGCTTGTCTGTCAGTACACTCGCGTGGTTGCTCGCTTCCCTTCGGGCTCAGGAAAAGCACGCTCGTCTCGGTGTGCTCACACGCTTCAGCGGCCTGGGCTCTTCCTCCACCCTCTCCCCGGTACTCCGTGTCTCGTCGGGGGTCTGTGTGCGCGGCTCAGTCCTGTGTGTTCGCTCACGCCTTCCAGGAGCTCCTGCGGGACTTTGCTGTGTAAACCTGAGCGAAGCTCCGCCCCTTACACACCTCACTCTCCCGCCGCCCTCCCTGGCCCCACCCACTGACTGCTGGTCTTTCTGTGACTGCCCTTTTCACTTCCTGTAATGCCCTCCAGGTTCATAAGTGTTGTAGCGTATGACAGATTGCTTTGTTTTTTTTCCCTTTTTTCCAGATTGTATTAATTTATTTTAGACAGGGGAAGGGAGGGAGAAAGAGGGAGAGAAACATCAGTGTGTGGTTGCCTCTCACACCCCCTGCTGGGGACCTGGCCTACAACCCAGGCCTGTGCCCTGACTGGGAATCAAACCAGCAACATTTCAGTTCACAGGCCGGTACTCAGGACACTGAGTCACACCAGCCAGGGAAAATTGCTTTCTTTCTTAAAACTGAAGGTAATACTTTTTATTTTGTCACCTATCACTTTGTCCGAAAAACAGCCGAGCGTGCTGACCCGAGGTTCCCCCGATGCACTGTGCGCAGCCCTGCTGGGCGTGCATGCCTGCTGCGTAGTCAGCATCTAGACGGCCCTCCCTCTCCCTGGGCCCTCCTGGTCAGAGGCCCCCGGCAAGCCTGCGCAGGGCCCTGCCCGCCACGGAGACGCTGCTCTTCCTTCCAGGTACCCTGCTGACGGCCCACTCCCCAACTCCTGTCACCCCCCACCCAGTCACCGTGCCCACGTACAGGGGTCCGGGAACGCCAACCTACAGTTACGTGCCCCCGCAGTGGTGATCACCACGAACGTAAGTGACCGGCGGCGAGGCCTGGGCTCTTGACTAAAGTGCGTTTTCCCCTGTGGAGGACGGCACGTCTGCCATCAAGTGAGCGCTCGTGAGAAAAATGCTCCCCGGCCTTTGACCCGAGGGCAGTGCAGCGTTTAAATGTGTGTACCCGCTGGGGCTGCAGGAGCAGAAGGAAGACAGCGCTGTGGCCTTCCTGCTGTACACACGCACTGCCCACGCGCACCTGCTTCCTCCCCCACCCTGGCGGGGGAGTGGGTCTCAGCCTCCACGGGTGGACATGCCCCCTGTCCAGGCAGCATGCAGGGCAGCCCGTGACCACGTCTCCCACCGCCCCCAGGTGCAGGATGGAGCTGGGCGCCGCCCCTCGGATGCCCTGCAGCCGGTGCTGCAGGCCTCTCGCCTCAACCAGGACCCTCTCCTTCTGCTCTGGACGCTCAGCTGCAGGTGGCTCGGCCAGCCCCACGGGCCTTGGCCCCTGGTCTCCAACTAACTGTGGGGGTTCCCGAAGCAGATCCTGTCTGGGGCTGCCTGGTGACTTTTTTAGCTAACTGTAATGATAAAAAGGGGGTTTTAATGTATTCTGAAATCATATCTAGTTGAATGCATGTTTAAAAAACACACAAAGCTTGCTCAAACTACCTGCAGTGACTGGTGCAGAACCATCGTGTGCAAAGCCCGGAGCACCGAAGGCTGTGTGACACTCGTGTCCCTGACGCGTGTTGTGTGTGCAGGCTCACGGTTGGGAGTGTCACAGCACACGTCTTCATGGGTCATCTGGCATCTCCTAGGTGGCACTTCAGCCTGTGCAGGGGCGTGTGCTTGCTGGTTGGGAACGCGACGTCCGAGTCTTTGCCACGTGTGTCTTTCCCACTGGCTGCCGGGCTCAGCCGCTGGGACGGAGTATGCAGGCCCGGAGAGCCAGGCCCAGGGGCTCCCCACCTTCCCACTGAGGCCCGTGGTGTCAGTGCGCTGTGGACATTCTCAGCACACAACCACGAACGGCTGACCCGTGTGGCCAGGAAACGCAGGGGCCAGCGGCAGTGTGTCCCCGCCACAGAGCGGTGTCCTCCGAGCTGCTGTGCACGTGCCTGCCGCAGGGCTCTCGCCGGCACCAACACGGCCGTGTGTGTTTTCGAGGGGCAGGCCCGTGTAGAGTTGCGTCACTTTCCTGGGGTGGAAGAAACAGACGCACTTGGAGTGGGTAGTGTTCTCTTCTTGATTTAGCTTAGAAATTCATCTGTCTCCTCTCTGCTGAGAGGTGTCTGAGTCCCGTGAAAACCCCCGTGGGTGTGGCTGTTCTCCCCCCACGCAGGTGGCCAGGCCCTTGGCTGCGCCTGCTGCAGAAAGCTGCGCCTATGGCGATCGCTTGCTGTAGGGAACCGAGCGGTTGCCGTGTGTGGGCCTGTGCCCCTACCGGGGACTCGCCCTTGGAGACCCTCTGAGGCGAGCGTGGGACACGCAGGGAGAGAGGGCTGCGGTCTGTGGGCCCCCTGCCGTCTCCAGCAGCTGAGGGTGCTCTGCCTGCCTGCGGGGCTCCTTAGGGGAGGGTTGTGTGGCTAATATATGGGTGTTGTACGTAAGAAAACAAGGGTTTTTTCCCCCTAAATGGGCTCAACTTGTATTGATGGGAGTGCGTCTTTCCAGAGAGTGTCAGAGGGAGTGTCGGGAAGGTAGGGGTGCCCCTGGTGCCCCATCTTTGTTTCAAGCGCTGGGTGCTCTGGCTGGGGGGCCCCTTCTTGTGTCTGCTAGTGGGCCAGGGCTTGGGCTCTGGGTTCGAGTTCAGCTGGATTGGGAGAGGGACACCTCACCCCTGAGCCTTTGGTAAACTTATTTTTTACAGCAAGTATTCTTTGTAATGTTTTTTCACATTTTATTTTATAAGAAGTTTAGGGATATTTTTGCATGAATCATTGTAAAGAAAAGATTCCTTATTTCTGATGTCTGTTAACATAGTGTGTTTACTGATAAGTACTTTAAATTGCTTCATGAGCACTTCACCTGTGTGTGTGTGTGTGCGCGCGCACGCATGTGCACTTCTAATCTCTGTGTTGTGTTCCGTCTGTGGGGTGGGTGGTCTGTCAGTAGGTGCCGAGGGCCAAGTTGACCAAGAGACAGAGAACTCGGTGGCAGTGCAGCACAGAGGAAGCTTTTAGAGATGCTCCTAATGGCCCCAAACAGCAAAGCAGGGGGGGCACCAGCCTGCGAGGCAGCCTGGGCAGCACGGGGGGGGGGGGTAGAAGTTCGGTGGGCGTTGCCCCAGGCCCACCCCAGGCCTTCCATGCCGTGGGACACACCTTTTGGGGCAGGAGTGGACGGGAAAGGCAGGCCTCGGCCTGCAGGTGCAGTCTGGACAGAGGGACAGCGGTGCCGCAGGGCTGACTGGCAGCATCCTCAACTCCTTCTGGTCCCATGAATTCGGAGCGGAAGTCCTCTTATGGATTGGCCTCACTGGGTATCCCAAGCACAGTTGTGGAACGTGGAAAGAAGTTTTGTCTCTCGGTTTTTTCCGTATGTGACATTCCTCATTCCAGAGTCTTGCAGGCGAAGGGTGTACTCCTGGTGGCAGGTGCCCGGTGTCTCGGTGCTCTGCGCTGGCTCACGGCCATCTTCCCCACAGCGTCTCTGCTGACCTTGTAGGAGGCTCTGGGCAAGGGCCCCTCGAGCTGATCACCCGAAGACTCGGGGTGGGGTTGGGGGGCTGCCCCTTGGAAACAGTGTTGCCTGGACCAGTCAGGCCACTTCCTCTGAGCAGGCAGCAGGTGCCCCAGCCATCGTGGCCCGAGCATCACCCGGATGGGGCAGGACCCTGTCTGACACCATCGGGGGCAGGGCCTGTGGTGGGGGCAGCTTCCGCTGCTTCTCTGGTGCTTTCACAGGTGGGGGTGTCTGCAGAGCAGAGTGTGGTGGGCTCCTGGTCACGTCTCACGTGTGTGCGTGTGCGCCGCACCCCCGAGCTTCCTGCAGGGGCTGCACACCCAGGTGAGTGCACTGCAGACGACAGGCTCCGGAGGAGGCCTGGGCTTCCTCCACCCTCGGAAGCCTGTGGCATCTCTAAGGAGCCCCAGAGCTGCAGTCAGCTCACCAGGGACAGGGGTGTTCTGCAGGGCATGTGCATCGGAGGTGACGGGTGGCTCAGGCCAGCGCCCGGCAGGCAGGGCTGCTTCGACAGACTCTGGAGGACAGACTGGCTGGCTGGGAAGTGGTTTGTTTTAAAAAATTTTTAAGTGAGTGACTTTTAAATACCGTTTTTCAAGACTGTTCTCTTAGTACATTTTTAAGCTTAAGCCGGCATCGTCTTCCAGTGTTAACGCACCCTCACCCTGTGCCGAGCGTGGGCGGTAGCCAGTGCCAGCTCTGTTGTGTGTGAACTCACGCTGTTCCATGGTGTGCGCTCCCTGACACGGAAGTGAGCTCAGATGTTGTTAAAGCACGTTTACTGTAACGAGCGCTACAGATTGACACTGCGGTTTCCAATAAAGATTGACTTGTGTTGCGTCCCGGTTCCCTCGTCTTTCTCTGTGGGTTTGTGTCAGGGTGGGTGCCAGCCTATGCACTGGTGTCCCCGCTCAGGAGCAGGGACATCCGGGGGTTCAGATGGCAGCCCTGTGCTAGGCTGCCTCCCAGCCACGCGCCCTTGGCTGTGCGCCAGGGTACACGGGGAGCGGTGCCCCCATGGTAGCAGGAGGATGGCTGTCCCAGCTCTCTCCTGGCCCTGTGGCCCTGGGTCTCCCAGGAAGACACCCTCCTCCTACCCCCCAGGAAGAGTGCAGACTGCCTTCCCTCAGACACACCTGCCACCTGCAGCCACACCCACCCCAGATTGAGCCCAGGGAGTGGGGGAGCTGCCCACCCCCCAAGGTGCGCACCCACCCCGCCTCTGGGTGCCCCTGGGGCAGAGGCCCCAACAGAAGAGGCAGGCTGCAGCCAGGGCGTCTCCACGAGTTTCTTTATGAAACTAAATGTGGTTTGGGCTGGGAGGCGGCAGAGTGGTGTGAGCGACTGCCTGCTGGGGCCGGGCCCAGGAGATCAGTCCTCTTGGCTTCTCACACTCCCCCAGGATAAGGCCACCTTCCTGTGTCCATGTCAGTTCTCTTTCTACGTCATCAGAAAAGCAGGGTCCCCGCAAAGAAGACCCTGGTTCTGGAGGCGGCACACAGCTGCCTGGGGGCACTCCCGACAGATTCGCTGCTGGCGCCAAACCAGGGGAGGGGGTGCCAGCAGCCACGAGAGGGAACTGGGAGGCCAGACGGGTGGGCTCCGAGGCCAGGCCTGGTCGGACGCAGATTCCTGGTTCACGCTCTGCCTTCCCAGGGCTGCTCCTGCCCAGAGAGACCAGGAGGAGGAGGCATGTAGAGTCCAGGCGGAGGGCCCAAGTGGTCCATCCTTCCACGCACGTCTGCCTGGCCTGGCAAGCAGCTCCCCGGCTGGGACTCCTGCCCCTCCAGCCGGCATCTCCTGTGTGTCCGTCATGGGGTGGAGCCCAGCGTGTCCTCGAGGCATGAGCCCCTCCCTTGCTCAGCCCTGCTCACTGGCATTTGCAGACTGGGCAGAGGCCTGGGGGTGGGGAGGGCTGGGGGCAGCTGGCAGAGGAGGTCCAGACTGTGTGGCTGGGGGGTGCAGGCTCACTTGCGGAAGGGGGTCAGCCGGCTGATGCTGTGCCAGAAGGTGGACGGCTTCCGCTTGGTATCTGCCAGCACCAGGGCCTGCTGCCGGGGCGGGCTGGTGGGCAGTGCCAGGGGCTTCTGGCGAGTCAGATAGTAGGGCCGGCCAAGGGCTGGGCAGGAAGGCAGCAGGGTTACACGGGCTCCTGGGGAGCCAGCGGCCTGGGGCAGGTGGGGGGTGGGGGTAGGTGGCAGGCATGGACCTGCTGGGAGGCCAGACCCTTGGAGGAGTGAGCTGTGTAGGGGAGGAAGCTGCTGCAGGGCAGGCCCCCAGGGGCGGGGCAGCCAACACTGTCCCCGTGGTGTGGCCAGAATGAGTCTAGGCTGCACACTGACACTCCACCACCTGGGGCCTCTCACCAGTCCCCTCTGGGAGGGGACACCTGCAGGGGGCAGCGGCCACTGGGACCTGAGCCCAGCTGGCTTTGCTCTAGGGTGAGAGGTGTGGCCAAGAGGAAGGTGAGGCTGCACGGATGGGGGCCCCACCAGCACCTGCTCACCTTTGGTCTTCCCAGCCGCCTGCAGCTTGCTGGCCTTCAGCATGGCCTGCTTCCTCTGCCCCTCAGTGATGGAGAAGCCTGGGGGGTGGGGAGGCCAGACCAATGAGCTGCCTGCTGCCCTGCCAGCCCCTGGCTGGTCTTCCCCACCCTCCTAACCTGGGTTTCACAGGCCGGTGCTGCCTCCACCCCACGTTCTCCCCCAGCTTACACTGGGAAGGGGGTTCCCCACATCCATGCCTCCAAGTGCACTGGGGTGTGCATGTGTGTGGTGTAAAGAGCCCCCCACAAGGCCAACAGGCGGGCTGAAACGAAGGGTTACTCTGCAGCCTCACAAACCCTGAGGCCCAGGGGGCTGCAGGACACGCTGTCCCAGCCATGAGTGTTGGGCCTGGTGAACGTGGAGGTGGGCGGGGCCGCCCAGGTCTCGCACCTGTCTCCTGGTCCAGCCGCACCTGCTCCCTCTCCCTGGCGAAGGCCTGCAGCCAGCGCTGCTTCTGCTCTGGCTTCCTGGCACACAACAGGAGGCTCTCGCCCCCGGCGCCGCAGCGCAGCCGGAAGGCGTGTTTGACGCTCACGTGCAGGTCCCTGTCCTTGCAGTCACCCACGTCCACCACCTCCAGGCCTCCCAGGTCCACCCGGCCCTTGTAGTACAGCACATCCCGGCGGAGAAGGTCCTGCAGAGACGATGGAAGCCGTGGCCAGCCTGCCTCTCCAATCTCCCTTCCCCAAGGCCCTGCTCATCCTCTGCCCTCAACCTGGGGGGATGCTGGGCCTCCCCCCAGGGCCTCACAAGGGCAGAGCGGCCTGGTGCAGCCCCAGCTGTGTGCTGGGCCTAAGCAGGGGCCACCCGCTGCCTCCATCAGCCAGCCAGCCTGGGGCCCTGCAAGGGGGCCTGCGGGCTCGTGGGGAAGCAGTGTGGCTACAGGTGTGGGCCGGGGTCCAACCCACGGCTCAGAAGAGCCCCAGGGAGACCTGGGCGCACGGGCTGAGTTTGGAAAGAGGGATAAGTAGCCGCACAGAGGTGGTGGGAGGTGTTGGAGTGGAGCACCCAGGTCTGGGGGTGGTGGAGCCAGGAGCCAGGGGTGTTCTCAACAGCACGGGCCCTGGTCAGGCTGGGAGGGCCCCACGGTCCCTGGACCACCGTCACCCCTGTGTGGGGCTTTGCTCTGGGCAGCTGCTTCCAGCCCTCAGGCCCTGCTTTCCAGCAGGGACAGCGGGTCAGTACCTTCTTGCAGTAGATGAGCTGGTGGTCGAAGAGGAAGAACATCCTCTGTTGGCTCTTGGCTTGTGGCTGCGTGACCAGCGTCAGCTCCCCTGAGTGGATGAGTTCCGAGCTCCGGACCAGGAGATCTTCCCCCTGGGGGCCCACAGACAGCCAGGGCTCAGTGCCCCGCCTGGGGCTGGGAGCGGGCAGCAGGCCACAGGGGGCGGGGGCGGAGGAGGTCTGAGTCCACGGTCCGCAGAACACGGCCCCGAGGTGCGAGCCATGAAGCGTGGCCAACCCCAGTGAGGCGCCAGTGGGACACACCCTGACTCGGGGCACACAGGACGGGACAACTCGAAACTTCCCACTAATGGCATTTCTGCTGACGATGCGCTGAAACGAGATCTGGGTGCCGCGCAGACAGAACCTGCCCCTCTTCCGCTTGCGGTGGCTGCTGGAGCACATGGACCTCCCTGGGGTCCCCAGGGCCTTGGGCCGGCCAGCACCGCCCTCCAGGGCAGTCGGAGGTGGCTGAAGGGACACCCCACCCCCGCCGTCCTCCCCCCCGACTTCAGAGTCGAAGTCCCATCGTAGACGTCAAGCTCGCCCCTCTTGGAATCCCCCGGGAGCGAGTTTGTTGGGGTCCTCAGCCAGGGCTGGCTTTAGAACCAACATCCAGAAAGACAGAAAACAACATAACCCAGGGGTTCCAACTATTTCTAGGGTGGGGCCCAGGAAGCTGTCTTTTTACACCGTTTCATGGAGAAGGGGCAGGGATGTCACCACTAGTTCGGGCGTCTGTGCTGCCGTGGGAGGTGGCACGGGTGGGTCCAGGGCCACTGTGCAGGCCAGAGGAATGGAATGGGGGCTCCCATCAGTGACCCATTTTTGCTGGTGCTGTGGCCGGCCCAAACCCTCATGTGGGGGTCCCCAAACCTGGGGGTCTGGCCTGTCCCGAGAGAACAGCAGCCCCCTTGCGAGGATGGTGGGCCACACGTGGGGGTGGTGTCCTGCTTCACTCCTGCGGCTGTGCCAGTGCCTGCTCTCCCCACCAGGTGGCCCGCTGGGCGGTGCTCAGGTCCGATGGGCTCCCCTGCCCCCGGCCAGCTCCTCTGCCAGCTCCAGGAGCACGGCCCCTCCTGCGTTTTTCAGGAGCAAGTGGCCCAGCCCACGGCACTTTGTGGGGTGTCGGGCCCTCACCTCCCAGTCCTCCACAGAGCTCTGCCACTGAGCGATCTTGTCGATGTTTTCAAGCCTCCGTTTCCGCTCGTTGATGAGCTGGGCCACCTTCTTCATGGCGTCTAAGGCAGCTTCCACGTCTTTGAAATCCCTGCAGCAGAACAGACGTGCTGCGACGTGGAGAAGGGCCGGGGGGCCGAGCTGCTTCCCCAGGGCCGGGCCCCTCAGCCTGTCAGTGTCTGCACCCATCAGCCGAGGGCCACACAGGGCAGAACAGGTTACCCCCTTGTGCCAGCCGGTGAAAACAGGGACGGCCTCCCTAACGGCCACCCAGCGCCCGCAGCGGCACCCTCAGAGCCGCCCACCAGCCCGCCCTAGGCAGACCCCTACCGGTGCTGGGGGTGCGTGTACTTGAGCAGCTCCGCCAGCTGCAGCGGGTACTGGCAGATCTTCTGCACGGGCGTCAGCAGGAAGCCGTCCAGCGAGATGTCGATCATCCTCTGCAGCAGACGGCAGGCCTCGAAGAAGTAGGTGTATTTGCTGAGCCTGGTGAGCCGCGAGAGCTCCAGGCAGGCGCTGGGGTGGTTGTTGCAGTAGTCGGAGTAGATCTGGAAGTGTGCTTGCTGGGGGCACAGCGGGCGGTCAGGGGGCGGCCTCTCCCGCAGCCCGCAGACACAGGGCAGATGTGGGGGCCTCACTGCACTGTCTGCCACCCCCCACCCCACTTGTGGATCAGCACGGACTTCGCCGAGTCACGCCTGCCCAGGGACGCCAAACACCTGCAAACAGCGGTGTGTGCTGCCCTGTGCAGGGCCCGCAGCAGGCACTGGGTCAGAGCCCCTTCTTGGGGGTGACAGTGGTGCTGATGAGGACGGCCCAAAGGGGGGTGAAGGGGTTAAGTGGGCGCCAGGGTCCACTCCCTGCCCAGTGTCCTGCTCCTTCCTCTCAGGGCTCTGGCCTCCTTCTCTTTTAAACCTTCATTTTCCTGGGGCCAAAAAGAAGCCAGGCCAGCCACGTGGCAAGGGACCCGACATCCTGAACGGAGGTGGCCACGGAGGGCAATAGCCGCTGTGGCGCTCACACCAGGAGTGTCAGTAGAGAGTCTGTGCCCACCGCTCGGGGTCAGGGCCCTGAAGCCACCCGCACTCAGGCGCTCGGACCCGCCACGTGCTCCTGCAGGCACCCAGACCGGGCCACCCCCGTTCTACTGCCGGAGGGAGGTGGTGGGGCCTTCCCAGTGCCCCACGGGGTGTAGCGTAGCCAGAAGGAGCCGCGGCATCCCCAGTGGGCTGGCTCAGTGTCCAACCCACCGCTATCCCTGGACCGGTTACAGCCTGTGCTTCCTTATCGACAGGGTGGGAGGTATCCCTCTAACCCAGACCAGGCCAGGGGACCTCAGCTACGTGCCAGCTGGCGTTGGCCCAGAAGGAAGCACTAAAGTACACTCGGAAACCAAAAACTCACTAAGAACAAACAGCTTGGAGTCGCTCGACAGCCAGCCAGGCGCCCTCCCTCTGCCAGAAGGAAAGCCGGGGCCAATTGATCGCAGGCCCCCTGCTCCAAGGAGCCTTCTGGGCCGTGGTCTGTCCCCCAAGAACCAGTGACACTTCTACACAGTGTTGAAGGGTGAGGACCTTCGGGCAGGTGAGGGAGTGGGGCCTGGAAGCTTCCGGAAGAGGGGAGGGCGCACTCACATGCTCCAGGAAGCAGGCGCCCAGCTCGCTCAGGTGCGGGCGCTCCCTGTTGAACCTCTGCTCCAGCGCCTGCACGAAGGCCGAGTGGCACCGGTAGATGTCCTCGATGTTGCCGAAGATGGTGCGCAGCTGCTCCTCGCTGAACATGTCGGCGCGCCTGCGGCACTGCCCGACGTAGCCCTGGGGACAGGGTCGGGTCAGGTCCCCTCCGCCCTGCGCGCCTGCGCCGCCGCGCACGCCCCGCACGCCCCGCCTCACCTCGCAGATGTCGCGCAGGTGCTTGATGTAGTCCCGCTCGGTGCTGAGGATCTCCCGGATGACGTTGGTGCGCATCTGGTCCCTGCTGCTGCCCTGCGCGCCCGCCCCGCCGTCCTCCGCCCCGCCGGCCCCGAGCCGCCGCGCCTCGTCATCCGAGGGCTCGTCCTGGTTCACCCGCAGCTGCAGGCGAGGCGGGCGGTCAGTAACCCGCAGGCCGGGGCTCTTCTCGCACCACCCTGAACGGTGCTGGCCCGTCTGAGACCAGCCTTCTCTGTGGACACCCTGCCCGCCCCGCCGGGCACAGGGCGAGGGCCAGGGACAGTCTCTGAGCTGCGCATGTCACACTGAGCCCTCCGGGGAAGTGGACAGTGACCAGTGCTGCCAGTTTCCAGACCATAATTGAGAAAGGCCTGGGGTACAAAGCGCACGGTTCAGGGAGTCTGGGTCCGGGGAGGCAACCAGCGGGACCCCAGGGTCTGTGGTCTCTGCTCCCTACCACTCAGCCTGGCCTTCTGGAGGCTGCCCCTGGGCTCATGCCTTGGACACCAGAGGGCCCCAAGGCTGGGCCCTGTGAACTGGGCCACAGATTTCACTCGTCCACGCTCCACGCCTCGGCTCCAGGGCTGCTGTGAGCTGGCCCCCAGTGAACCCGGCAGGGTGCCCCCCCCCCCGGGTGCTTTAGGAATGCCTGCTAACCTGAGGTGATGGGCTGACAGGCTCCCCGTGGAGGGGCCCCCACACGGTCTGACCTGTTCCTCTCCTGCTGTTGGGACCCCGGCGGGAGGTGGGAGGAGAAGGAAGGGCTGTCGCAGCTTCAGGCAGCAGCTGAAGGCCAGCAAGCTGCCTGGCTGCTGGCTCTCCCGACCCCTGCCCAGCCAGGCCGCCAGCCCACAGCCCTGAGCGGATGGCCCATGGTGCCCAGCACCATGGCAGTGTCTGAGCAGAACCAGCTGGCTCTCTGGGGGCCATACCCGCACGAAGCCGGCTGGAAACCAGCCCTCGCCGTCGGCCACGCGGCCCCACCACCAATCCCTGTTGGTGGCATCCATTACTTCCACGACGTCCCCAGCCTTGAAGCCCAGTTCCTGGTCGTCCATGGTGACGTGGTCCCACAGTGCTTCTGCGCAGACCACGCTGCCATCGCTGAGGAGCTGTGGAGAGAGCCAGGCACAGCTGGTCCACGGGGCAAGGCTGCCCTCTGCACCCCACCCCTCGGCAGCCCCGTGCAGCAGGGCGGCCGGGGACTTTGACCACTGGAGCCCGGGTGGGCACAGGACCTGATGGACGGCCCAGCACACGGCTGCTGCCCTGTGAGGGTGCCCCTTCCTCCGTCCCCCATCCGGCTAGTGATTGAACAGTCGCCCCTCAGCTTCATCACTTGTCTCTGCTCCGCTCTGTGACACTGGGGCTAGGCCACCCCCAGCTACGTTCTGCTGGGCCTGCCACTCCCTGTTAGGTCCTCCTAACCTGACAGTAGAGGGGACCACAGAGCTGCCGGGATACCTGGAGGGGTCACCTGACAAGCCACAGTGCTGCCTCACCCAGGTCTGGTGACTCCCCAGCACGGCAGTGGCTGGGGCCAGTCCACAGGGCATTTTGAACACTCGCAGAACCAGTCCCCCCACCGCCCCGCAGGGAACAGCAGCCGTGCAGCACCTCTCGGAGTGCGAGGTCCCAAGCCCCCCGGGGCTTCCTGTCCTAACGACTGCAACCTCCACCCTGCCACAGACACCCCAGCAGCGAGGCTCCTGGGCAGCTGGTTGCCCGTTGGCCACTTGACACCTGGCTGACACCCTCTGCTGATTCCTCTGTGCAGCGACAGCTGGTGGGGCCTCCCTGTGTGGTCCTGGACCCCCATCAGGAGGCCGGGGCGTGCGGGGCCCTCACATCCCATCCCCCAGCGGTGGGCAGCCAGGGTGCTCCCGGCTCCACCTCCCACGGGCCGACACCTGCTGTCCTGGAACGGGGGGGGGGGGGGGGGTCCATTTCCGCTCCAACAACCAGGAGGCTCTGCGGGCTGGGGGGGTCAGGGGGTGGGCAAGAGGACAGGTTCCAGGAGCAGCGCCACAGGGCAGGGCCGTGCCCCTCTTCGAGGGGACCAAGCGCGGCTCTGGTTTTCCATTCTAGTCGGGGGCGGCTCCCTGGCTCGGAGCAAGCCCACTGGGAAACCCTTTTCTTCTGCCCACATGCCAATGCAACTACCCCTGGGAAGCGTTCGCAGCCTACGTGTGCGCCCACTGTCACCAGGGCGGCAGAGCCCAGGCCCCCACACCAGGGACCCTGGGAACAGGGCACTGTGCTGTTCCCAGGGGGCGGCAGGTCTCCTGGAAGGACCTCGCACGCACCCAGCTGAAAACACCCACTCAACATGCCCCCTTCCACAGGGACACCTGGCCCAGGACCACAGCTCCTGGCCGCAGTCTGGAGGGGCGAAACGAGAGGGCTGAGCCAGGCCGCTGGAGCAGGGCTGGCCTGCGTCAGGCAGGGAGCACCGTGCACCCTGCAGCCCTCGGGGGGTGGGGGGTCTGGCCCAAGGGCAAGAAAGCAGCAGAGGGCTCAAAGGCGGCCTGCACTCACCGATGCGCACGTCCCCTCCAGGGCAGAGACCACAGTGAGCGTGAGCACCAGGACAGAAGGCCACTGTGGCCTCAGGCGCAAATGAGCATCACGACTTAAACACTCTGCATGACAAATCCCAGAGACTGTGGAGCTTCTTGGGTAAACTGAGGCTTGGGTCCGCAGGGAACAAAACTCCTTACTGGAGCTCCGTGGTGCAAGTTCTAGAGAGGTGGGGTCCTAACACCCCCCACCTTGCTGCACAACCCTTGGGTGTGCAACTGCCCACACACACGCTCACACGCTCGCCCACGGAAGCCACACATGGGGCTCCCGAGATGACGCTGTAGACCCTGTCCACCCTCAGTTCACAGCAGTGACACACGTCTGCAGGTCAGCTCGGAGGCAGCCTCAGCGCAGGGCCCAGGTGGGAGGCGGTGACGCCCACACGCCCACCAGCCTGCTGCCCACTTTCCCTCCCCTGGTGGCTCCTGCCTGGCCCGAACCAGGCCAGGCACCTCCCCCACCTGGGCTTTCTTCAAGGGAGCCCGAGCTGAGGCCCCACTTGTACAGCTCAGCGCCCCCCCCCCCGCTGCGTTCCCCTACCAGCCCTGCACCCGTGCGGTCCTGTGTACTGGCACAAAAGCGCCCTTCTCAGGACCCTGCCAGAGCTGGCTGGACCCCATAAAGCATGAGCAACCCCGACTGTTTCCCGAGCCTGTATCTTCAGGACTAGAAAATGACTGGAAGTGCCCTGAAAGCGCAGAGGCTCCAGGGACTTGGGACACAGCCAGCCTGCAGAGACCGGCCGAAACCTCCAGCTCTGCAGCAGCCTAGTAAAAGCGCCCCGCCCCCACCTCAGGGCTCCCCGCATCTCCGCACGCAGCCCTTCCCCTCACTCTGGAAAGTAAAATAAAATCCTTGCCCCTGCATTTCCTTCCCTCTGCGAACTGCTTCATGGCCGGCCTCACTGACTGCGCAGGAAAGGCCGAGGGTGCAGCACCGACACGGGGCTTCCCCCAGAGGCGAGGGTTCCCTGCGCCTGTCACGGGCCCCACGCCTGTCCTGCCCAGTCACCTGGAAGCCCTTGGCAGTGGCAGAGGGATCAGTCACCTTTGTCACTTCCTTGTCACTGCATCTAGCCAAAGGCACTTGGTAGGCACACAAGCAGCAGCAAGTCCTCTGTGTCCCCGTCCCCCTGGGGTCCCCCAGTGACAGTGTGCTGGTCACGTGGCTCTCATGCAGACCCACAGAAGGGGTCACTCGGATGAGTTGCAGTGATGACAGTCACCGTATATGTGATGTCACTGAGACAACACAACTCCCCGGGCTGAAGGAGCGTTCAGCCTCCAGGACAGCCCCAAGGCGGCCAGGGCCCACGTGCGGTGGGTTTCGGGGAAGAGGCCCTTCCTTCCTGGCCACTGTGTCTGAAGTGCAGGCGCCCAGAAGCCTAGACGATGCACGGGCAAAGGGGGAGTCTCACTCATGGCCAGGCAGTGGGGAGCAGACGCTGGCCCTGAGGGGGGGGGGAGGGTAATGTGAGGCAGGTGAGGGGCTGTGCTAGGTTAAGTCGTGCCCCTGACATTGTGACAGGCCCGGGAAAGCCGAACTCTGCCCCAGAGTGCCCCCTGAGGACCACCCGCCCCACCTTCCCACTGCGCCCCATCTGGCGGAGAGCTGCAATTGCCACCGCAACCGCAACCTGGGGACGCAGCTCCCAGGGACCGGAGCAGCGGTGCTGGAGGCTGTTCAGAGCACGGAGTGGGGCGCGCTAAGCTAGACCACGTATCTTGAGACCCCAAATGGGGGAAGGTGGTAACACGTGCAGAGGCGCCCGCTCCTCTTCCACAGACAGCTCTTAGGGCCACACAGGAACGCAGGCCCGGTGCGCAGTTCCCAGACTCCCGCAGCAACCGCGGCCGGAGCAGCACCCGCATCTCCAGGCGCCCACAGCGATGCGCCATTTTAGCCACGCGCGCGCGCACTCACTACGGATGCCAGAGGGAGGACCCGTGCACATGGGCCAGCACACCCCGGAGTTTCTGAACCCGCACTCCCGGGCAGCGTCGGTGCGGGGCGCAGGGGGTTAGGGTCATACAGTCCGGAGCCGGGAACAGGCGGACCCCGCCGGGCGGGGCTGGAGGGGGAGAAGCGAGGCTCGAGGGTGCGCCATGGCGGCGCCACTCACCCGGAGGAGCAGTGCGCCGGGCCTTGGCGGTCAGCGGAAGGCCAGCAGGAAGACAAGCACGACGTTGATGAGGACCAGGAGCGCCAGCACGGCGAAGACCACCACGCGCTGAGCGCCGGGCGGCAGGTTGCAGCGCAGCACCGCGTGCAGGGCGTTCCCGGGGGCCGCCGGGCGATGCCGGGCCTGCGGGACCCTGGCCATTACGCGGGGCCTCCGCTCGGCGCCGGAGATCCCGCGGCGCAGGGACACCAGCGAGCGGGGCCAGGAGCGCCCGGAGGGGGCGGAGCCGCGGTGCGCCCGGCGGCTTCCTCTGCGCAGCCCGCACGTGCGCTCCAAGGCTCCAAGGCTCCCAGCCCGAGCCGGCACTTAGGCGGGGCGGGCGGGTGACGGGGACTCCGGTGAGCGCAGGGCTCTGACCTGGGCGACTTCGTGGGAGGCTCAGGGAGCCGGGATGGCCAGGTGCACGGAGGGTGGCTCCTGGGTGCCGTGGGGCCTGGCAGACACCAGCGCACCTGAGCCAAGGGGACGGGCCAGGGCGTCTGGACCAAGAACTGCCGGCGGCCCAGACTCCGCAGAGGAGTCAATGCGGCTCTGACAGAACAGGGGACTGGCCATCAAACCCCACGGAGGCACAGGGCTGTGGGGCCAGGATTTGCACTCCGGGCAGAGGGAGGTGCTTCAGGGCGGCTGCAGCTCAGGATCCTCCTCACAGACCCTGTCCGCCAGGACATCATTTTGTCCTTGCAGAGAAGCAGCTGGCTTCTTCAGCAGCTGACCACCCCGCCCCCGGTTTTGCTGCGGTATAACTGACAAACAAAAACTGTGTTTATTTCAGATGTGCGCGGACACATGTTCAGGAGGTGACAGGACCACCACACTCCGGCCAGTCGCCACCCCCACCCCCTGAGCTCTGTGGTCCTAGCACGTTTCAGACACACAGGCTGGCACTGCCTACGATAGTCACCATGCTGTGATTGCATCCCCAGGACTCATCCTCCTCCCACAGCCGCCACTTTGCACCCTGTGGCCGATTCCTCCCCACTTCCTCCCTCCCCAGGCCCCAGCAGCCGCCACCGTTCAGCTCTCTGCCTCTCGGCTCCACACAGGAGAACACAGGGTTCATCTTGACGTGCCTTGTGACTTTGCTCGGCAGAGTGTCCTCCTCTGGCTCTACCCATCCGTTGTGACAAAGGGCAGGATTTCCTTTGGGGTTTTTTTTCAAGGCTGAATAACATTTCGCCGCACCTATGTGCCAGGCCGTTGTGACCCATCCATCTGCCAAAGGCTGTGCGTCGTTCTGTGCCCTGCTCACCGTGAATGGCGCTGCTGTGAGCCCGACAGGCAGCTGGCTCTCGAAACTCCGATTCTGCCTTTTTGGACGTGTACCCAGAAGGCGGGTTGCTGCGCCACAGGGTAGATGTTTTTCGCTTTTTGAGGGCCCTCCACGCTGTTCTCCACTGTGGCTGCCCCACAAAAACAGGCGCCGCCCACCCAGCCCCCAACAGCCCCACAACTTCTGCGCCGCTGTGCTCTGGGTGGGGACCTCACCCAGCACACGTCAAATACCCGGCACGTGAGTCACACACATGCCGCACACACCTACGCAAGCCACACCCACAACCTTCCCGTGCCCGTGCATGTGGGCACACACCTGAGCCTAGTTGCCCACAGGGGCACCTCGCTGTGGGCCCCCCATGTCCCCTGATCTCCAGGTCCCAGGGTGTGGGTTCCCTCCTGCTTAGGAGACTGAGCAGTGATGTCCCTTGCGGTTGCTATGAACAAGCAGTGGTCACCGTCTAGAACACGCACTCGTGTGCCCATAAAAACAGCACAGGCCCGTGCACATGTGGTTTCAGAGCCAGCCCCGCGCCACGGGGCGTGATGGGCTTTCCTCTGGCTTCTGCTGTCTCTGCCATTTCCAAGGATGAATTTGCGCTGGGCCCCAGCAAGCCTCCCGGCCACACCGTCGAGGCGGCAGGGAGAGCCCAAGGGGCCGGGAGCGCAGGGTGGGACACTAATGCTCCCCACCTGTCGGTGGACAGACACCTCCTCTGCCTCCTGGGGGCTTCCGATACAGTGAGTTTCTGCCACGCTGCCCACCAGTCATAGCGGGTGCCCCAAGTACCCCCAACGCCCAGGCACAGAGAGTCTCCTGTGGCCCCCCGGGGAGGGGCTTAGGGGCTGAACCCACCCACCGAGAGAAAACAGAGGCCCAGGGAGGGGGGAAGGACTCCCTCCCCGCTGCTCCTTCACTGGCCAGGGGCTGGATGGAAGTCTGACCCACGGAGGACGGCCCTCAGCCCCAGGCCCTGTCCTTCCTGCCAGCCCGCCCCTCTCAGGACACATTTCTGGGGTTTACTCCACCGGAGGATCCAGAAATGCTGGTGGGTCCCAGGAGCCACAGCAGCCGGTGGGGCAGCCAAGTAGGAGCCCAGCCCCCACCCATGCCAGCTTGCTGCTTCCCATGGTGGGCGACGGCTCTGCAGCAGCCTGACCAGCAAGTCTTCCTCTGTGCGGTGACAGGTGGTTCCCCCAAATCCTGGGGGCCACACTGTGGGTCCAGGGAAGACAAGGACCCTGAGAAGCCCTGGGTGCTCTAAGCAGGAGACGACAGCCCCACCCTGTCTGCTCAGCGACCTCCAGCACCAAGAGGGACCTTTGAACCAAACAGGACACAGACTCTCCACACAATTCACTAAAGGACCCACGTCTCCCCGGGCCAGGTGTCTGCAGAGCCGTCCTGGCTCCTGGCTCTCCCTGTGCAGAGCGTGCCAGCAGGCCAAGGGAGGCCCAGAGAGGCAGATAACCTGCGGGCAGTTTCCTCGGCAACAGCAGTAGCTTTGAGCTCTCCCGGTGCAGGAAAGCAATCAGCGTCCCCGGGCCTCACCCCCGTCCTGCCCAGGAGACTTCTCGGAGGTTCACAGCCCCTTCTTCCAAGCTGAGCTCCTCCCAGCCAGGATGGCTTTCCAGGCGCTGCTGGACTGGACAGACCAGCACTCTTACATCTGCGGTCCTGGATGTCCTGCCTGCTACTCCGGGTCCCCTGCAGGCCTAGAGCCAACCAGGGAGAGCCTTGTCCTCCGGCAAGCTCTGAGGGTGGACTCTCTTTCCTGAAGGGAGTGTCCCAGGCCGAACTGCGCCTTGTGCTTATGGCGCAGAGACCGCGGAGGCGCAGGCCGGCGGAGCGTGCGGGAGCCAACCGGACAGCAGGTCGTCCGGCCCAGCCCGGCCCCTCACCCCCAGCCCGGCCCTACCTCGTTGATGGCCAGCTGCTCGCCGCCGCCAGGGTGGCTGTAGTGGTGGCCGGAGCTGTGCACGTCCTCGTAAAGGTCCTCCTCGCTCCCGGTCTTGTCCGCATGGATGGCCACGTCCAGGGCTCCGTCGGGGACGGCTGGAAGGGCAGAGACCAGTTGGCAAGGAGGAGCTGGCGGCGGGGTGCAGGGGGGACACGCGCAAGAAGACACAAAGCTTTCCGGGATAAACGCTCCTTCCTGGGGATCAGGGACAGGCCTGACGCCAGTTTCTCAACCCCCCCGTTGCTGCAAACTCGCGGTCCGGCTGAGAGTGCGCGGGCCGGCGTTCACGCCACCGTGACCACGCACTGCTGGGTCCCCACAGGCGGCGTGAGCGCGGGCCCACAGGTGTCTGTGGCAGCCCGCGTTCCGCGTCCCCGCCACTGGATCCAGTTCAAAACCACTGACCACGTGGCACGCGGAGTAGAAGGCCCGTCAGAAACAGCCTAACAGTTTAGTATGAAATGAATGTGTATAGGATAACCACACAAGTACACATTATATACATGCAACTGCAGTTCGAAAGTCTTAAAATACACACGCACGGTCCTTCTCAGCCTTCCTAAGAGGAACACCATAATCTTGGAATTCAACCTCCGGCATGTCCTGCTCCAATCCTATTCCCCTCCGTTCCCCTTAGAGAAATACCGCGTATTCCCACCTTCTTGTAAACCACATACTTGTCTTTGTTTCAGCGTCTACTTCCGCTGCGCTTTGCCCGGCGGGATTGTATATGAACGCAGTGACTTGTTGGTTTTCTTCTCTGACCTGCTCGTGTAGCTTTGGTTTGATTCACTCTCTCTGATGTCCGGTCTTGCCTTTTATGACGATTTCAAAGTTTACATCTTGTTTCCTGCGTTGTGTTGGCGCTACCATGAAACAGTCGGAGCGCCGGGGAGTCCCTGCCACATCGGCCAAGCTGGCGGCAGGGGCGGGTCCTGACCCTGAGCGCGCAAAAACCCGGCGAGATCCTCGGATGGAAGGAAGGCCTCCCTCCGTCCAGTGCTACACTGGGGGCGGGGCCGGGGAAGGCGGCGCAGGCGCAGAAGTGAGAACGGTGCAGGGGGAGGGGCTGGACCAAAGAGGCCTGTCCATCCAGCTCGGGGAGGGAGGGATGGGCTGGGTGGACCCCCCTGAAGTGTGGAAAGTCTGGGAAGTCGACTGGTTTTTTTGAGAAAGCACCTGGTCCGTCCCAGGCCCAAGCTAATGTCATCCCAGGAGAAAAAGAGAGGGTCGCTGGTATGCCAAACTGGTCCCCAAAGCTACTCTACCAATTAGTTTTTTGAAGATGTTACTTATTTATTTTTAGAGAGAGGGGAAAGGAGGGAGAGAGGGAGGGAGAGAAATATCCATGTGTGGTTGCCTCTCGAGCGCCCCCAACAGTGGACCTGGCCTACAACCCAGGCATGTGCTCTGACTGGGAATCGAACCAGTGGCCCTCTTGATTCGAAGTGGATTGGTGCTCAGTCCACTGAGCCCAGCCAGCCGGGGCTATCCCAGCGATTTAGAATTCAGTGTGTATGCTCCCACTGCGAACATTAGCAACCAGAAACCTCATTTAAACTAACGCTGAGAGGCTAGAAAAGAGGACGCTCAACACTGACCCCAACAGGAAGAGACGCGCCTTGCACCTCGGACAGGAAGGGACAGGACCTTGTCTCAGCAGGAGAGAGAGGAGTCCTCCTGCCCAGCCACCGCTCAGCCGGAGGGAGGCTGCTGTACCTCAGCCAACGAAAAGCCTCGAAACTTCCAGGTCCCAGCTTCCTCCGACGGACTCTTCGTCACCACAGCCCCTCCCAAGCCCAGGAGAGACGTTCCTCTCCTTTCTGCACACTTACCTCTGCGTTACCGTTAGACCACGGGTCCCCATGGCAGTTTTTATTTACTTATTTTTTAATTAAATGTATTGGCCTGACATTGGACAATAAACTATACCAAATTGCAGTTTTATTTTGTAATTATTTTTTAAATTTTTGGTTCTAGGCAGAGAGAAACGGGTGGAGGGGGAGAGAGAGAAACACTGAGGTGAGAAAAGCACCAGTCAGGTGTCTGTTGTACGTGCCTAGACTGTGGGCCAAACCTGCATCCTAGGCACGTGTCCTGACCGGGAGTCAAACCCACAACCTTTCCGTATAGGGGAGGACGCCCCAAGCAACTGAGCCACACCAGCCAGTGTCGGATTGCCAAAGAAAAATAAAGGAAAAAAGGAAAGAAAAAGGAAAGAAAGGAAGAAAAAGAAAGAAAGAAAAGAAAAGAAAGGCAAGCTACCACAGCTGTGAGTACATCAAAGTAGACATCAAGGCAAACGAATTATTAGAGATAAAGAGAAACAGTAATGATGAAAAGTTAATATTGGGTGAAGATATAATTCAATCTAAATCTGTACGCTCCTGATGACACAGCCTCTCTCTATGTAAAGCCCACAGGAAAATTCAAAGTCCTAGTGGAAGATTCAGGCGTACTTTTCTCAGCAACTGATAGAACAAGCAGAAGAGTAAATACAGGGAGAAGATTTGACTTGAATGCCATATCCGGTATTCAACAAGGACAGAATACATGTTAATTTCAAGAATATATGAAATGCTACTATGAAAATAAACCCAGTTTCAACTAATTTAAAAGGGTTAGAATCATGCAGATTTTTTCGGTCATAATGCAAGTATGTCAGAAATTAATGACAAAAAGCTAACTAGAAAGTCCAAATAGTTATAAACTAATAATATACTTGTAAATAACCCAAAGGCCACAGAAAAAAAAATTCAGTAGAAATCAGAAAATGTTTTGAACTGAGTAATTATTGCAACACTATAAAAATCTCTGGAACGTAACTTAATTTGCTCAAGCCTGTGTTTGGAAAGAGAGAGGGTCTTTTGTCTTTCTGTTAACCCTACTCATGAATGATGCTCTATTTGGGTAAAAAAATCTTAGCACCTTGAAGTTCTTCTTCCCCTGGCTCTCACCGGTACTGCTAATGAGCAGGCTTTCACCCAGGGTCATTCTGTGGTGGAGAGTCTGGCTTCTCTCTCTCTCTCTCTTTCATTGCTTTTCGTACGCCCTGCAGCTTTGCCAAGATGAGGGGGCGAGTCGTGTTCGCTGAATTAAAGATGATTAAAGATTCATGCCTTTCATCAGTTTTGGAAACCTTGTAGCCAAGCGTCCTTCGAATACGGTCTGTCACGCTTGAACACATTTAGATGTATGAATGCTTCTAAAATACCCTGGGCTCTCCCTAGAGACTAATTTTTAGGTGATTTCCCAATTTAATCAGTATTTAATCTTTTTTTTTAGCCAGCTCATTTACATTCTCAGACTGAATGAGTTGAGGTAAATTTAACCCTCTATCCACATCAGGTTTTAATTCTCAGGGAGAGTTTTAATTTTCTTACCTGGAACCCAAACAGCAGTAGCAGGAGTCCAGTGGAATAAAAAAATGCATCTTCCACGGACAGTCCAGCTCTTAGCAGGTCCCGGTTTTGAGTGAGGGTTTTGGCTCCATCTCCCGGCCTTGAGGAGGTACCAGACACGGCGTTCCCTTCCCAAGTGGCTAAGAACAGCTCCAGCTGCTAGGTTTCCGGCCAAGGGCCCCTCGGTCCCCATCGGCCACGGTGCCGGATGATGCGACCACAGCTCTGGTGCTCCCAGCCTCCCGGTGCCGGCACCTCGGGGCTCTCTTTCCCTCTGATGAGTCCAGACAGGCGAGAAGGTGGCGCTTGCCGTGCCTGAGGCACCACGGCGAGGGAGGGGGCAAGGGTTCTAGCAGGCAAGTGTTTCGAGTCCATCATCTTGCAGGACTGAGAGCCGTCGTTTTCTCTTTACCAACGCAGACCAGACCGGTGCACTGCAGCTTCCACGGCTGCCAGCCGCCAGGACGCTAATGCGAAATTACATCAGCATTTGAGCAGGGAAATCATGAAGTCTTGCGGTGTAAAATGTGAGATTGGTGAACTTTCTCCATTTTTTTTTTTTACCAACGACTAAAATACTTCTACTCGCAAATGTTTCACACACCTCTTTCTACTGTTTGTAACCCATCCTCGCTCTCCCCACCCAGGCCCGGAGAAACAGAACTGAGCTAAACAGAGAGAAAACTAGCTTTCGGGTGCAGTCCATTTTCATTAGGGAGAGAAGGTAATAAAGCTAATACAGCGAACTGCCGTGAGGGGTCTGGCCAAACACCTACACAGCTCCTACCCAGAGCCCATCCTTTACCTGGGCTCATGGCCTGGGCCTTCGCCCCCAAAGCCACAGCTGCTGGGACGACGGCCTCAGTCTTCCATCGTACCCACTGACCGTTTGAGAAAGCAGGGAAAAGATCAAATACTCACTGAGCACCTGCCGTATGCCAAACACTGCTAGAAACTCTCCACTCAACATGTCAGTCCATTAAGCATCATCCGTCCCATTTCGATGAGAAATGAGATGAGAAAATTCAGGCTCCAGATTAGACAACATGCCCAAGGCCAAGCAGTCCCCAGGCTGAGCCAGGGTTTGATCTGATCTCAGGAGGGTCTGACCCCCAGGCCCCCGCCCCCGACAGAACAAGGAGCATCGTGAGGTGAGGTCAGTGCCAGCGATGGCCTTCCCTTTGCCATCAGGCCGTGCGGAGCACCACGTGGACACAGCGTGAGACATGTAGAGAGCACAGAAAGGCCGGCGTCCACCCACTGCGTGGGGGAGCTGGGTCACTCCCTGCTGCTTTGTCAGGGCCCAGGAGCGGCTCTTTCCCGAGTCACCACCCCCATCCGAGCGGACAACCCGGGACAGGGTCGCTCGGGGAAGAAAGAAGAGAAGCCAGCTGCAAAGCCTGCGGACCAGCCAAACGCAGAGGACGGGGGACCAGCCCGACACAGGGAGGCACCAGGGTGGCTGGCACTTGCAGACGATGATGACGGGCCTACTGACAACGATTCTCCGAAAAGTCCGCCCGTCCCTCCGGGCGAGCTCCTG